GCGCGCTGAGCTGGCCAAGGACACGCAGACCAGAGCCGCCTCCAACGATGAAGCAGTGGTGAACAAAGTGCACCATCTGGAGTCTGTGGTGGAGTCTCAGGCCCGCCAAGCCAGGAGTGCCAACCTGATCTGCCATGGTCTGGCAGAGGACAACACAGAGAATGTCTCAGCCCGCGTGGCAGCGCTGTTTGACAGCAACAGCGGCCCCCCTGCTGTTGTCAGCGAAGCTTGCCGCCTCGGTGCCCCCAGCGCCACGCGCACCAAGCCGCGCCCCGTGCTCATCAGCTTCAGCGGCGTGGCAGCCAAGCACGCTGCCCTCAAGCACAGCAAAGCCCTGCGCCAGCGCCAGATTTTCCTGGATCCCGACCTCACCCCGCAGCAGCAGCGCATCCGCGTCAGCATGCGCCCACACTATGTCGCCCTGAAGACAGCCGGCAAGCAGCCCTTCTGGCGCGAGGAGCGCCTCTTCGTCCGGGAGGGCGACCGCGTGCGTGAGCACATGCCTGTGCCTGGGCCTCCCCCGGCTGCCGCGCCGGGCGCCGCTGCCGCCCCGGGTGCTGCCACTGCCGGGCCCTCTCAGGCCGCGCCTTCCTCCCCCGGCCGCGCCGACTCCTACGCCGAAGCAGTGCGCCGCTAGGAAGTCTCCAGCCGCCTATCGCTGCGTATATTGTCCTGGAATGTCAATGGCTTACATGCTAGCAAAATATCCTTGTGGGACACGGCAGCCTATCTTGACCAGTTCGATATTGTACTTCTGACTGAGGCCCGTTGCTTGACCTGGGATGACTCGATCTTGCCTCACCACTCTGTGACTTTCACGGCTGCTAGTGAAGAGGGCAAGGCGGGTGAAGGCATTGTTGTTGCGGTTCGGAAGCACCGTGATTACCACGCACAAGACTGGGTGTCAGACACTGACAGTGCCTTATGGGTGAAAGTGCAGTTTGAGGGGGACTCTACACCGCTGCTGATTGGCTCCAGCTATGTGCCTCCAGCGGGTTCCCGGCAATTGCACACTGTGGACCTGACCAGTCGATTTACGGGCTTATGTGCAGAAGTTGTTGCCGCTCGTGCTCAGGGCAATGTGATCCTGGCAGGAGACTTCAATGCTCGTGTGTCAAATTTGCCTGACGCTGATGACAGCAATACTCGAGGCTGCACTGATGAAGGTGTCAATGCTCATGGGCTGCGCCTGTTAGATTTTTGCAAGGAAACTGACATGCTCATATGCTCTGGCAGAGTGCTAGGAGACCTTGAAGCAGTGCCTACCTTTAAGGCCAGAACCCATACTCAGGCAACTAGACCTGATCATGTTCTCGTTTCCGCTGATGCGCTCCCCTTGATTTCTCATCTTGTTGTGAACACTGGTAGAAAAGACTCTGATCATCATCCTATTGAGATGACGTTGCAAGTGAATGTGGCTGCCAGTGTTCCCTTACCATGTATTGGGGCGCCATTGTCACGAGTGAAATGGCAGCCCAGTGCTAGGAATGCGTATGCTGCTGCTTTGCGCAATGTTGCTAGTGCAAGTCTTGACGCCTGCACAGGCCATGCTGTGGCTGGGGAACTTGATGCAGCCTTTCAGACCCTGGAGGCGGGGATCCGGGAGGCCGCAGCCGCGAACAGCATGCCGGCCCGCACCGGGCGCCATCAGCGCAAGGCGCGTGCCGACGCGCCCTTCTTCGATTCGGAGTGCCGCCAGCTTAAACGGGACGTCCGCGCCCGCGCGCGGTGCGGGGGCGATCCAGCCGAAGTGCGCGCGCTGGAGCGTGCCTACCACAACACCGTCCGCCACAAACGGCGCGCTCATCGGCTCGCGCAACTGCGCCGCCTGCTTGATGATTTGCACAGTGACCCCCGAGCCTTCTGGAAGCGGCTCAAGTCTCAGCAGTCTGATATACCTGAGCAGCTCAAGCCAGTGCAATTGTGGGCTGGCTATCTCAAGCGGGTTGCAAACTTGCAGTTGCCACTCATTGCTGAGCTGCCCCACTTGTCTTTCCCTGTCCAGCCCAGTGCTCCTGTTGCCCATGTTGATGCTCTCAATGCACCCATCTCTCTTGGGGAGGTGCTTGCTGGGCTCAAAAGTTTACACAATGGTCGTGCCACCGGAGTGCAAGGTTTACCAGCTGAGCTGTTTCGGTATGCAAAAGATGAGCGGGCGCCAGGCATGCCTCCTCCGGAAAATGTCCTGGCGCCTGCTTTGGTGGCTGTGCTGAACTCTGCATTTGTGGCTGGGCAAGTGCCACCCTCTGTGAATGGTAGCCTGATCACCCCTGTGCACAAGAAAGGCAGCAAGCTTGACATGCTCAATTATAGACCCATTGCCGTTACTGAGCCCATCATGCGCTTGTATGCTGGCATATTGAATTCTCGTATTCTGAAGTACACAGAGGGGGCTGGATTGCGTGCAGCCACACAGGCTGGCTTTAGGCCAAAACTGTCTACGGCCCACCAGCTATTCACCTTGCAGCATTTTATCGACCGGCAAAACCATGCTAAGCAGCCCTTGTATTGTTGCTTTCTTGATCTGAAGGGTGCTTATGACAGAGTGAATCGGGTGTTGCTCTGGGAGAGTCTGCGTCGCCTGGGCATTGATGGCCGCCTGCTCTCTGCCATTCAGTCTTTGTATGCCAATTCTACGGTTGCCATTAAGATTGGGAGCAGGAAGGGTCCTAGTTTGCCCTCTGAGACAGGATTGAAGCAGGGTTGCCCCCTTAGCCCAACGCTGTTTGGCTTGTTTGCAGATGGCCTGCACAGGCACTTGCTGCAGAGGTGCCCTGGGGTTGGCCCGCAGTTGCGTCCTGGCAGTTGTGTACCAGATCTAGGCTATGCCGATGACTTTGCTTTGCTCGCCACCACACCTGCTCATTTGCAACGCTTGATTGATGCAGCTGCTGAGTTTTGTGAACAAACGGGAATGGTCATCAGTGTTGACAAAACAAAGATTGTGGTGTTCTCTTCAAGTTTGCCAGAACCTTTTCAATGGCTTTGTGGTGGTGCGCCTTTACATTGGGTTCAGCAGTTTGAGTACCTGGGTGCCCTTTTTGACGGTGCCCAAGGCATTAATCTCACCTTTGGCAAGCTTCACAGGAACATGTGGGGTGCGTGGGCACAGCTCAGGCAGCAATATGGGAAGTTGCATTGCAGCATGTCAGCTGGCCTGTTGTTGCGCCTATATGATGCATGTGTGCCGCCGACTGCCTCCTACGGTTGTGAGGTGTGGGGCCTGCGCAGCCTTCCTGGTGGCGACAGCCGGCGGGGCCGGGCTGCCTTGGCCTCCTCTCACCTGAAAATTCTGAGAGACATTGCTGGCGTCCCCACCTCTGTGCATGGTGCCATCTTGCAAAAGGAGTTGAATCAGCAGACCCTTGATTGTGTGTGGTGGCGGCGCATTATCAAGTTCTGGAACAATTTGGCTGCCTTGCCTGCAAATAATTTTCACAGGCAAGTGGCCCTTGATGATTGTTGGGATGCCATAACCCGTAATGTTAAGAATTGGGCTTGGGCCTTCATGCGGGGCTTGCGCCGGATTGGGTATGAGTTTGTTATTCGGTTTGACACCCTTGTTCCTGTGGAAGTTGATGCTGTGATGCAGCTGCTAGATGCGCAAGCACTGCAGGTTTGGGATGACATTGACATTTGCCCTAGGACCTGCCCGTCCAGCAATGCCACCTTGTGTACATATCACAGATGGTTTGCTAGGCCAGCTTGTGTGCGCCACCCTTGCCAGCTCTTACAGCAGCCTTTGAGTGCCCGTTGCTTGCGTATACTGTTGAAGTTCAGGATGGGTTGTCATAGTCTGCCCAATGTCTCGGGCCGCTGGGCAAGGATTCCCCGGCCCCAGCGTTTGTGCATGCGTTGTGCCCAGCAGGTTATTGGGGATGAGCGCCACCTTGTGTTTGAGTGCCCTGCCTTGCAATCTGTTCGGGACAGATATCCTGGGCTGTTTGGTGCAGCCATTGTGACGATGCAGCAATTCATGTGGCAGTTGGACATTGTTGGTGTTGCACATTTTGTGATGGATTGTTTTGATTATTTGGATGCTGCCAGTTCATCCAATCAGCCCTAGGCGGCTGGAGTGATGTAATCTTCCTTCCTTCCTTCCTTCACATTGCAGATCTGTGGGAAGTCTGCCAATCCTACAGAGAATGAGCCTGTGCAGCTTCTCACTTTTGAGAGCATGCCAAGAGGATGTGTGTGGAGTGATAGCATTGTTAATGGGGCATCAGAGGCCCATCATTGTTGTGTGCACTGCAGAAGTGCACACAAATGCCATGTTGAGAGAGTCAAAGAGGCTGACTGTCTCTCTGAGGGACGCCACAATGGGTTAGCCTGCTTCTTGCAGGTGAGTGCAAGCTGTGTCCTACTTTCGTTGTTGCAATTGCCAATGCTTGTTCTGTTGCAAATCGCTTGCATGCATCTAGGATGTGGCTGGAATTACCTGGCCTCCAAAACGTTGACTCATGTGTCTTGGCCACCGTATGAATTCGCCGGCGCGCAATTCGACCAATTCCTTTGTGTCAGCTTTCTGAAAGCGTTGGCATCGCAACTTGGCCAATACCTTTGTCTTAGCTGCGGATATATAGGTCATGTTGCCAAGAGCTCAACGTAAGCTGCCAAGATCGCAGGTCTCTCCAAGGACCGGCGCAGAGGTTTTAACTCCTGCTCAGCACTCTCTTTTGCGCCTGAGCTGTGTTCCCTGCATGGCCTGCTCCCACTCCTGCATGTGGAGGTTGCAACTGGGCAATTAAAAGCAAGGCAGCCTATTTTTTCTTCTTTATCGATAGTATGTAATCTCTTCACGAATAACTCGATCGGCCCCACATACCCGTGTACACGTACATGCTCCTGTATCCAGTGACAGGTCGATGTTAAGGTCATTATCAAACAATTAAGAGCAGCACGGTTTGGTGGCGACTTTGGTGCACTCTCAAGGCTGGTGGCACCCAGGTCCCAAGAGAAACCCCGGGTAGGCTGCATCCAGGCAGGCACAATCATATTCGACTGCCCCTTACATATTGCCGGAGGCTGGTACAAGTGGGGCAAAGGCAACATAAGTGTGCTTGCCATCCTTGCAATAAAAATTGCTCCAACCTCCCTCTCGATTGTTTGATTTGCGACAAGCAATTATCGCTGGTGTTTTTCCGCAGTCGTATATAGACAATAAGTCAAATATAATAAATTTGCGCAATAAGCACGCTGCCATCCTGCTTGCTTCCCTGTGCAAGCAGTGTGTTGCTTGCCCTGTATCTCTGCATAATTCAAAACAAACCTTGCTGCAGCATTATTGCACCGCAATGTACACAACAGGTGCCCGGAATGAACCTTGAGCTTTTTTTTCCAGTTTTGTCTGTGGCACTTTTCTATTGGCTGATAGATATGGTCTCACAATATGCTGCTCTCCGGACTTCCTCAGGCTGCGCTTGCTAATAAATCATCTACTTCCCACTCTCCAGGTTGGCCCTGTCTTCGTTGACCCCATGTCACTTGAATGCTGACGCCTAAGTCTCAATAATGATGAAGCAGTCCCAAGCAAAGCAAGTTGCGCCGTGCATTCTTTTCGCGTCTGCTGTTTGCACGGCGCTTTGTCAGCAGGAAGCAGTCCTGCAAGCATTGCATAAGCTAACTCGTACTTGCAATCAGTGGTCTTGGCCAGTGCACAAGCAGCAGTACACACGGGAGATTGCAGCAATCTCAGAAGGACACATATGATCTGATAGCGGGGATGTCAGGCAGGATAGGATGAAACAGTGGCTTCAGGAGCATTAGATGACCGACCTATCAGCAGATCTCCCACACCCATGCTCTGCTGTGTCTTTTGTCCATGGTGTGGGTGCTAAGGCTGGATGTGGATCAGAGGCCACAGCTGATGCAACTGCTGCTGGCAACTCAAGAGGGAATAATATGTTGGCTCTTCCTGTGCTCTCCACGCTGTGCTGCCTGCTTGATGTACGCTGCGGTAGTTGCCGTTCCTGATTGCTTTCCGGCTGGAGCTGTTGTGGCGTTAGGTGCTGATCCAAGGAGACGTTGGTCCTGCCAATGCTTTCGATGCTATGCTGCTGTACTAGTCTGTCCATTGTGTACATCATCCTAGAAGACCTGGCAGCCAGTGCGACTGGTAGAACTGGTGAGCGCAGACTGGCAGCAACCAGGACTAGGGCGATCTGAACAACACGTGCCCGGCTGCTAAGCATCTTGAACATGGTGTGCGACTGCGTGCTACGTCTTTTGCTACCAGATATCCTTTTGTGGTGCACCAATGCTCCTCGATCACTCACACTTTGAAATGGTGTCGCAAAAGACGCCGTCACTTGACACGGGATCTGCGGCGGCCCACTTTTTCGGCCACTGGCAGCCTATCGTGCTGATCGTGTTAATTGAGAGATTGCAGGGCTATGCAAATATGCTAAGTGGAGGTACAAGGGCACCGGAGATGCTGGGTCAGGACCGCATCCCTGGGAGAATCGTGTTCGCGCGCAAAACCTGACGTGCGGTCCCCCGAGTTTGGAAGCTGCCGTCACCGGTTACTCAGCACAGTGGCTCTCTTCCTTTCCAGAGATTGCACGCTCAGTTTGCACCTACTTCGATCTTAGTTTCACTAAGTTGATTTAAATGCAGATTTTGGAGGGAGAAGCCGTTGGCCAGGTTTCATCCTTCCCTGATGTTCATCGTCGTGGGAAGAAATGCAGAGGATGCATTTGAGCTATGACGCGAGCTTCCAGAACTGTATCAGCAATCCATGATGGATGTTGAGGAAGACGAAGATCTGGGATTTCCCTTTTCAGCTCTCGAAGTCCAAGCGGGGTAAGGCCCACGATGTGCACCCGGATTGACTCCCGTCTCGCAGCTGCACCGCAGCATTTTGTAGACCCTTCTGTGGCTACGCCTAGACATAGTAAATTTGCTACGCACCCACCAGCAATTTATGGTCATAGCGGCACCATCATGTCTCCTCTTCCATCATACTTGTGTCGTCGGGACGAACCACAAACAGAAATCTCTGATATTAGGGAGGATTATGTTGTCATCTAAGGATTAAGACACCACAATGATAAAGTTCAGGGGTCTCTATTGCCTGACACCGTTCTTCTGGCCTTTGTTGATGCAGGGAAGAATGGGATGTGCAGAATCTTGTGAAGGCCCCCAACAACGCTGGGCGACGGCTCGACATTTCAAGCACTTCGTCGAATGGACGTCAAATAGTATCGATGGAGGTGATTCCCTGCATTCCAATCAGCCTTTGAGGGTTTGCTTTTTTGGGATGTTGTACAGGATTGCCCAATTGGTCTTGATATTTGGAAGCTGGCTGACTATTGTTTTCGTGTAGGTGATCACACGTGTATGAGACTGTGAGGAGTTGTCTGTATTGACAGTATTTGGGTGTTGCTGTTCCTTTCTTGTCACAAGCTCCTTCTGAGATGACAAGCACTTTACGCCACCCCTTTGTGGACAATGCAGGACGCAGAAGGGAATCGGTCAGCATTGGGATATGTTGCTCTGCACCCAGATAAGAAGAAGCCAGAGCTTTGGGACGCAGCTGCTGCACTCAGCTTGGCTGGGGTCTTGAAATTGAAGGTATGTAAACACCAGCCATCAAATCGTGAGGAGAACCCTGTGTTTGGGCAAAGCCAAGGGTGTGTTCAGAGTTTCGCCCAAGACACATGGTTCCAACAGCTTAGCAAGACGGGAGTGGGTGTTTGTACATGCTTGGCTTCTTTGGAGCAATCTAGAAAACCAAGTACCTTGCGGGCGGACTGGATCAGTACAGACTTGTCTTAATCCGCTGCAAGCGCCTGCTCTGTCCTGAGGATAAGGGTCTGGCCAATCACAGTCTAGGAGAATCCTGCCTGATCAGGATGCCAAGCTGACTCATGCCGGCACATGGCGCCCTGATGGGAACTGACTCAAATGGCAGAGAAGAAGTACTGGTTCATTCTTGCCGAGGAAGCAGTTTTCTTGACGATAGAAACACCTTTAATCGAGTTATGCTTGCAGGTGATTGATGTCAGGGGGACATCAACGAGCGAGCGAGCAAGTTCGTTGCTGCAATCTCTCCAAGCATGCAGATTTTCTGACGATGGAAACTTCCCTTGAATCCAATTCTCCTGCTTGCAGGTGATTGAGGTCAGGGGACAGCAAGGAGCAAGCGAGCAGCAGCAGCAGCCGCAGCTGTTGGAGGTCGCCTGCTCTGGCAGCTTGGTCCTCCCGGCCTACGCCACCGAGCCGCCACCTCCGGGGGGCCGGTCCCCCCTGGCAGCCGCCGTCCACGTCATCATCCAGCACATCGCCAGCCTGGGCCAGGAGCCGTCGGACCTCTCAGCTGACACCAACGTGCATGGTGAGGACTCGGAGTAGAAATCCTCTTTAGAGATCAGTACTCTTTTACAACTTGCAAAGAGTGACGCCTCTTCCCTTCTCAATCTGCCTCACGTATACAACAGGTCTCAGGTGAGAGAGCTGCAAGGGCACATATATATTAGGGATGTCATTTTGTACTGCTCTGATGTGTCAATTGTGCCTAGAAACCATTTCTTAAACTCCGATGTCAAAATATGCACAGCGCATGGCCTAGAGAACCTGCCACTTCTGCCTACAACCATTAATAACCTCAGCAACCATCTCGAAGTTCGTAATGTGAAGATCCGTAGCTCATGCTCATTGTCGCTTCTGTCTAGATTTACAGGCTGAAAATCTTAGCTTGGCAGGCATGGAGGAGCCAGACGTGGACTCTGGGGAGGCAGAAGAATTGGCTGATGCGCCCGCAGAGCAAATGGATCTGCGAGACCGCATCTATGAGATGCTGCGGCCTGTTGAGTGGACCGCTGAAGCCACCGAACCCTCGGGTGAGCCATAAGCCACCACTCCCTCGACTCGCTCCAGTTGCCAAACAGTTTTTGGTCATTCTGCGCCCCTTCTTGTGTTGAGCGCCTCACCCGTTTTGGGGGCCCAGCCCACCTAAGGGCTGGACCACCAGAGCGGCGCACCGACTCAATGGTCATGCAATTCCTGGCCCTTGCACTTAACGCTCCTGGATTCTGCAACTATAAGTCCTTGCTGCAGTGATGGACTTCCTCTCACCTGTCTCTCTTGTACCAAAGGGGCCAGTGGTCACCCTCAGAAGTCATCTTCCGACAGCAAGCAGTAGATCATTACCGGCCGAGCACCGTTTCTCCATCAAAGAAATAAACTCTGAGATGGCAAGAACAACATACGCTTCAAAGACGCGGGGTCTGCAAGGGAGGAGACAGAGCAGCGGTAAATACATACGGATCCTTACGGTGAGAATGCATATTTGTAAGATGAGGGAGCTGGCAATTTATTTTTTGCATGCATGCAGGGCTGACGTGCACGATGCCGGGCTACCAGCGGAGGGCGCTGGCCTGGATGACGCGCAGGGAGGCGCTGCAGGACGGGGGGGAACCCTCCATTTCCACCGCTGGGGGGACCTCTGCCACCGCCGGCGGCTTGGGCCCCTCGCTTCCGGTCTGGAACGGCACGCACCACCCCTGCTGGCAGCGAGTCGCCCTGCCCTCGGGAGAAGCCTTCTACCACAACTGGAACACAGGTGCATTGTTGCATAGCGCATCCCTTATATTTGCAGGGATGGTGAGCTTGGCTTGTCTGTCTGTCTGCTGCCATGCTATCAGTCAAAAAGCTTCCTTCCCTGTCTGCAATAGGGGATGCTTGCAGCTCTGCTTCTGCACTGTATTCACCTGCAGTATGTACCCAAAAATGGACAAGCAATGACACTTCCACAGACATATCGGCATTAAGACAGATAAAAAGGAAGCAGAAAGCGACATTCAGGCTAAGGGGGTTTGCACGTATCACTTATGCAGGGCAGCTGCAGCGGATGCAGCCATTTGCGCCGGTCCCGCTCAACGGGGGCGCACTAGCCGATGAGATGGGCCTCGGCAAAACAGTCATTGCCCTGGCTCTCATCCTTAAGAGGCCCCCACCCGCCGACTGGTGCGCGCCCCTTGCATCGGCGCAATCACCCCAGACCCCAGGTACATCGGCAACATTCACCCCTGGCGCGGCGGCTCCAACGGCGCAAATACCCTTGAACCATAAGGGGCCGCGAAGAAACGGCGCCACGCTCATTGCGGCCACGCAGGCGCTTCTTGGGCAGTGGGAAAACGAGGCGCGCCCCTTTGAATTTGAATTTGAAATTGCGCTATTTGCTTAGCAGATTAAAGGGAAGAAAAGGGGTGATTTGACTTGTGAGAGACGAGGAATCTGGGAAACACCTCCATACTAATAAGCCGCCTTGGACCTTATCACCATCCGAGGCAGTTACGCAGTGGAGGAAAGTGAAATTACCGCCATCACAGGGGCGATGTGTCGATTTCTGACCTTGCCTGCATCGAGAGCGGGAAACAACAATTCTTCAAACAACAAGCATCAAAATAATAACACCTAGGGAGCAGTTCCAATGCAACTTTCTTTGACATGACATGTCCCGCAATGTGGATGCTCAACAAAGGATTCGGTCATTTATGAATACACTAGAATCATTCAGGGTATATCTCCCTCTCTCATTCAAACTTCTTTACAAATTTGGCATGCCGTACGCAGATCAAAAAGCATGCGCCATCGTTGAAGGTGGTGATATACGAGGGGCTGAAAGCCGGTGCCAGGGCGGCCGGGGACGGCGGCAGCGGCGGCAGCCCGGTGGCCGGCAAGAAGCGCAAGCGCAAGATGACCATGCGGCAGAAGGTTGAGGCCGCGCAGGTGAGCCTCTTTCTATTTACATAGTCGCTTGCACAAGCACATTAAGAGATACTTGCAATGTTCCGCTTACTGCCGACACATCAACGGGGGAGGCAACCAGCCAGTTTTTTGCAGATTCTCAAGCCAAGACTGAACTCATTGTATGGGCGTCCAAAGAGTAAGCCCAAACCTGGCTTCTTCATACACTACGGAGCGTTTATAGGTGTGGTTGATATCAATCTTGATTTTATCAGCAGGAGGTGTGGGAGATTCAGCGGCAGGCGTTTGAGGCAGCGCGGAATGCGGCGGTGCCGGCGGCGGAGAAAGCTGCGTTTGAGGCGCAGATGGAACGCCTCATCACGGCCGACATCGTCCTAGTGGCCTACCCCGTCCTCAGCCAAGAGGCAAGTCACCACTTTGTCTAATTGAACCACCCTTGACGGGGTGCTAGGCATGCATGCAATGGGAATGGTGCTGCATCGAGCAAGGCCTTCTGCTCCCTCCTGACTGCTCTCCTCGGCCTCCAACCAGGACCTGATTTCTTTCCTTTGTTTTGTAATCCCGTGTGGGTTGTACTTTTGTCTGTGCATTGCCCCTGTGCTTGGCTGTTCTCAAGTAATTGTCCTATCAAGAATCTATCATTACAGTGAAATGCAATAGGGATCGCGCTAGGGACGACCGGGATCCCATGGGACTGACATGCCCTTGGTGGAGAAGGTGCCAAGGCAGGGAAGACTGGAGGGGATATCTTGATAGGATGCTGCCAGGCACCTAGCCCTGTGGGCTAAAACAAGTGTGTAACAGTATTAAGTTTGCCAATTTTTTGGACGGAACACAGACACATGAGAAGTTTGTGATATGAAGATGGGCAGTGACATACTGCCCACAAAACCACTGAGCCCCAGGGGGCTCCCAAGAGGTCTCTAAAATGTGCTAATACCAGATATAAAATTACATCAGTAATAAATGCATTATTTATGTGCCAGGTGCACCATGCGCGCAATGCGTTGGGAGAGGGGCGTTCCCTGCGCCGTCCCAAGCGCTACAGCGTGGTCGACTCCCCTCTCGCGGCGCTGCACTGGTGGCGCCTCATGCTCGACGAAGCCCAGAAAGTCGGCGACGGCTTCTCTCAGGTGACAGTAACATCAACGATGAAATTAAGCTTGGGGCTTTCCAGAAATTTGGTGACATATAGCCCCTCAGATAGGCTCCAGCCATAGCAGAGTTGACTGACCCCATGCCGGATCTCACGGGTCTGCAGCTGAGAGCTAGGTTGCATGCGCAACACAGAATTTGGCTTCTCGAACGAGCAGCTGCAGCTTGTGATGGCCTCTGCTGGCCGGAGATTCAGCTTTGCTGCTGAGCTCATTCTTGGGCCGGCTTCTCTGCATGCATGCAGCCTTTTCACTGTGATGGGCCCGCCGCCATGGTGTCTATTTGCTTGCCAGTCATAAACCTCAGGGACACTTTGGCAATTTTGGAGGGTCCAGAAAATAATCAGCGTATTAAGTGGATTAAGGGCACCCGGGCTGTGCAAGCTCACTTGCAAAATTTGGCTGGCATGCCTATCCTGGCTTGCGTGACTAATGCGCCTCTTGTGGATGCGCTGACGTGGCGCGCTGACATGTGCGCACAGGTGGGCGACATGGCGGCGCTGCTGCGTGCTGAGTCGCGGTGGGTGGTGACGGGGACTCCGATGGGGAACGGCGGCCTTCGCGATCTGCATGGCCTGCTGCGCGTGCTGCAACATGACCCCTTCGCCGACCGCCGCCTTTGGCGCACTTGCGTTGAGGGCCCCTGCCTGCGCGGTGCGCGCCCCCTGAATCTCTATGATTACCTTTGCGTACTTTGGTTATACAAGAGGAGTTCTCATTGGTTCTTCCCTGCTCGCTTGTGTAGTCCAAGTCGGAGGCTGAAAGAGGAACATAAAAAGGTGAAGTTGGCAGGAACTAGAATAAAACGATGCACCTGCATGGAGGCCTTTGCCTGTGTGGTGCCCCCTGGGGGGATTTGCTTCACGACTTGATGTTATAGGCTTGAAAGTGATTTACAAAGCTGGGCCGTTGGACCTTGTACGCGTGTCAGGAGCTGAAATTTGAATAGAAGGAACCCTGGGAAGCAAGGTAACCATGTGCATAAGATTTCAGGAATGGTGATGCTAGGTGTTGGCCTGAGTGAGCCGCTGCATGTGTGATTGCATCTCTGACAGCTCTGAGGGTCCTTGTACACATCAACCTGACAGACGTAGAGCTGCAGAAGTCATCTTGTTTTTCTTTTGTGGAGTGTCTTATATGAGGAGTTTTGAGTGTCGCGACAGTAAGCGGAAGGGAGCCAATCATGTGCCAGTAAAATTTTGATGTCAAGTTTCGAGTACGTGTGCAGACATGCCGTGTGCAGTCATGCCCCATGCGAGCGGTCTCTTTAGTTTTGAATCCGGATGCATGTGCAGATGAGCCGCATGCGTTGGAGCGGCTGGAGGCTGTGTTGAAGCCCATCATGTGGCGCAACGACAAATCCTCCGTTGGCGACGAGCTCAAGCTGCCCCCTCGCACGCTCGAGGTACTGTGTATAAGAAGCTATTTGTCACATGTTCCCAACAGCGAATAGGTAAGAAGCAGCACTAAAGTTTCCTTGTCTGGCTCAAGTGGGCAAGGCCTAATCATCTTGAAGTCCTTGCCCGCAGAAGCAGCCGAGCAGGTTTGGGATTTTCTCGGGATGCATTCTGGGCATGCATTTAGAGGTCTCTTATTATTTACACCACATGCAACTCTCAAACATTGCCTTGGTGCTCACTTCTGCCTTGCGTGGATTCATGCAGGGGATGACGGCAGTTTTGATTTGGGATCTCTCGGCATGCAAAGTTTGGTTCTGATGTTGTTGAAACCCCGTGATACCCTGGTTCATTGATGCACGGGTGCTGACAGCTGGCGTGTGTGCGTGTGAATCGCAGCGGGTGGCGATAGTTGTGGCGGAGGGAGAGCGCTCGTTCTACCGCTCGGTGCAGGAGGCGGCCGTCCCCGCGCAGGAGGCGCTGCAGCGTCACTCAGCCGCAGCCGCGCCGGCCGGTGACGGCTCCGACGAGGCCGGCCCCTCCTCGCCACGTGAGACCCCGCCCTACTTTCACAAAACTGTTTCTGTACTTAACCCTGCTCATGACTTCCAACTTGCTCGTCATCCTGCTGGCTTGCCATCAGTGGGAAACATTAAGTCTGGGGCGCATCTGAGAAACCAGTGCTTTCTAGATGGAGCGGCTGTCATGGAGATGCAATGGGCCGGGCCAGCAAGCTTCCTTCAAGCTGTCCACGGGTCTGTCGTGCCAAAAGAAATGCTGATGTGGCTATTTATGAGCCTACGAGAAGGGCTCCTTGCTCCTTAGCATGTTCTCCTGAGCGCATCTCTGGTACATCAGGCACACTCGAAGGTTGGGGATTGACCCATCAGAGAAGGCAGACATCAAGACAGAGCGAGCGCCAAGGAAGGGAGAAGGGGCTACCTCGCAGGTGTAACGGAGTGCATGGGTTGTAGGGGGTTGGTATCCAAATCTGCACCTGAATACAAATTTTGAAACTGCAGGCACGGTGAGCCGGGTGGAGGCTGCGCGCGCGGAGAGGGCGGCGCGGCGGGCGGAGGAGGCAGCCGGCAGCGCTGTGCTGGACCTGCGCAAGTGCTGCGATCACCCGCAACTCACCTCCCTCTGGCGGCGCCAGGTAAATAAAGCCCTAAGCTTCAACAAAAACCCTAACCTTAACCCTAAAAATCCCCTAAATAGGAATAATATTGCAGGGTTTGGGGGTGGCGCCATACCGTGTCGCTATCTAATGATATCAGTGTCCCACTGCAGCGTTTTGGTGTGGCTTTGCAAGTCCTTATGCAGTGCCTTGCCGCGCATTGTAATGCAACGCAATATTTTTATTTATTTAGGGGCTTTTAGGCAATGCAATGCAATGCAATGCAGAAAAAGGGGGGCGCGGGAAATCCTGTGGCCATAAGAGGCCCCTCTACTGCGCTCCTGAGAGAGCAAGTGCGCAAGGCTGCGGAGTAGACGTCTCCTCCTTTCGCAATCCCATTTCGCCATTTCATGGAAACTTTGTGATATGACGATGGGCAGTGACAGACTTCCTACAAGGCCAATGCGCCTCAGGCGGCTCCCAAAAGGTTTCCAAAATGTAGTATCAATAACAATGAAAATAAAAACAACATTATTATTCACCTAATGATAGTTGATGATTGCACTAATCAGCTTGTTTGGGGTGGTTCGCAGGCGCGCGAGGGGCAGTTGTCTCAGGGCACCATCCTGACAATTCCTGAGCAAAACGCACGTCAGGCCGACGGGCTGCAGAACAAGCTGCAGGTGAGCAGCCTGTGTAGTGTTCTTTCAAGTACTCACGCACGGCGCAACATGCTGCCTGTGTGGACTCATGGCAGGAGCCTCCAGCGAGCTTGCCTGCAGAAAGTCGAATCAGGAAAGAACCACGCTAGAGGATGACAGTATGCGCAGTCACTGGTGAGATGGCGACAGCCAATATGCGCCAGCGCCAATTTAAAGCCAGGTGGCAGGGTTTCTGGATGACGAGGACAAAGATCAGTGGGAGCGCTCGCTCGATAGATGCCTGCAATTGCCGATGAACTGTCGTCGCCAAGGCAGAAACTACTTCTGCCCTGGCGACTATTTGCTGAGCATCTTGCAAGTGATAGAGCGAGAGCACTCGTCCGGCGCTGCTTTCAAGACCAGCTTGTGCGTGTGGCGTGCTTCAATGTGAAGGCTTCACTGTCCCGAGCGTGAGCTTATGCATCCCTGCTGCAGGGTGCGGAGCGAAATTTGTGTGTGCTGCTCAATACTCTGGCGGCTCTGCTGTTGGAAGCCCCTGAAGCGCACACCGGCCCCGCCTCTCCCAAGCACAAAGGCAAGGGCAAGCAGAAGGCCGCCGCAGGTGCTCAGACCCCCTTTTGTTCTTGGCTGCTCACAGCTTGCATGCTTTGGCACATTCACATGCCAATTAACATGCCAACAACATGTTCACATCTCAGCGCACCTGAAATGTGAACACTGCATTTCATGCGGACCCGTTATTTTTAAATGCCCCATAGCGATCTCCCCTATCATGATATTGACATCTGTCCCTTGTAGAGCTGCTGATGATTAATAGTCATCAAGCAGAAGCATATAGTAATCAATCAGACAGAACACTGATTGACAGTGAGGTGAGTTTTTTATCCTGAAAGTCATGGTAGTGCTGCAGACGATAAGGGCACGCCCCAGGGCCCGGACCGTAAACGGCGCAAGACGGAGCTTACGGACTCCGCCATCGGTTACGGGTCGAGCTGGGAGGAGCGACGGACCGAGGCGCTGGCGCTGCTGCGGCGCAGCCGACTGATCAGCGAGGAAGGAATCGGCGCGACGTGGGGCGAACCTGCCACCGACATCAAGTCTGCCAGCGCGGCAATCCGCGCATGGCGCCCCATACAGGTGCAAATTTGATTCCTCTCTGCACATGGCTTTTGGTTCACTTACGTATATACCTTGTCTAACGGTGCGTCAGACGCTTTAGAGAAAATAATGAGACCAGTGTGGACAGTCCAGTGTAGTGCTTTCTTGAGGGGACCACAGTGACACATCAGGCAGTCGGTTATCACCATATTAGCCCTCCCTATGAAGGTCCGGGTTGAGCGGTTCTTACCGATTTTTACAGCAGCAGGTCTGTGACCTTCGCTCTTTGGAAAGAACTGTGAGAAAGTCAGAGCTGCCGTTGCTCTACGTGCATATGCAGCATTTGCAATCTTTCAACAAGGTATCTATGAGGTGCCTGTGAGGCTTTGCCATCTCTTTGAGTCTGATATCGCGCGACAGAGAGGCTGACGAGGCAGTCTGCGTGGCAGGTGAGCGTGCTTGAGCAGCTGGCAGACCTGCTGGAGGCAAGCGGTGCGCCCAGGACCGAGGACGAGGATCTGGCCAGCATGCGCGATGAGGCGCGCCGGAAACTCGACGACATCAACGAGGTGTTTTTCCCGAAGAAAAACCCCGCCGCTGCATGAAACCTGCAATGGAGCATGACCCCTGCTATTTGTTAGGTCAGGAAGACCCCTGAAAGGTGCTCAGGAAAATTCCCCGCAGTGCCGGGGGTGCAAGTTTTAGAATTAGCACGACAGTAGTAATCAGCAACTGTGGGGCGCAGGTGCCGAGGGAGGCGTGCATGGAGAGGGAGGTGCGGCTGGCGGAGCTGACGGGGAAGCTGGAGGAAGCCGGCCGGAAGGTGGCGCGGCTCTGGGCGCGCGCGCATGCGGCCGGCTGGCAGGAACGCCGCCCGACGGACGCCCCGGCCTGGTGCGCCGCGCTGCTGTCGGCCTATGACTCCGCCAAAGCCGCCGCCGCCGCCGCCAGCGCCGAAGCCGGCCAGGTCCGCCAAACAAACTTCCTATTTCATTTTTTGTGTCGTTTTATGTGTTTTTCACCCCCTTGATTCACCATGCAAGAGAGCGGCTTGCCTTGCAGTGCTTGTAAGTTCCTACAAGCAGAAAGGCGAAGGAGCTGTTATTGTATGTGTTGCTTGGCAACGCCCTCCTTTCGACTATGTGCACAATCCTGTGAAAAGATTTAGAAGCTTGCCATCAGTGTGTCTGCAAAGGGCCTGCCATACTTTGGGGAATCATGCGCTTTCAGTGCCCACTCGTGATGGAACACTGAAGACAGTGTAATTTTGAGGTGAGCGCGTGTGAGATGTGCGGGTGCGCCTCTTTGTTCAGGTGCAATGGGCGGCGGTGACTGAGCTGCTGCAGCCGGAGGAGGAACGCCTCATGCAGACGCGCGCAGCGCTAGAGGGCGTCTGCGTGACACCAGTCGTGGCCACCGCTCTCTCCAACGCTCAAGCCGTCCTCTCAGCCCTGCAAGGCAACCTACCCTTGCCCCGCCGCGGTGAGATTAGCCTCCTCCTTGATCCACTATTCTAACAATCCCTTGCTGCTTCAGATGCTCTTCAGGTTGGGGAAATCTCCCCATGCAGTATTGTGGCAAGGTGACCATGGTAATACTTTTGAGGCCCTGAGCCTTACTTACAGCAATTTGGGCGCTTGCCAAAGTCATTCTTTCCCGCGGATCTCTAAGATATGAACGTTGGGAATCCTTAACAATGTAGTCTCTAGGTAGTCTCTAGGTAATCTCTATGGTCCTAAAAGACTCCACAGGAGATTGCAATTGTCTGGGTGCTTACTGCGCCCCACTCTTTATCTGGGCATCTTCATTTTGGCTCATCATCAGCTCTGCAGAAGCTTCACAGAAAGGGTCTATCATCAGAACGCCTTCTTTGAAGATACCATTTTTTTTGTGCACTTTCCCACCAATTTTCACATTTCAGAGTTCTAAATATTTACTCAAGCACAGGGGCCGGTGGGGAGGCAGCCAGCGCAGCACTGACAGAGGCGATGCAAGACATTCCAGAGCAGCGCATCGTGCGGCTGGCGCGCGAGGGATCAAGCCTCAACCGGGCGCTCGTGGCCGCGCATGCCCTGCGGCGGCTGCACCCCATCGACACCCTGGACTACCAGAAGGTGCGCAGATTCAACAAATTTGAATTAGAATTCGAAGAATAAGGGCAAAAAAGAACTTGAAAAAAAACTGCTGTGCTCACGCATTGGTCATCTTAGACACCGGTGCAGTAGAGCAAGGACATCTGCGCTGAGGCGGGAAAGAGATTCACTTGGGGTGCTGAGATGATGAGTCGTGCTTCCCTGAGAAATAGTCGATGACTTCAAGCGCTTGATATTTCACATGCGAAGTTTGTTGTGTGCAGCACATGGGCTTTCTGCCTGCCTGATTTTGTCTTTTGCTATCCAGGCTGTGTCGTCTGTGAAAAAGGTGGTGAATGCGCTGAGGAGAGAGCATGACAAGCTGCTGCAGCGCCGATCCCTTCACCCAACATCAGGTGCATTTGCCAATTCTCAGCTTACCAGATTTCTTTTCTTAAGGCGGCTCTGTAGCTCTCCTGAACAGCCCTCCTCCCTTGTCACCTCGGCAGATAATGGCTCTGCCCAGAAGTATCAACCTGTTGACTCAAATTGACTAAGTCTCCGGGCTCTTTATGTGTATTTGTAAGGCATCTCCCTGGGCCGGGGGATGTTTGCAGTGCTGCTGCAGGGTATGCACTGCTAAGGCAGCCCGTCCTCTTATCTCTGGCGTTCGCTGTGCCTTGATGTCTGCATTCCTGTTCCTCTAATACTGTACATGGGTGCGTTTCCTCGAGCAGGGTTCATGGCCCAGGACAACGACCTGGAGGCGGCTATCGCTGCGCTGGACGCGGTGTGTGCCCAGCTGGATTTTGTGCGCGGCGTGAGGGAACGCCACACGGCGGAGGTGCAGCTGGAAGTGGCACGCCATAATCTGGTGCGCAGCGCAGTCTCAACCTAGCTAACATTTGTTTTTCCACCTAACATTACGATATTACTTTTGGGCTTGGAGATCACGTCTCACAGCTGCTTTCGCGCTTTTCTTGGCTGGTATGGAAGGCACATCGATCCTTCTTTGCAGGCTTGCCCGCATGCATGCATTGCCGTCACTGCTCTTCTTCTTCCTCAAACTCAGAAGTCAATTTGATGCTATACCAAATGCTGCAAGAGCACTGCCAAACCTCGTAAGACCTGCAGTAATAAATTCTGGGTTCAGGAAGCACATATTAATTAGAGCTGTTCTTACCGGCACTGCCCTACAACTCTTTTTTGAACATGACTTGTTACGATGTGGCGTACTGAGGGAATCGTTCTTGCCTGCCCAGGGAGTGGCAGAGGAGGAAGCGCGTGTGGCGGCAGCGGTTGTGTCACAGAACAGCAGCGGCAAATCCATGGCGGCTCTTCACGCAAACATTGCGGAGCTGGAGGCCACCTGCAGGCAGCTACTCTCGCGGCAGCGCTTCCTGCGTGGTACCGCAGAATCTGAGCAACCCGAGCATATGTGCGCGCCGTCTGCTCTTCAAAACCCCTCCCTGTTGCTCTCCCCCTGTTATCAACAGTGAAGGCTGATCAAACGTATGTTCACCAGTAGTGCATACAGACCCTTATTGCCCGCTTTTTGCGTTTCTTCATTGTCCGAGAGATGATGGTATATGGATGGAGTCTGCCGGGCACGAATGCATATGAAGCTCTTACTGAAACCGTTGTGTGCTATTGTGCAGCCACGATGCCGGACCAGGCATGACGGATCAGCAGCTGCCGGAGCCGGCGGCGCCGCCGGGATCATGGCCGGCCGGCGTGCGCGCAAAAACCGGCCTCTCCGCCGCGCTCGGCCCCTGGCAAGTGTCGCTCGCCGCGCCGCACCTTGCCGGGACAACCGCACCAGCCTCAGCCGCGCGCCTGGACCTGACCGCCGCGCCGTCCGGCGCAGCTGCCGGGCAGGGGCTGGCCCCGGCCGCGTACCCCGCGGCGGCAGCTCCGGGCCCCGGCAGCGACATTGCGGCCGCCGCGGAGGCGGCTGACGAGGCCATGCCTGACGCAGGCAATGATCTGGGCAGTCTGCCGGGGCAGGAAATCTTCACCACGGGGCTGGAGAGCAGCACACTAGGGAGGGCTGCAGAGAAGGGGAAGGAAGTAATCGTGTCGCCGCGGAGTGCCTCAATGGACGAGCTGGCGCGGCTGCGGGCGGAGAGGCACGCGCGGTGGCTGGAGCAGCAGGAGAGGGAAGGCTCGGGAGACCGGGGCGGCCCGAGCAGCCGGGGTGAAGCCGCAGGACCTCCAGGATCTCAAGGGAGTGCAGAGACCCCTAGGGGGGCAAATGAAGTGTTGGAGAATACGGCAGGGACCAGCAATGAGGCTGCTTTAGGGGCTGGCGGGGGTGTGGAGGGCGGGGCGAGCGGCAGCGGTGCAGGCAGAGAGGAGGGCAGGGCAGGGGGAAATGCAGAGTGCCTCGTGTGCTTCTCTTCGATCGACAGCGCCATGGTGGGTCTATTGCTATCTCCGTCACATTTTATCGGGAAGAAAGTCCCTCCAGAGGCAACAAACCCAGCGAGCAAGCACCTTGCAGAAGGTTTTCAAAGCTGTGCTTATCACCAGCCCCACTTGAAAGATAGGGCCGCAGCATGAGCCTTTCCCGGCTTTGCATTGATAGCCGTTCCCACCAGCTGCAGACGGTCTCAAATTAGAAGGTCAAGCCGGCACCATAATGTCCAGTAGATGACACCACTCCCACACCATCACTCTGGGCATAGCTTCACCCTTGCAATAAAAGGCAAGAGCATTGCACCCGGGTCAAACAACGATGTTGTTGCGTGCAGCTGCTGCCATGTGGCCACTGGCTATGCGAGGCGTGCTACCAAAAGTGGTACAGCGCACGGCAGAAGGGGCGCAAGCAGGACTGCATGGTCTGCCGCCAGCCGTTCAATTTCTCTGGCGTCTTCCGAGCACCGATCGCGCCGCAGCCGCGCGACGCGGTCGTCCGCGACGACCCCAAGTACCAGAAGGTGCATTTCAAATTCAAATCCAGATTCAAACCTGAAACCCTGAACCATAAAATTTCAGAAATTCAGAAACATCAAAACACCAAGTCAAATCAAAACAGGGCACAGAACTTCAAAACCCCAAAACCCAAAGTTTCAAATTTTCAGTACAAATATTTCCGAGTCAAATTGTAGTTTAAAGGGCACAGAACTGAAAACAAGGGCTGCTGGCGGCAGCTAGTCTGCTCCCATCTGAAGCCTGCAACGGGCTTTTTGTCAACGCTCTGTAGTATGTGCTTGCTCTGTAAAATGTGCTTGCATGGCTGTCCATGTCCAGTGGGTGTTGGCAAGATTTGGCTGAGGTGGCGGTGTGGCTGGTGCAGGTTGTTCTGAAAGGGCAGTGGGGCAGCAAGATTGAGGCGCTGCTGCGGCGGCTGCTGTGGCTCCAAGCAAAGCATCCAGAGGTCAAGAGCCTGGTAAGCCAGAGCCCCTCAATCCTCCAGTACACACTGTAGTAGTCGATCTAAAACCCGCACCCTCGGCAGTGCGGGAACTCTTCAAAGCAACTTTTAGGAGTCTTCCTGAATCCAAACATACCAGGGTCACGCTCCATTGGATTGGGCTTGTCGAGAGAATCCCGAATCTGGTCCCAAAATTATAATAGGTTTTATGTTTTGGGAGATAGGGTCTTATTTATCCATCCTTTTATCGGGGGTTTTAGAATGACTACTACAGTAATTTCCAATGCACAGGACGCTTTAGCCCTTGTGCGGTGCTTCTGGCAATTTCACTCTTGCTGTCAGTCACCCACACCACACTTCTGGCCCGGCCGATGAAGCACGTCTCTGCCGTTATTTCAGCGCCGCAAGCAAAAGCAACAACGTCATGCAGCCAGCACGCCACAATACAACCACTCAGCTATAGCATCTGCCCACCTACAGTTTTGCCCAGCCCTTTTACTGTAAAAAGGGGCTATTAGGGATGTCTTTTGCGCAGGTCTTCTCTCAGTGGCAGGGCGCTCTGCTGATGGTCAGCGCAGCGCTGGACTTGAATCAAGTCAAGCATGGCTCGCTCACCGGGAGGCACCGCGGCCAGGCAAGCAGACCCCCTTCTATCCACTGCAAGTTCCTTCGTTGATGCAACTGATGAGAACGTAGGACACATCTTGCACCATCTGACAGATTCAGCACACCCATTGTTTGACCTCCCGGGAGCCAGCGTTCTGGAATCACTCCCCTTCAGGATTGCGGTGCATGTGTGTGTGATGCGCTGGATAGATAGGGACCTAGTGATCTCCAGATAGGTTGGAAGCCACATTGGCTACCAGCAAAATCACTTGTGAGAATCACTGGTGGGCGCACTAAATCATGTGTCAATTTGAGCAGGGAAGCAACACCTGTGCTGAACCGTTGATATGCACCCGTGCCTAAATCTAAAGTTTAAAATTTAAATATATAATAAAATTATGCACCCAGGGTCCAAGGGAGGTGATAAAAAAATTCCAGGAGGACACAGACATGCGCGTGCTTCTGCTCACTCGCGGCGCTGGCGGGGATGGCCTCACTCTCACGCAAGGTAATGTACACCACGTGCTTCATCTCTTTTCTGTACAATGCATGATTCATCTGGGGTCAGCGTGCGCTGACAGTATCTGGCATGCTCGGGGCAATAGAGCTGCAAAAGAGCTGGCCCAAACTGGTTGCCCCTGTCCTGAACGCTCCTCGCATCACCAGACAATGTGTATGGTAAAAGAATCTATAGGTTAGAGTCTCTGGGTGTGAAAGAAGCGGGGTTTTTACAAATACTTGAGACTATCTGCCTCATATGTATTCTTGTTCGCTCGAGGGATTTTCAATTCCATGGGATCTTCCCCTGCATGTCATTGAATGAGATCCCCGCCTCCCTGTGCCTGTCAGACACCATGTCACAAACGTGACCTGCCCGCCGGTGCACTCGAAAATAGTATGGCCTTACTCCAAAGTGCAGCGCAACCGCAGCGAGCCAGATTGCAGCAATGAAGAGTTTATTGCTATCATTACGTGCTGTCGCTGCCAAGAGGCAGGGTGCGTCTGCAGAGAAGTTGCGTGTGAAGGCTGTCATGATCCCACCCCTTGTTGGAGCAGCCAGATCAAAGAAAGGCCCCACTCAACTGTGGGCACGGTGCTCAGTATTTGCACCTCCCCCAGCAGCCAGACCTCCCACGTGGCGATGACCTGGCGCTGTTTCTGCGCATTTCTGGGACGGCATCGTGGCAAAAGGGAGTTGCACGGACGCACGCCGACCTGGCATCCAGCCTGGCAAACATTGTGGCGCTGGCATTAGAGTTCATCCACCTTTTGTTTTTCTACCATTTTCGAACCTTCATCGACCCTAAATCCTAAATCCACCATTGCATTCCCCGCGTAGAATCATTGCTGTAAAGGTCCCTTCCCTAAACCCTAAACCCTGAATCGACATTTCATTCAACCCTAAAATCCTAAGCTAAAAAGTGGATGAGGAAAAAGGTGGGGGACATTGTGGCAACCCATGAGCCGACTCCCAATGACTGCTCCCTGCTCGGCATGCCGCTCTTCGAAAGTTTCCATGTGCATGGCCTCATGGCAGGAATGAGGTCGCTTGAAGGTAACGGTGTGTTTTGCCTGTGCTGCGCAGCGAGCCAGGTGTTTCTGCTGGAGCCCAGTGTGAGCGTGCCAGTGGAGCAGCAAGCAATCGCGCGCGTGCACCGCTTCGGGCAGAAGAAGCCAATTCTCATCACCCGCTTCATTTCACAGAACACCGTCGAGGTGAGTAGTGGTTTTTCATTATTTACCCACTCTTAAATCATAGCCCTGTGGGGCAGCCTCTCTAGAACTGCCTGGTGTTCACTCAATTTGGGTTCTCTGCCACGGAGCCTGCATGGAACAAACAACATACTCAAGGCACCTGGGAAAAGAAATCACAGGGGTTACTAAAGACTACCTTTTACCCGCTTGTCTTTAGTGCCCCCTGGAAATTAAATTCTCCTGAGGGCTTGCCTTGTTGCGCAAGTATCTGATTTTTGAGATGAACTCCTGCATGGGAGAATTTTCACTGTCTGTCAAACAGTAAGGCCAGGCTCGAGCTTACCTGCTGGCCACGATGCAGAGCCAACATTGTGTTTTTGCTTGTTGCGCAGGAAGAAGTTGTGAGAGAGGCGGAGGCGACGCAATCATTACTAAGCGATGACGGTGTACATACGGCGAGCATGCTGCAGAAATCCGAGGACATGACCACCGACCTAAACATCCGGCTGCTCACCGCCGCGCTGCGGCAGCGGCCATCGTCCGCCGCCGACAACGCCGACGCGCCCGGCCGACCCGACTCCGCCTGAATTTCTGCACAAAATGATTCTAGGATTCAGAATTTTAAAACCTCCGCGCTCCGGGTGTTGCCTTCTGGGGTGAGCAGGATTTGTACATTGAAAGATGTGCCTCATGATTCCATTTGAGTGGATCTTGTCGGAGTGATTGACAGCGGCAGACAGCGGCCGGCCGGCCGGCTTCCGGGTGACCGCAAACCCGGTGTTTCCGCCAGCTTCAAGGGATTTTATTGAGGGATTTGAAATGTGCTTCCATATTGACATTCTGGTGAGGTTGGCTCTTGAAGCAGTCATCGCCGCTCAGTTGTTGTTGCTTGATTGTTTGGCATAATCAGTGGCAGACAGTGCCTGGCAGGTTGAATTCTGAATAGCGGGCAAGATGGGGGCTCAATTGGGCGTGGACATTCAAACCCGATTTTCAAAAGCGTCTGGCACCCATGTGTGCGCAGGGAATTTCTGATGGCCACTATGGCAGAGATTTAGCATCAAATGTTGAATTTGGAAGGGCCTGGAACACTCAGCGCTGTACAGAAAACGTGCAAAAAGATCGTCACATTGGTTTTGAGGACGGACATTTGATCTTAAAGCTGCAGTGTGCATGATGGTGTGTACATAAGAGATTGAAGCAAGCACCTGCCTGCAATATACATCCCTGTGTAATAAAAGTACAGACTGCTCCTTGCAGAGAAGATCTTACGTCAGAGTGCGACAAGCTTGGCCCAAAGAATTTATAACACTGCCTCAGAAGGGAATCACGGCTTTGGTGGTGCTGTAGCAGGGGTCTCTAAACTAGTTTAATTACTTAAGAGTCCCCTGCTATAGTGCACATTCTTCAAGGGTGAAAAGAAGACCTTCCCCTCCGGGCACTGCTCGTGGCAGTCCATGTGTACTCCTCTGTGACTACGAAGCGTGTGCCATAGGTGGGGGGCTTGCATCACATGGCAGAGTTGACCATGGTACAGTCCTTGTCAGGTGCACATTCAAATGCAAAATTTCATTTAAAAGCGCATGCAGCCATGGCACACAGAATTTAGATGCAGCACCAGACCGCTTGTGGGAGCCCAGACTGTGCTGCACAGCTGCAGTCTTATGCTTATCAAAGCCTGCACTGTACAATTAATGATTAATTATTTATCAAAGCAGCAATTTTGACAGCAATATTCTGGCCTTGTGTTTGACGTCAGGAACTGACTACTTTTCAACGTAACGCTTGTTGCCTAAAATTTGGAACCATCAGCGGCAGAGAGTGCATCATTGCCGCTTGGGTTCTGGATAGCAGGCAAGATGGCATTAACAAAAGTGTTTCCAATCCACTCAACAACTTGTCAGGTGCCGCTTTCGTCACGAACACCCGTACCACAGAAATGCACCAACATGCGGCCCACATTTGCCAGCCTTCCTTTGGCAACAAATCCTCATGCTTATGAGATCCTGCACTGTACCCCTGATGGCCAGTTTCTGAATCCGCAAGCAACTTTACACCTAGTAGTTTCATGGGGGAGTATTGCAACGCTTAAGTTTCAGTACATCATTAAATGAAATTCGCCCGTCGGCCAGAGCCGTCGATGACAATATGTCAATATATAGTTTATGTCTACAATAGTACATATGTTCACACTGTGTACACTCCCGCAGTCATCACTCAAGGTCGTCCGGGAGTTCATCGTCTTCCTGCCCCGGGTCCAGGGGAGTTACTAGGTCAACCGGCAGCGCCTCATCAAGCACCGGCGCTGAAGCACCCTCCGCTGCCGTGGAGGGCGCCAGCCGTAGCTGCGACTGCCGTAGTGTTTTCCTGAAGGGCTCGTGAAAAGTTTCGTGCAGCCGCCGCACCTGCAATAGCAGCCAGAGTACAACAATTGGGCCGCAAAAGTTCATACAAGGATACCCACAAAGGTTCTATTGCACGGCGGGCCTGAATGCTCATTGGGAGGTGACTCCATATTCTGCTGACATGGCCCTTGCTGAGCTCATGCTCTTGCAAATGTTTGCAGCAGAGTGCACTGCATTTAGGAAGGGTCCTCACTCTTCACAATTCATACACTGCACACTTCACTATGCCGGCGAGTAAGCGTGTCAAGGCTTTGCATATGGATTGCAACAAGCTCTGTCCTGGAGCAGGAAAGGTGCATCTTGCAAGGGCATGCCTTAGTCGGCCCAATGCCGGGCAGCGCAGACAGCTGCTGCATATTGGCGCGCATGACACCGGCCGCCGTTTTGAAAGCCCCTCCAAGCGTGAGGACATCGGTTTTATTGACTCCGCGCACGGTTGTCAGAGCAGCAGTCAGCTTTGACAGGTAGTCCTCCTCTGTGCGGCCCTGGATCGCGTCTGCCGGCTTGCTCTCATACGCCTTGTAGGTCTCCAAGTAGCGCGCACACTCCTGCCATAGAGAAATTTGCACGAGTCATTTTCCAATCCCACACATGCATGAGGCTTGATTCGAGCTATGTCGGGCTTCTATCCTTTGCAGGCATCTTCTGACTTGGTGTTTCTGATTGATTGCCATTCCCCCTCATGCCCGAATCTTCTCGTTAAACGATCTGGCCTGCCCCTCCTTCAATTCTTTAGGCAAAGTGGAAGCCTGACATTGGAGAAACAGAAGCTTGACATGAACTGTGCATGCATCCAGAAACTCCACAGGCTGCCTTGTACATTATTGACCCCGCCTCCTTTGAGCAGTCACGGCGGGGACTGCACACACAGCAGTGGCAAATTGACAAGTTACCAGTCTCCTGCATGTGTCAAAAAGACTGCACAATGCAGATACACAGAGCAGGGCCCACCTCGTGGCTCCATGCGCAGATGAGGGTACAGTCATTGAGCAGAGCAGCTTTAGTGACCTGCGCCAGAGGCTCCACAACATCGTCCACGTCCACGTGGCAGAGCAGCACGCGCGTGCGAAACGCCCTCTGCAGCTCCTTTATGCGCCCGTATATGTATGTCGGCTTTAAAAGATGGTACCTGCCAGGCATGCGCGATTTTTGGACAATATCGCTGACTAGATTACTCATCTATGCTGACAGAGCAGTCTTGGAATTTTCCTTGCAAAAAGGACAATGCTCAAAAATCAATTCAAACTACTTGAATTGCCAGCGCCCTCTTCAAACAATAAGCCTTGCAAGGGGTGGCTTCATAAGCTTGCAGATGGAGAGCAGGTTGCCAGGACACTCAGAGAAAGCATGGCATGAATTTTGGGGTGGCATTTGAAGAAGCGCACCGCAGGCTGAGGAAGAGCGCGCAGGTGTTGGGGCCCATCTGGTAGTCTGGCACGATGTCTGTAAATTGCCATCGCACGTTGCGTATGTGCTTCAGCACCGGGTTTCCCTCCTGCCGCTTGCTCACCAGCACCGCATTGGGATTGATCTGCACCGCAGACAGTTAATAACTTCTTCAGATTTGATTCACACTGCACAGTAACTCTCGGAGATCAATCTGACATTAGCTGAATTGGTGCAGGCTCACATCAAGAAACACATATCTAGCACCACAGGCTGGCAGAAAAAGAACTGGAATCAAGGGATGGCAAAGTTGTTGGCCCTCAAAAGACACACCTGCTGCTGAGGTGGGGGTGGATGTCTGGGTCCGTAAAGGAGAGTTGGTGGCGCTGAGACAGGATAGCTCGCCCGTCCAAAGTCTGCAGATGGAGGCGGCAGAGCAACACTGCTGCCTGGCCGTGGAGGCCTGTAGTCTGGGCTGAAGACGCCCAAGCCCTGGCTGATGGCCGCTCCTGGCTGGTGCATACTGACTGGAATGCACTGCGGCAACGCATGCTGAGCATGAGCACTGCTCGCTGCTCCTGCTCCTGAACTTGCTGCAGTTGGGAGCCTGTGATGCACGGGTGCTCTTGATATCTCGAAGCTCATCTCTAACGTTACTGGATGCGTGCCAGGAAGTTTCCGAACTGCAAACACAACTCATTTGGGACGGGGAATGTCGTCAACACGTACCTGGAACTTCCTGATGGTTGATCGCCAGAGCTGCTAGAAGGTCGAAATAAGCTTGTTGGTGCTGCTGGCCGTTCTGCCGCCCGAACCTGCAATCAATCCCTCTCTTTCTGCCTTCTTCTCTTTTCTTACACTGCGATCCAGTCAATTCCCATCAAGATCAATTGGCAATGTGTTCATGTCTACCTCCTGAAGTGAGGGTAGCTGAATCACGCGCTTCTTTGGGGGATTTGCTGGTGCATCTTCCGGCATACTAAGTAGAAGAACCTTATGCGACAGCAAAGGCTGCACTACTATCAATTGGCGACGTTGGTGAAAACCAGATCAAGTCAACTACAAGATCTCTGCACAGACAACTTGACACCGCCCTTTACCCAGAAGCTGATCTCCATAAATGCAGTCGCGATCAATCTCAGCTAAATGTAGAATTCATTTTGATCCCCTAAAGACAGTTCCTGCTGTCTTGATGAGATGACATGGCGTGCACGTGGTACAGCGAGCTGCCAAGTCACTGCATGCTCCCAATGGGTCAGAAGCTTGCAACCAGAGATGTAGAAATTACTAAAAGACTAGACTAAAATATTCATCGGATACTATTTGACTACCATGGTAGACTTGCCTGGTTCGGACTACTGCAACGAGTCTGTGGGAATCACAACGGTCCTGGCTGTCGAGCCATTGAGGAGACTTCTTATGTGTACAGTGGCGATTGGGCAATGATTGATCGGAAGATATCAATCATTTGATCATAGTAATTTGAATGCTTGGAAGTTTCTTTTTCCCTGGAGGCACGGGGAATCTGGCTTCGCTCACAAAGAGTATAGGCAAGGGCATTGTAGAGGATGTTCGGGGAAGGCTTCCCTGGTACAAGCACGATTGGATAGATGGCTACAGTTACGGGATAAGGTGATGCATACCTGACTGGGGCACCACATTTCCGACGTGCATGCCTCCCTTACGATATTTAGCCAGCCTGGCCTCCAAGATTTTCACCTGAGCAACTTCTTGGCATTCAGGCTGCTAGCACCGGCAACATACATTTTCTTCGCATCTGTGATCCCTGCCTTGGCCTTCGGCCAGCAGCTCTTCATCGAGACAGGTACCCCTCTGCGTGCTTGTTGCTGAGGCCCCACCACCACCTCATGTGCACCCCATGAAGAATAACAACCATTGACCACATGCCAATCCTCTGCTAAAATATTTACAGACGATATGTGCGCGCAGATGGCCAGCTGTCAGGCGTGCAGGTGCTCATTGCCACAGCCATCACAGGCACAGTGCAGGCGTTGGTCGGAGGGCAACCGCTGCTCATCATTGGGGTGGCAGAGCCCATTGTGCTCATCTACAGCTTCATGTACTCTTTTGCCAAAGGTAGCCTTTGCTGCTGCAAGAGGCGCCAAAGTCACGTGCAACACATCGATGACTTGCCTGTCCCGACACGGCTGGCTAGACTGCACTGCTACCATTACGGTGCCAGCATTGCTGCTGGCTAGCTTGCTCTGTGGGAATTACATCCCGGCTAGCTAAGGTGTCAAAGGTCAGTTCTCCTTTCAAACACCCATTTCTGTGATGCAAATGATGCAGGGCAGGGCCAGCTGGGCGCTCGGCTCTTTCTGCCATGGGCGGCGTGGGTGTGCATCTGGACAGCCGCCATGATCCTTGTCCTGTCCTGTGTAAACGTCTGCCACTATGTGTCTAGGTGCGTCCCCTAGATGTTAACAACCCTCTGCGCTCCTTGCCCGGCGTTTTGCCTCTGTTCTCGACCTGTGTGCAGTGCTCAGGATTGCCACGTACGGTGACTTGCAGTGTCCGATTATGTCCACGAATGCGTCACATGACATGCAGGAAATTGTGCATGCAGGTTCACGCGGCTGAGCGGGGAGCTGTTCGGCTTCCTCATAGCAGTGCTGTTCATGCAGCAGGCCATCAAGGGGTGCCGCCTCGAGTTCCTGCCACAGGAGGGCGTCAATGCACCCGAGTAAGCCCCACTTTCCTTGAGCCCCACTTTCCTTGCATCATGACACTGTTGTGTCATTGGTCTCCTGCAGTCACCAAACAATCCATATTGCAGATCATACCCCAATCCTTGCACTCTGCATTGATTCATTAGACTGCATAGCATGCAAGGGCATCATGAGGCAAATGGGTCACTTACGTGGCGGTCCAGCACCACCTTGAAATGCAAAATGTCACTGTTGACTGCAGGTTGGCATGCGCTGCAGGGGTGCGGCGCGGGAGTATGCGTGGGATTTGGTGAACGGCCTGTGGAGCATATTTCTGGCGTTTGGGCTGACGCTGACAGCGCTGCTGATGCGGACGGCGCACAGGTGGCGCTTTGGCAGCACGCTGGCGCGCCAGCTCATCGCTGACTACGGCGCCCCCCTCATGGTGCGCCTGCCAACAGCCAGCCAGAATTATTTTTTTAATTCAATGATTACACACTCAGCGAGCCGCTAGGAAGGTCCTGTGAGTTGGGTTAGTTGCAGTCTCGAGGAGTCTGTTTGTTTGGCCAGCCACACTTGTCTCAAAGAGGTGAATTTAGGTCTCACCGGTGCCTTCCTTCAGTGACCACAAGAGGAGGACGACAGAATTCACCCAGAGAGCATGAGATGTCCCAAGCGGTCAATGAAGTGGCGTGCAACACCTAGATAGGCCGGTGCAGATGCTGAGTCAGCGATGCTGAGACAGCTTGCACGCAGGTGGTGGCGTGGTCGGCGCTGTCGTATGCGCTGCGCGGGGCGCCAGACGGCGTTCCCCGTCGCGTGGACATCCCCGACACCTGGAAGGACACCGGGCCCTGGTCCGTTGCGCGGGTGAGTGAGCGCCATTACTAACCTCGCCCACCTGCAGCTCCAGTATACTACACTGGGAGTCCCTCAACGCCAGCCACCTGCCCAACATGCAATGAACACCTTTTCCAAGTGGGCTCCTGCGTTGTGCATTTGCTTTCAAGCTTACACATTCATGCAAGCTGCTCATGGGGTGCTCATTGTGGGCACGTCTGTGCATGTGCAAGAGGAGAGGCACAGGAATACTGAGGATTGCATGATGCCAAGTCAAAGTGACTAGTTGCGCGTGGCAGGATTTGGGCAAGGTGCCGGGGGCATACATAGCGGCGGCGCTGCTGCCGGCGGCGGTGATAGCGCTGCTCTTTTTCTTCGACCACTCGGTCTCCGCCCAGCTGGCGCAGCAGCCGGAGTTCAATCTGCGCAAGCCGCCGGCCTATCACTACGATTTTCTGCTGCTGGGATTCATGACGCTCGGCTGCGGCCTCATCGGCGTGCCGCCCGTCAACGGCGTTTTGCCGCAGGTGTGCAATTTTGAATCCGAACGTGCAGTTGAAAATTGTGCACAGTTGTCCAAGTAAGCAAGGATGGCACGTCTCACCAGCGTGCAACCAACGGCTTGGCACTCCTTCTTTTTCTGGTGCGTTGAACATTGAATGCAGATGTCGGACACATTTTTTGTCGGACGTGGATTGATGCGCTGGATGCTCATCTCTGCACGGAGCTTGTCCTGAAAAGTAGGCTGGCAAGCAGTCTGGCGCAGATCTGCAGCACCAGTAGCAAGAGGAAATCTTGGAGAAGACACAAGGCTTAAGAATAATTTGAAATCTTTGCAATGCAAAAAACGGCGCATCTGAAAAGGTTTCGTAGCCTGAAAATGCCTGAGTGACATCTCAACACTGGTGCAGGCACCCATGCACACCAAGAGTTTAGCCACATTGAGGCAGGGCCATGTCAGGCGGCAACTGGGGAAGGCAGCCAAGGAGGCCGGCAAAGTCAGTCACACTGCAGCTGACCGGCAGGCCGCGATCAACGGGCAGGCTATAAGTGCTCCTGCTGATGGGCGGGCAGAGATGGCCGGGCAGCAGGCTAATGGCGGGGTGAATGGGCAGGCCACAAATGGCCTCGGCGTCGGCGGTGCCGGCGCATATGCGGTACGTACCGTGATATATTATTATTCTTTCTCCATCTGTTATGTTGTTGAACACCTGTAGGGTTCCACATCTGGGGCTTGACCGCCAGTTCCTTTATAGTAGAGCACCCAGCATACTAAATACTCAGCTTCACAGGTACTAGTTTGCAACATTGCACATATTACCAGCATGCTGTGTATGGGCACAGGTGATGTCGGCGATGGCCGCAAAATCGCGCGCGATGGGCTCGAGCGCCGCCGACCTGCTGCAGAAGGAGGCGGATGCGCGCTGCGCCGATGGTGCGCCTTTTCCTTCCATTTGTGCATGCTGGAGCTTCAGGGCAAAAGCGTGTGTTGAAAAGAGGGTGAGGCGGAAAAGGTGCCATGCACGGGATGTGAAGATCTGTTCAGAGCGGGTCCAGTGTGTTGCTGATGATGAGAGGGATGTAGGGAGAAAACGCTGAGGTAGGCTGTAGGCTCTGAAAAGGCTTTCATGTTGCACATTAGGCTTGGAGGCCGGCGGTGAGAATGGTGCAGCAGTCGAATTTCACTTTGAGCGGGACATTGACACCTACATTCCTGTGGAGGTAACAGAGACGCGCATCACAGGTGCAGTGCTGCCCTCAACCCTGTCACTCCCAAGTATTCCCCTTTCCTCATCAGCCTTTTGACCAGCCAATTTGCTCTTCCACTCGCAGCACACAGGCTGCTCTTGCAGCATTTGCATGTGGTACTCTGATCCTCCGCTGAAACCGCTTTGTACTTTGCCTGCACTCTCCTTATTTCTGCCAATCCTCATTGCAGCAACTCAGACAAAGCTACCTTTGTCACCCTGCAGCTCTCAGCGCAGATGCTGTTCGTGCCAAGACATGAAACGTAATAAAAAATTCATTGCGCATGTGCTGTGCAGGTTTGGTGCAGAGCCTGCTGGTTGCAGCATGTCTGGGCCTGACAATGGGCATCAGGCTGATACCCAGCGCTGTTCTGTGGGGCTACTTTGCCTTCATGGCGCTCGAATCCCTGTCCGGCAGCCAGTTCTGGGAGCGCCTGCTATACCTGGCCACAGACCCTGCCAAGCGCTACAGGTGCCAGACAATACCTCTTGGGCTTGTATCTGCATGACCAGACTCTGAAACCTTTTGAGTGGCCCTTTTGAGACCCTGTCCAGAGCTGAGAGAACGTGTGCTAACTTTGTGGAGTCGGACTTTGAACCATTGCCACATAGGAGACACAGAAGACCGACGGCTTGCTCGTGGCTTTCAGTGCCGCAGCTGCAGGAAGCTGTGGGTTCTCTCTGAGCGGGTGATAGTCAAGGCTTTGAGCGGTAATCCATTGCGTGTAGTTCTCAATTACCTTCTCTATCTTTTGTTGCAGCCTCGATGAGAGTTGTATTAGCACCTGAGTCTCACTCAGAGCTCGGGTGGCTGCCAAGCCTTTGCGGCACACGTTGAAAGCAAAGTCCTTGTATGGAAAATTCAAATTCGAACTCAAAGCTATTTTCAAACTTAGCTTGATCACCTGATTTCCTCTGCGCTGCGCAGGCTGCTGGAGCAGGGCCACGCGCCCTATGTGGAGACACTCCCTTACAGGGCGGTGGCGGCCTTCACGCTGTTTCAATTAGTATATTTACTAATAGTTTACGGCATCACCTGGATCCCCATCGCGGGCTTCCTCTTCCCGCTGCCCATCATCGCGCTCATCCCCATCCGCACCTCCCTCCTGCCCAAGGTCTGGAACGCCCCTTGACATAATGACTAAAAGGGGTCCATTTCTGCACTGCGCTGCATCTTATACCCCTTCCAGCCAGCGACGAGAGCCCTTGCATGATCTGCGTCCCTGCTTCTGAGAGCCATCTTGAGCAGAGCATGCCCAGCACCTCAAGCCCACCCAGTCAGATACTGATGCTGCATACGGCAGCAGAATCATTCCCGCATCATTTGGGGTGGCACACCGGTTCGCTCACGTGGGCATGTGCTGCAGGTGTTTTCGGCCAACACGCTGCGTGAGCTTGACGCGGCTGCGTATGAGGAAGCGCCACCGCTCACCCATGAGGAGGCAATTGCACAGATGGTGCGCCGCAGCTCAGCCCTCTCAGGTGCAAAGAGAGCTCTTTTCTGTATTATAGCCTTCTGAAGTCTGATTTGGCAAGTGGAGGAAGGTGACCAGACAAAATACCCGAGGGAGGCACTATTGGTGTAGACGTCCCTTCGTGTTTGTCAGATCCCTCTCTCTTTCCAGAGATAAAGCTTAAGTTAAAAGACGAAGCTAGAAAAAGTTAAGTCTCCATGACAAGCTAAAGTCTGCTTCATGAGATGAACACAGCTGGATAGAAGTGCAAAGGAAGCGGAACACAGTAATACTTAATCAGGAAGGTTAATCAGAGTACAGCATGCTGTGAGTGTTGCTGTCAATCTGCCAGCAAACTTCCTTAACGAGGGGCCCCTTAAGGACATGAAATGCACCACGCCCATGATCATCTATGGGTTGCAGGGCGCTGCAGGCCACTTATTTTTTGTCCCCTGATGTTGGCATGACAAAACTTGTGCCATAGGAGGCATGTGTAAAAGGGTCTGTGCACATGCAGGAGCGGCAGAAGGGGAGGAGGCTTTAGATGAGGAGGTGACGCATGGGCGGACGTTCCAGATCAGGCACCATGTCAGCCGCCGCTCAATGCAGATCCGGCGCTCGGCTTCGGCGAGCCGTGATCCGCCCAGCGGCTCACCGTGTGACGCTGCAGGGAGGGAAATAGAAACAAGGGGCAGCTACGGAAAGGAGGTGGAAACACGACTCAGCTCTGGCAAGCGAACAGATTATGGCGAGCAAGTAGCGCTGGGCAAGAACCCGGTAGAACTTGATGTCAACGTTTGACTAGGCGACTAGGTGGGTAGAGGGCCGGGTGTCAGGTAGGTACGCAATGGTTGATTTGACTCATAAGTATGCCAAAGTTCAGTCCTCAGCGTATTGCATTTTGTTTTGACAGGCTTTGCTCAGGGGTCTCAGGAAAGAGGATTGCTGCATGGAGGCAAGCACTCGGCCTGGAATCTAGCTCTGAATGATATTGGTGTTTCAGACGCGATTCCAGTCGCTGAGCTGCACTCTGCATTTAACTTTGAAGTAGCAGGGCGAGGTGCTCAGTGCTTCAGAGGTACCGGTCAATAACAAATTCATTTGGTTGAGTAAATGGTTCTGTCAAACCTTCTGTCAAACCGGTTTGTGACTGAAAGATCTAAACAAGTAGACGTGCAACAAAGTTGTGCTCAGTGTCTAGTAGACCAGGTTGTTGGCAATGTGCCCAAGAACAGACTTATGTCGTTCGTGGTGACCAAAGCAGGCAGTCAAATTCTGAGTTATGGTTTTATCATGCGCTCTCACTTATTCCTGATGATATCCTCTTACAGACGATGCTCTCTGGTGGCACAACTGCCTAGAATTGTAGACCATCTATCAATGCTGCTCAAGCAAGCAAAAGAAAGTCTCACGATTGAGGCAAACTTTCAGACGCACATTCCACTTCCTCTGCAGAGGGATATGATTGAGCTGCTCTAGTAGTAGCTGCCCTTAGAAATCTCCTCGTCCACTTCCTTAGTCAGCTCTGGGTCTGCTGCCAGCTCATCGTCCACTGTCCTCGAGTTCAGCTTCTCCTGCTCACAGCCAAAGAATGCCATGTCACCCACGTCCTACACAATGCTGCTTCAATGCCAGCCATACCAGCAGCTTACTACACACTGCACCAGTACATCGTCAGGCTTGCAGCGATTGGCAGCTCTGTTGCATCTGCTGTAGGCACATCACATGCATGCATGAACGTACGGCCCTCCGCCTTTTGTCACACCCATCTCACAGTGATCAAACCAAGTCCCATATGTTTCACGCACCACACTTGCACGGCAAGCCAGCACCTTGTGCTGACTCTGGCGCTGCTGCTGCCTCATTCTACATCTCTCTTTGTCTCAAATCTTCCCTGCATGCATGCTGCACCTTAGACTCACAAGAGTTCTCAGGGGCAGCAGCGCACCGTCTCCTCATCGATGGTGGAGATCTCCTTCTGGATTTCCTCGTAACGCTTCTTGGAGTAGGCCTCCAGCTCCTCGCTGCTTTTCAACAGCGGCTCAAACTCGCCATCCACCTTCTTCAGCGCCTCTGTCACGTCGTACTTGGGAATCTTCACGCCTGTTCAGGCGCCCAGCACAAGCCAGTTAGCAATATCCCTTGTCTTACGAGCACAAGACACAATCTTCATGCCTCTGACATGGGTTTGCAAAACAAAGTTACTGCGTTGTAAGGCTGTCAGGCGTTTTTTTCAAAGTTTTTAAACACAGCAGACAGCAAAGCACCAGCAGGCGCTTGGGACTTGATGTTTCATGTCTAGGAGCGTCATAAGAGAGTAGGATGTGGCGATGAGCAGGTCAGGGATTAGGTGTATGGACGGGTGGATGAGTCACCAGCAAAGGCCTTTTTGAAGGTGTCGAGGATGGCAGCGTCAACCTCTTTGAACTCATCCCAGTTGATCTCCTTTGGGGCCTGCGCAATTCACACAGATCGTTGGAGATTGCTACGCAAGACTGTGGTACCAGAGCACCTTTCTCAAGATGGGATCTTCCAGTTAGTCAATCTGGTCTTATACCATGTGACAAGCCCTGAGCTGCTCCAGATAGGCATCTCAGTTTGGATATTACAGATCGAAGACGTGTGTGGAAGGATCTTAGCCACTTCTCAGAACGGAGAGCGTGTTCATTTCAACAACCCATGGCTCAATCCTGAGTCATTGGCTGCATCCCTCCACAAGAACTGAAGCTAAGGGACAGCCCTACTGCAGATGTCCACGTAGAGTGCGGCAGCATATATTTGTGTCTTGCAATTCTTGGATAGCAGGAATAAGTTGCGCAGGGTGCCTACCGTGGAGGGCTTGCTCAGCTTTTGCCTGAGCTCGTTGAACTGGGCGCGCAGGCTGCCAACCTCCCGCTTGGCCTCATCAGATGTGACCAGGCTGTAGAAGGTGTCCCAGTCAGGCTCCTTCACAGCCAGCTCACTGGCAGCAGCCATGTGTCTCTGCTGTGCCACTGCCATCAGGCCGCTCCGTGCCTGCAGGTGCAAGGTGAGTAGGGAGCATCAGTGGCAACACGAGATTGTAGCTTTTACCACATTGATGGCTGAAACCAAAAGCCTATTGACCTATTGACTAGCTTGTATATGGAAGTCCGCAGCTTTTGGTTGCTGTGCACAGGGGCTCAAGGCCACCCCTTTATCATCCAAGTGGCTACGCTGTGACCGTCACCCACTCGGTCCATATAGATGGGGACTGAAGTTTGCATATCGGATCAGCCTAAGCGTCAAGCACTCGAGCAAATCTGAGATACTCAATCCGTTCCAAAGGTGAAGTTTATTACGACATGCGTACTGCGCGCCTTACGATCCCCAAGGAGACCCCTAAAATCAAGTGCGAACCGATAGAAATGCTACAAGCAGCTCCATTCGTGCTCAGGCTGCCAAACCTATTTGCTGAAATCGTAAATAACACGCAGGTGATGCGTGCTCTTGCTGCCAATCACAATCCTACCTTCTGCACATTCCGCAACAGTGTTGACCGCAGCATGTTGGTCCCGGATGCTGGGTGCTCTGAGGTGGCTCCTCTTGTCGATCACTAGATGCCACCACCTGTGTGTCGCAAACCTTTGCAAGCTTTTGCCCACACGGGATGGTGGCCTGATGTTTCGCCTTATCTATGCCGGGGTCTTTGCACACTTGGGCAATTCTTCTTTACAGCATCAAAAGTTGTTGCATTTTGAGGCAATCCTGGGGGGGTCCCCTCGGTCTTGGTCCCCCCTGCATGTGCCGTAACCTTTCGGAACATCGGACCTCGGACCACGTTTGACCCACTCTGGCTCGTCTTTTGTTCATGTGTTCGACTTCAGACTGTGAAGTATAGTTTTGCGTAGCAACCAAGCAGAGACAGCCACAGAAGAGCGGGCAATCGGAGCGTTTAGCGTAGCAACCGCTTTTAGAATTGCAGTCAGCGTCCCTGATACTAGGAGGCAGAATAGTCCAATTACAGAAAGGAGACGCACTACAGGTGAACCACTCCCAAACTTATGGTAGTGAGAGGATACAGGAGTAATTATGTATGAGAACAGGACACATTCCAGTCGTTGCGCCAAGCGCTTCTTAGAGAGTTCGACAGCCATGGGCGCCATGAATCTTAATGTGGGCATCAAAGAATGCTAAAGCGAGATGTTATGTTCTATATGCCCTGGGGCAGCGATAAGGCAAATTCCCTAAGGTTTGCAAGCCCAAGGTAGTCATGCTATCAGAGGGATGGTTGGTGGCGAACAGAGCAAAGTGACTGTCGTTGCAAATTGACAACACAGGTCTTCTGATACCATTGCTAGCATATCATGTATGCACCGTTGGAGCGAAAATCCACTTGGAAATGGAGGATGCCCTTTGTGAAAGTGCCTGGAGCACCCACCTCCAAGGCTATGCAAGGTGCGCCTTACATTGTGACTCAAGCGCAATACAAACAAGCAGTAAATCATCCATTACTTTTAAATTGCCATTCTAGGTCTGTTGTGCTGGGCGAATGTTCATGGAAAAGAGCTGTGCTGCGCAGATGAAATTATCCACCATCAGAGGCAGGAGATTGAGTACATGCGCGAACAGCTTCACATCCAAGTATGAACCACACTGTTCTGCAGTGTCTGCTGCTGAAGTGCTAACACTGCTCAATATATTGCTGCAAGTGCAAAGCCAAATTTTTGAAAGTACCATAAGTAATGCGTGGAGGGCGCCAGAGGCAGCCAGGTCGATGACCTCACTTGTGAATCAGCCAGTCACATTACATCGCTTCCAGCCAACTCAGGGCTGATCCTATGCCTGACTCTGATTGTCAAAGTCAGCTACCAGCATGACACACAAGCACTGAAAATATGGCAAAACAGCTGAGACTGGGGGTGTGGTTTCTAAGAATGAGGAGCTGAGGAGAATACAGAGGCAGACAGGCACGTCTGCGCAGCACGTGCTTGACCTGCGCGAGCGCCTCAACTTCCAGCGTTTCAAGTACGAGCTCCTGGTCGACATGGTGTGACTCTCAAGCCTTCGATCCTGAAATTGCAGTGCATTGCTCTTGGCCCCGGCTGGCGGAGGGCGGTACATATACTGAGCACCGTGCCCACGGTCGATTAGGTCTTGCTTGGATATGGGGAGTCCATCAAGGGGTAGGATGTTCGGCAGACTTGAAATGCAGCCTCTCTGCAGATGCACGTTGCCTCTGGCAACAGCTGCATGTATGAATGTGAGAGCTGTCGCTTGAGCTTCAGCTCCAAAGAGGGAGGTGCATGACAAGAATTGGATTGCCTTGAAGCTGGCTCACATGCCACTGGCAAGTTGCCAGACAAAAACATGGATGGCTTTCTCCAAGCAACAAAGCTCTGCTGATGGGGTCCTCGCAAAGGGTTTCAAGTGTGATTAAATGTTGTGTGCACTGTGCAGTGGGCAATGAGGGTGTTGGACAATGAGGAGCTGGCGCATGAGCATTCTGGCACGCTGTGATTGGACCTGGCGGGGAGGCAGTACATAATCCAAGCTCTAAGCATCTGTCCACTGGTGACTGCGTGCTACGTATTAGTAATGCCTGGATCTGACGCGTCAGCAAGGTCGGGAAACTGCAGGATCCTGTACTTGCACCTTGACTGCATGGAATTGACTGGTTGGAAGATCAAAATGGGAGGTCTTGCAGTGGAGGGTCAGTTGCCAGTACAAAAACGGTACAAACAAATCGGTGCACCGTGTAACGTACAAGAAATGGTCGCTTACATGAAATGGTACTTGCCCCACAAGAGCTCCGTAAGCATTAAAATTACAAGAAGCAAAGTGTGTCAAAATATCTACAGTAGATCTATGCTACAATCACCACTATCAATATGGGGACTTTGCTTATTAAGCCATTTGGACTTCCAGATTATTGCAAATTCCCATCATGCATGTTACAGCTTTTGCTGGGCAGGGTCTGATCTGCAGCTGGGACAATGGAAGGACGCCAATCAGGCCGTGAGGCTTTCGATGAGTGCAGTTGCACCCGGCCGGCATTCTTCTGGCATCCAGCGCATGTGCTCTGCCAGAACACTGGCACAGTCATCTAACGGCGGCTGCACTGTGTCGTGGCAGAAGCGGTACACCGCTGTGAACATTCCCAGATCACCTGCCGCCCGAGCCACATTCAAAGCTGCCCGAGCCACATTCAAAGCTAGCATCTGTGAAAGCACGTTTAAACTCCTGCCAGCTGTGCGCAGCCTCCTGTTTCTGCCATCAGACATGGTGCACCCGCAGCAGGATTGCATGCTTGTCGGAAGATAACCTTCAGCGTCTTACAATGTGTTCATCGAGACATTGCATCCCAAATGTGCCTCCATTGGTAATGTCGGTGCCCTTGCCCAAACAAGAGAAAGTACATTTGTGGCTACAGTGGATCCTGGTCACTCCCAAAGGACGTGGAAAGGGGCACCTGTCTCGGCGGCAGCTTGGAGGAAAGCAGAGGGAGCCAGGCTCTCCACTCTGTGCGTGCGAGCGCAGCGCAGCGCCCTTATGACCTGCCCATACATACCCTACCACAGTTTAGCCAGTATCAATAAGCCATCAATACTAATCTGTCACAACTCAGCACCTGGCACTAGATGGGTTTGGCCGGGCTGGCAAGAAAGATGCAGAGGTCCAAAGCCAAGGTGCAGCCGATTTCACAGAACAACCAAACGTCAAAGCCGGCTAGCAACCAAGCCAGATGCTGACGCCATGATGCACCTTTCTTGACAAGCTGTGCTTCTCGCAGTATCTCGTGATATTTACAGAGATGACTAATGCAGGATTTTTTTGAATTTCTTTGGAAATACTTTTACACCCGCACCTGCCCCTGCTGCAACAGCTGTCGGCAGCGCTCCTCGTGCGCGCCTAATCTAGCAAGTGAGTCATCCGCCAGCTGCCCGCCACCTGGCAGGTCCCCTGCAGCTTCAGCCTCCGCCAGCCTGGCCGCCACATCAGCGCTCGCCAACCCCTGCTGCAGGCCCACCTTGACCGCCACCTGACAAGCGCCAAACAGAAGGACTTTAACAAATTTGCAAATTTACCCTATCTTTCCCTGTCCTTCACCCTTCTGTAGAAGGCAAATGTGATAGAGGCTCTATTTCTGGCTTGTATGTGCATTTCTCCACCACACACACAGAGTCAGGATTTTTTTCCGGACTGCTGTCAACGGCAGGCCCCACAGTTCTTTATGCAAGTTCACACAAACTACCTTGCAAACTCTACGCATACGAAAGGCTGGATGTGGAATCCACAACACTTTCACGCACATGCAACAACACTTGTTCTCGCTCATTTGTTCTTGTACTAATGGCGCTGCCCTACCTGGAAGGTGTGGCCGAGTTGCAGGGCAACGTCGAGGCTGAGGGCGTGGAGGCGAGCCGGAGAGGGAATACCGTGAGCCGCCAGACTGGCGTCCAGCTCAGCAAGCGCCGCCTGCAGGTAGGGGTACCGTTAATAAAGTAAACACGTGTTCTTGTAGTTCTGCAAGATACTTGTTATTATGTTCCATTTCAGAGACCTATTGGGTGGCTTCCAATACTTGTAGGTAGTCTTTCACTAACACACCTAATATCAAAACCTTCTGTTGTGACTCAAGTCGGTCAGAATTATGGCAATCCTAATACTGTTCTGGCCCAGAAATGCATCCAAATGCTGCTATGCCTGCAGATATTCTAGCAATCTCGGCATCCAAGGCAGTGCGAGCGCCAGGGAGTGCGGAGATGGGCTGCCTCACTGTGGGAATGCAATGCATGCAACATACACAACAAATGTTCTTACATTCTGAAGGATGATATTATTCCTACAGGAAAAATATACCATGATAGACCCACAGGTAATAAAGAAGCCCGACCTGCAGGTAAGGGGCATCCACCGCCTCCTCTTCGTGCAGCCACTGCAGCACGCCCAGCACCGCCTGCGCACAAGTTCGAATTTGGATTTGAGATTTGACTTTTTCCGGTCACATGTCTTCCGCAGCCCTGAACATGTGTATCAAGACCCGGGTTGACATCTGCATGTCGTACATTTGCCAGCTGCTGGACAGATCTTTCAATGAGAGGGGTACCAGCCATGAACAGTCTGCCATACCATTATAACCAGCATGCTGACAGTAAAACACAAGCTTCAAAACGCTGGGCACACTCGAGCGAAAAGTGGCATCACCTCCGGTGATACGATTGCCCTCTCCTGGGGTCGGCCGGACGCCGAAGCCGGCCGGCCCGGCCCGCGCGCCAATTCCAAGGAGGCGGCCGCCACAGCATCAAACGCTGCGCGCGCCACCGAGGTGGGCTGCCGATCGACCAGCAACCCCTGGAGTGCGCATGTAAATGTTACTTTTACACGCCTTTCCCATCCGTGACAATCAATCAAGGCCCTGTAAGAAGCCGTCCGGGCCGCTGCGCTGTGTTGCGCTCACTTACAGCCCTGCCCCTGTCCCCCATCCTCTCATCGCAGCACAAAACCGCCGCTGGAGGGGTGTGAACTTTTTATTGTATAAGTTGCAAGGACTTGATGACAGATATGTGTGGCACACCCGCTGCAGTAAGACTGCAACACAGCCTATCCCAATTATCAGAGTGTCTGGCTGCACAAAAAGGGCAAGAAGCTTGCTTTCAGAGTCTCTCAGCATACAGCCTTAAGATGGCACAAGCATAGCTGTGCTGTGATTCAAGGTGAGAAGATGCATGCGTCCGCAGGTCAGGGGGCCCGAGGCAGGGTTTTCAGGGTAGAGACCCCTGCCTTGATGGTGGAGAGGGTGAGCGAGGGAATGTCGACCGAGGGGTGCGCGGCCGCGCGGCGCCGAAGCAGCAGCGCTATCAGCTGAGCTGAGTCATTGCAGGAGCTCGCCAGCACTTGCAGGTCCACCTCACACCTCCACCCCACCTGCATGGATGCGCACGAAAAACAAAGGATAAGTGTGAAGCGTATGGAACTTACAAAGAAGAACGAGGGCTTTCAGATGTAAGCTGATTTGGGAAATGATTCTGTAACTCAACAATGCTGTGAGTCTGAGCGCCCGGAACTGTCAATCAGGCGTGGTACGAGATCTTGCGAGCACATTTTCCGAACAAAGAATCCATCTGTTTTCATTGTGTACAGATTGAGATCCTGGATGATGTCTGTACTTGGCTTGCCAACCTGACACAACACGGCTCCTGGAGGAGCACATGTGCTTGACAATACAGGCACGGACACAGGACTGACCATACCGCGCTACTGTGTGCTCCTTTTCAGTCGAAATGCATGCAGCCAACAGACCCAGAGCCAGTGGACTCATGTATTGGTGCCCGATCCCATCATCATGTCTGTCCCCAAGTATACCAAGAATCTGCCTCCCTAAAGCCGAGATGGTCGTATCGCGACAGGAACATCAAGCAAAGGGAGGCTTACCCCGGTGAGTGTATCCAGCACGAGGTTGGGCTGCTCGAAGCGCCAGGCGGCCATGTTGGGGGGCTGCAGGGAACGCCTGCGTACGGCCCTGGGCGACGCCACGCTGGACGATGAGCTGGCGGGCAACTCCGCCTCCTGCACCATTGTTCGTGACCTCTCAAAGAATTAGTTCTTACTCATCCATCATAATCACATTTCTTACCGCTGCGCTGTAGCTGTAGCTGCCAGGAACAGCTGCAGACATGAAGCTTGCGGTGCACCCCCTCTGGTCCGCTTCCATGCCATCTTGCGGGTCCCAGCTGCCATCTGATGCTGGTCCAAGTAGAGAAAGTTGTTTCATTATGGCAGCAAGCTATCAGCCATTCCTCCACCACACAAATTGACCTCGATTGAGCGCTTCATATACAATGCACAACAAGCAGCATACAAGCAGCCCACCCCGATAAGGCTATGAACGCATGCTTGATGTCCTACACCTCGCACCAACCTGGCAACCTATTGCAACCTCCATTGCACTTACTTTGGGCAGTGGCCCACCACCTAGAAATTTGCAAAAAAAATGGACGGAACAAAGCCCGCAAAACGAGGTCGCCTCAGAAGCGACAGGTGGCGCACCCCGATGGGCGCCACTGCGAATAAGTTGATTGTGGCTGCCACGATTGACCCAAGCATCTTTATAGGCAGGGACCAAGTGCATGCTGTGGCTCCAGCTGCAGCAAGGCGATGAGAGCATCTCCTAACAAATGCTTCTTTGCCTCAACAAAGCTGCGCAGTACCCAGAAGCCCTCAAGCAGCGCACCCCGATGGGCGCCATGGCGAAGGGCTGCGCGGCGGACACCGGCGCGGAGCCGCCAGAGACGTCGATGATCTGCGCTCGGCCGCTGTGGCCCATGTGCGCGATTAGTAAGTTGTCGAACACGCTGTAGCGCACCCCGCTGCCCGGCATCTCATACTGGTGCTGCAGTATCACGGCGTCCCTGCACCAGTTGCATGCATGCAACCTCACATCGTATGAATCATGGATATCTTGTACTGTAGGGGTGAGGGAACAGGAATTGCACAATCTATCTGCGCATGTCTTGCAGCGTTTGCTGCTGGTTACCCCAATACCAAGCCACGCATGTCCTCTTTATCCCTGTCTTGATGGTATGCTACAAAAAATAGGGCTCCTATGAATGCCAGGGTCCTGGCATAATGAATGTTACAGTCTGCTGTCACTCCATCCATGCACTCATGAAGGACTGCGCATACCTTTTCTAGCAATAACATTTGCCTGCAGAAGTGCCTGGCAAGGAGCTGTTTGAGCAAGAGCATCTTCGAAGACACTAGAAAACTCGTCTGCTGGTGCTACTTGCCCTTACAAACAGCAGCAATAAGCACAGGACATAGCGGCATATGCTCACTCGAAGATGACAGCGAGTGAGACAGGCGGGAAGATCTGATCGGAGACTCACACATAGAAGCGGTACAGCAGCAGGCGGCGCGCTGGCCGATTGAGGTATGCGCAGTAGACGCGCCCGTACACGGTCAGCATGCTGACATCAGCGGGGTCCAGGCGGCTGGCGGCCGGGGGCGTTGTCGTGGCAGGCGGCGTGCTGGCCGCTATCTGGAAGGGTGGCAGCTTTGCCACTCCTTTTGCCGTGAACTGGTACCCCTGCATGCATCCATGGCATCCTCTTTTCAAAAGTCTGATCCCCATCCTCACCAGTGGGAACAATTTTGGTAATTTGAAACGAGATTCTCAGGTTTTCATGGAGAAGCTCCCTGATGGAGCTGTGACAAAAAAAATGAGTGACCTGCAGTGATGGCAAAGCATGAGGAATGGCATGTACGCATTTCCGCATGGGAGAGCACAATGCACATGAAGACAGAATGACTCATGCTGCAGATGCACCTGGAGCCAGAGGCCAAGTTCCCCGGTGCCCAGGAGTGCGAGGCGGCTGTCGTGAGAGTAGCGCCACCAGCGAATGGGGTGCTGCAGCTTCCCCTCATGCTTCAGCCCCTGCACACATCTCCATTAATATAGCTCCCACAACCTGCGTCACAATTACCCCCCGCCCCCCCCATGAAGTGGGACATCTATCTTTGGACCAGCGGAGAGGGCTGTATGGCTGCTGTTCTCAGAAAGACAGCATGAATAGCTGCATGTCTGTGATGCAGGCTGAGCTCATGTAATCCCAGCTCCTCATGCAGGTACAATGCGCTCTTGGCAGACATGGTATGATTGGGAAAGTGACAGTACAATCCCATTTTAGCAAGTCCACAGAGCTGAGAGAGGACGGGTGTTTAGAAGGGAATTGCATGGTGAGCTTGTGACTAATCAGCAGTGAGTTTCTATATTGAGCGCCGTTCTGAGCTACTATCCTAAAAGGTCAAGTCACCTGGCGGTCGGCGGCGAGCGTGTAGAGCTCCAGGCCTGCATTTGTCACCATGACAAAGTCGCAGCCGGACGCGCGCGCCCAGAAGAAGCCGGTGATGGCGTGCTTGCCGCGCAACGCGCTCTGAACAAACAGGTTGGGGCTGTCGCGCGAAACGAACTCCAGCCGCTCCGGCGTCCGCTGCAGCGCCACTAGCCGCCCGTCTGGGGATACGGCAGCCGCCACAATCGGCGGACCTGGCTCCATCTCGGTCACCTGCAGGAAATTTGTTGATTTTATTGTATCAAACACCCCTTAGTATGAAAGCACTCCATGGTAAATGTGTCTTTCTGCAGGGTTCACGATTACCAATCCAACGAGCATTGCCCAGTTATCTGGCTGGAGATTCTGCCAGTTCACCCTGCTAGGTGAGTTGCATTGTTACTCGGTAGGCATGCTGATTGTTTGATTGTGCAGGCAGAAGGCCGGATATAGCACATGAGTCCAGCTGGTGCGCAGTCTGCACCTGTGGCGGCTCGCTGGGCCTGTCGATGCTGTAGGCGGTGATACTGCCGCGGCAAACTGCCAGCAGCAGGCGCGCAGCCTGGCTGTAGTGCAAAACATCCACGCCCTCAGCGTCAAATCGCAGGCCCGCGTCGCGCAGAAACACCTGCGCCGCGCCCGGCTGCGGCGTCCCCGCCATCGATATTGATCCTGCCTGCCACATGAAAGGATAGAATGCAACAAGCTACAATAGCAGCATCAGAACGCTTGCTCTGTGCGACCTAAAATGTCAAAATTGGTGCCAAAATTGGCAGGTTGTATTAAGAAAGGTGGCAGTGGCGAGCACGCTCCCACCCGAGTGGCAAGCAATCAATGCCTCAGCTTTCAGCAAAGAATGTGATAGACAATCTTCCTAGTGGTTTAGAGAAATATGCTTGGCAACAAAACTACTGCTCCTATCAAAATGCAGCAAAGCACCGTACCTTCAGCTCTATGGCCTCACAACATGCTTGCCACGTAGTGATGCAGAGATGCGAATTACTCCATGGGGTGTAGACACCTGAAAGGATAAGTCACAGATCCCGCCTTCTGCTGGCGTTCCAAGCAGCTTGAGAACGCATGACCGGACCTGTACAAGAGACGAGGACTTGATCAATCCAAACAATGCTACGCACGCAATTACATAGGCGTCACACCATAAGGATCTGTGCGCTTTTATCTTAAAAAGTGGCTGAATGCGGCATGGGAACAATGAGAGATTGTGAATGTTGACATCACCAAGCGGCTGAAAAGTCTCTTTGATTTTACATCGACCACCTTATCACAAGCGAGCTCGCAAGGCACAAGGCCGTCGAATCATACCAAGTCAATTTCCCATGTCTCATGAGACCAAGGATTCCTTGACAGGTATTTTCCTTTCACTTTCTTCCAGGCTTACGTGTTGCTTACGTGGGGACTCACGTGGCGATTGTGCCTCCCTTTCTGTGATGGGTTCCAGTTTATTTGGGGTCTCCTGTTCTGCGTTCCTTTCTTCTTCTTCTTCTTCTTCAGAACACAAAGAGGTTGCGGTGAAGAGGAAGTAGATCCCGAGAGCCGCGACGATGTATGCCGCTTTGAATTCCCAAACCACAGAGACGATGATCTTTGCCTCTTCGAGATACTCCTTAAAATCGAGCCCGGCCTGTAGCAGAATTCAGAATACATACATTGAGAATCCATTCAGATATATTCATGAATCGAGACTAGTTTGGCGAAACAAGAACGATGGAATAACACAACACAGACCTTGAGGGAAGCGTGTTTGCCCATCGGTTTGAGCAGCTTTTCTGCCTAGCAGCAGACAGTAGCGGCCGCAAGTGTCCTGACCTGCACGACAACCTCCTCTGAACACAGCGACATGGCAGAGCAGAACACTCAACATATCAAGAGCAATACTGGGACACAGACCTTGGGCGAGAAGGCTGCGCGACATGCGCTGACTTCGGGTATTCAGAGGAGGATGTCGTGCAGATCAGGGCATCTGCGGCCGCTGCTGTCTGCTGCTAGGCAGAATAGCTGCCCATACCGATGGGCAAGCACGCTTCCCTCAAGGTCTGTGTTGTGTCGTTCCATCGTTGTTGTTTCGCAAACTGGTCTCAATTCATGAACAGCACTGAATGCATTCCTTTTATGTATGTATCTTAAATTCTGCTACAAACCGGACTCGATTTTCAGGAGTATCTCGAAGAGGCGAAGATCATCAACTCTGTGATTTGGGATTCAAAGCGGCACACATCGTCGCGGCTCTCGGGATGTACTTCCTCTTCACCGCCATCTCTTTCTGAGAAAGCGGAGAGTGAGTCATATACTAAGCAAACACTCGTCTGTGTGCAGTCCTCCAATATCATGCCTGTCTACAGGGCAACATCTCAAATTGTGTCCCGTTCATGTAACTTGCTCCATTCAGGAGGCCGATTGATAGAGCTCGAGTATGCAGGCGCATTCTCCCGGCTGATGGGCGGTATTGCATTGTATGTGATGTGTGAGGGTTTTAAGACCCCAGATGGCAGCTTCTACAAATATATGTGCGTGTATCGGTGTTCAGCCGCTCTGGCCACCGTGTTTGAGGCCACCGGAAAGCGCTTTCAGCTGCGCAGCCAGGAGCGCCGCGACAAGAATGCAAAGCAGTGAGCTGTAGCTGGCTAGGTTTAGATTATTCAATGCAACTGGGGCACGGCATTGAAATGGAGCATTTACGGTGAGAAGTGTATGAACAAGAAAGGCCATGTGGCTAGTCTAGATTTTTGCAAGTGAATTTTCTCAACAAAATGCAATGTAGCACCGCTGTCAAAGCTTATATTTGAGATGTTTCCGTTATCTGTAAGTCTGCTTGGCTTCAACGCCAGTTGCAAGCTTCAGAATTGGAAATGGGGTTGGTAATCATTTTATGCACAGAGGCAAAGACAATCTTTGCAGATGTTACACTTCTAGCAATTAACTCTGTGGGGCACGGCAGACTTACCTAGCTTTATATTGTGTATATTGTGTATATTGTGTATATTGTGTATGCAGCTTGTCTGGAGACACACCTTCCATTTGGCAGGAAAAGTGTGTTGTGATAATAGTAATAATAATATTGTGTATCCACACTTACGAACCCCCCAGAGTTCTGTTGCACGTGCATGCATGGTTGCATATGTATCTCATTGCATGGGCTCAAGCTTGCATGCAATCGCCGCCACACGACAAGGCCCAGCTATACCCGTGGGGAACAATGCTTCTACCAAGCTATTCATTATTGTCACGAAAGATGGATTTTGTTTGTTCAAGGCTATACAAGCAGAAGACACTGCGCCCTCTATAGCTATGGCTGGCAGAGTGGGCTCACTCCTTGCATTTTGCAGCTGCTGCTATGATTTTTAAACTAACCCACTGCATTCTCCGGATCTATTGTTGTACCTTAACCTGAGTCTGTTACAACAACAGGTTGGGCACATCTTTGCATCAGCTGCTAAATCCTGATCAGTACAGCACAATATCATACTTGTGCTCGATGCTAATCGGCCTGTCATACGTGACGACCACAGCGGCATTGCGCGGCCCCTAAGAACCAGTACAACAGACACGGGCAGGAAATATCATCTCATCCCACAGGCGATTTGGTGTTTTAAAGGTTTCAAACACCCCCAAATATGAAACCACGCCAAAGTTCTTATTTTCTTCTGCAGGGTTCACGATTACCACTGCGAGGTGTGTTTGCAGACAAATAAGCCGCAGTTTGAGCCAGTTCTACCGTTTGTTGAGCTCACGAGAATCAATCAGACATGGGCGCAGCTTCAAAGCATTCATTAGGAATCCCTCATCCAGCCAAGGTGCCATCTGCGCCAGAATATCCTGCTGACTCACCCTGCTAAGGAAAGGTGCATTGCTACTCAGCAAGCATCCCTAAAAGTCTTACCCAAGAGGCAGAACGTCTCATGGTAGAGAGAACCCGCACGTGAGTCCAGCTGGTGCGAAGTCTGCACCTGTGGTGCCTGGCTGGGCCGGTCGATGCTGTAGGCGGTAATACTGCCGCGGCGAATCACCAGCAGCAGGCGTGCAGCATGACTGTAGCGAAGCACATCCACGCCCTCAGCCTCAAAGCGGAGGCTCGTGTCGCGCAGAAACACCCGCGCCGCGCCCGGCTGCGGAGGCTCCGCCATCGATATTTATTCCTGCATTTTGTCAAGCACATCTATTGTCTTGCTTGGCTGAAGAGGTACAAAAGATTAGGAGATGGGACGAGAGAGGAGTCCTTCCTCACATAAGGTAGCCTAGACCCTGCTCCTTGTAATGCTTGCTCTCAAGCATGGGTGCAGAACAGCGGTGGCAACACGTGCAATACTTTCGCAGACCGCCAAACCCGGAACAGCCAAAGTCCATGAGCATGCATGAAACGATACATGATCGCTTCCCCGCTGCAGCGTCCTTTCAACGGACCTGTTATGGAGTCTAGGACACGATCTCAGCTCGCAGTTTGGCCAGCAACTCGGCCTTGACGTCGTCGGGGACGGCCGCGCGGCCGCGAGGACGCAATGCCTTCACCAGATCACTCACCGCCAGATTCGCGTTGCCCTCGGCCAGCATTATCTCTGCACAGGCAGCCACAACAGGATATTCTTAATCTTGCTGCTTGCAATATAATTCGAGATTTGCACAGAGGTCTGGGGTCAATAATTGCTAATCCGCAATGTGCAGATGTGGTGGGCCTGCCGTAGGTGTCAAGTGTACGAGGTGTGTAGGGAGGCTGGACATGCATGTCGAACACGAGCTCACCCCGTGCATGTGCTTCTACCTCGTCCCTCCAGCCACACTCTTCCAGTCTGTCCCAGAGCAGCTGCTTCAGTCTGTGGCACATTCAGCTTGTTAGCCCACTGCCATTTGTGCCACACCTTGTTTTGAGCAGCACATGAAGAAGATGGCGGGCCAATAAAAGAGGAGGGGGACGAAGTGCTTGCCTTTCCTTCTCGCCACTCTGCACCAGCTGCACAATAGACAGGGAATCGTCACTTCGTTGCTCTAGAAAGTTGCTGATGGGAAGAGCGCACAACATGGCCATGGTAGTTTTAGTCGTTCGTAAAACATTTAATACAATTTTCAAAGAGGCAGAAGGACGTTACACATGCATGGCACACCCTTGTCAGGGAGCAGAAGATCCAACTTATACCGTACCTTCAATTGCACGCTCTCCTCAAGTGTGAGATCGCGGGATTCCTCGGGCTCAGGAGTTGGTGGCCTATTTATGGACTTATTGCTTTTCGACATGACCCAGTCAAAAGACAGATCGCGCCATGCACGTCCAAGTATGAAAATGGGAACCTGCCTTTGGCTTGTTTGATTGGGCACACAAAAGCAATCTACAGCTCCTTTGTCTCCCAAAATACTACGAATGGGCACCATGCAGAAGTTGAACGAGCAGGACGGATTCAGGACAAAGTGCATGCGTCGTCATCATCCGCACGTGCGCCGTTTGCACTCAATCCATTTCTCAATCGCTTCCAGGCAGAAACAGGAGAACAATGCAACTCCAGATGTTGGATTATTTAATAATCGCAGTGATTCAAGAGGCTGAGCGACTTCTCGTGGATTCTACAAGATGACTTCACTCCTCTGTGGTCCTGGACGCATTTGTCCTACTCTCCCTACTTTCCCTACCGCTTCTACGTCCCAAAAAACAATTAAGTGAGTTACTTTGTGAACTCAGAATGCCAGGATGAGAGTCCAAGCTTGTCTCGATCAGGATCTTTATGTGAAGCGAAAAAGCCAGGTTTCATGCCTTGCCCAATTTATGAGGCAAGAATAGCACTCATTGCAATGTTTACTAACACAATGAAGTATGTACGTGGAGATGCGCGTCACTTGAATCACTGCGTGAAGCTCCGTGTTGTCTATAGATTTTTGGCCAAGGTTCTCCTGTGCACTGCAGTTGCAGGCACTTTGGACCATGGCAGTCGTCTCAGAGGACCTTTGTGTCGCAACGTCACACCGAGGTTGCAGCTTGGCGGCAAGCAAGCTGCTGCAGGCGCATCGCACAGCACAGGCACCAGCGAGGGCGTCCAGTGAGGGCACATGTGGAGGGCCTGGATGAAAGCATCTCAGACTATGACGTTCTCACCCAGAAAGTAGAGGTGCGTCTTATGTTCTCCCTCACTTTTTTTGCATCGCAACTTTCACATTCCAGTATTTTGACAGCCAAGTTGGCAGTGATCGGAAAATGCTTGCAAGCACAAGACAATGGCATTGCTGCACAGGCTCTTGCAGCAGAGGTGATGGAGCTGCTCGAGGGCACCAGCTTGTATCTTGTGGGCATGATGGGCAGGTGAGACTACTTTCCTGCCTTCACACACCTTTCACTGTATCCCTATCGTCCCCCGCTAACACCTTGCTCCTGCCACAGCTCGTCATGGTCGGGCATTCTGTGGGACCGTCATAAATATTTAAAGCCCATGTTTGGTGGCAGCATTGTCTTTCATGTTGTATTCCTCTGTACCCTCAGGCCTCAGATGACTTCCAATTGGGGCACATTTTCACAAGACATGCAAAGAAGGGCAACATAGAAAACAGTCCTGGGTTGTTCTACGGTGATATGAGTTGAATCTGCATGCAGCGGGAAGAGCACGGTGGGAAAAATACTTGCGAGCGCGCTCAAATACCCGTACCTGGACTGCGACACGCTCATAGAGAAGATGGCCGGCTGCTCAGTGGCAGAGATATTTTCTGAGGAGGGCGAGGAGTCCTTCAGGGAACTGGAGAGCCAAGTTCTTCATGTGCGCTGCTTCCTGGATGCTTCCTATCTAGAGCCACCGATTTACTGGTTCTGTGTCCGTGCATGCTGTGCGGCATGTCTTCACATTCGTGAGGCACGCATGTCTGCAGCATGTTCCAGAGCGTCCCTCCAAAAGAACCGCACCATATATCTGACGGCTTCCAAGGAGGACTAAGACAGGAATTTCTGATTAATTGTGCAATTGATCAATGTTTAAACTAAACTAACGTGCTTTTCTGGCACCTTGTGTGCACTGGTGCAGCGCATGACATAATTGCAAACCATAATCTGTCACATCCTCACATTGAATTTGGTATGCATGCACTCTGCAGCTTGTCTGCAGGACGTACCTACCCTTTGGCAGGAAAAGCGTGTGATAATAATAGTAGTGATAATAATAATAGTGATAATGCTTGCTCCTGCAGGAGCTGATGCCCTTCAAGGCAGTGGTGGTGTCGACTGGGGGAGGGGTGGTTGTCAGCAAGCAGAACTGGGGCTACATGCAGCACGGCGTAGTCATCTGGCTGACTGGACCTCCAGAGCTGCTCAGCCGACGAGCGCTGCGAGACGGGACCCAGTCACGACCGCTGCTCAGCCAGAGCTCTGCCGGATCCGATGAGGTGAGTCTCTGAGCAATTGGTTTAGGGTGTAGAGGCAAGGCCTTGATCCCCTTGATCCCCGGTCTTAATTAGGGAGCAATTTTTTGATGACCTGATTGTCATCAGTTTGGGAGTGTAGTTCAGATGGTAGAATGATGGTAGAGCCCTGCATGCCACTTTTTTAAATTGGGTATCAGCTTTCTACAGGCTGTAGCTGACTGCAGAGCTGAAAATGCGGTCGCAGTGAAATTGAGTTTTGCTCATAGTGTAATTTGGTGCCTGCTGGTAGCTCGAAGGAAGTGGTCAATCATGCTGGTGGCATTTTGTGGCACTTTTCACATTGTGGCACATTTCATCTGCCATTTGTACTCACAGCTAGCAGGTCATCGAATGCCTCCAGCAAAGCATACTGTTCTGCACTGAGTTTCAGTCCTAGCACAAACTCCCCGCTTGTGGCAACAGCAGGGGGATGACGAGTATGCAGCGACAGTGGCGAAGCTTCAGGACATTCTGGACAAGAGGCGGCACATGTACGAGCAGGCAGACCTGCACATTCCCCTGGAAATATCCCCAACAGACCCAGGCGACTGCGGCGCCACCCCGGCAGTTGTCTCCTACAGGTGCTGGCGCTTGCTGTGTTTGCCTCTCTCTAAAACCCCTAGCACCCTGTGAGGTCCCACTTAGTTCAGGGGATTCCTGTGGTGGATATGTTGCGCTGCATATCATTGCCTGCCTGTTTTGCACTGGAACATGGCAAGATATGTCCAGAAAAGATGCCCGTATGGTGACGGAAAGTGCATATAGGAGGCCCCGCAACAAACCGAACTTTTTTCTTGCCTGATGTCAATTGGGAGGGTCACACTCTCCAAGCAATGTGCAGACAAATGAGAGCGTGAGGATTGGATACTCATGACCGACTGTGTTGGTTCTCAGGTTGCTCAAGGCGCTGTCAGAAAGGCTAAAAAATGACGCGGCTGAAAGGGAGAAGGCAAGGGAGTTTGAGATCACAGACAGTGCCTCTCTGCCGGCCAGCATGCGCCAAATGGACCCTGTACAGAACAGCAATGGGGCGCCAGAGAATAGTTCAGAGTAGAGAGGAGTGGGAAGAATTATTGAAGCACAGGGAATATTCTCGTGATGGGCCTTCCAGATAGCAAGCAGCCTATATGTAAATGGATGCTTCTTTGCCAAGGTGCCGAAGTGACTTGGAGCACTTCTGCTCTCAAGGGATGTGCAATGTTTTCCCACACGCTGCTATGCAGCTAGCTTTTGCGTCTGCACGATTGCTCACAACCGTATCCAGTGCTCCTGCAGGCAGTTCATGCATGCAGAAACGATGGTATCCCATTCAAGGGTTCCGATTACAGGAGCATGCCTACTTGAGCACAGTGCGCTGATAACGCCATTTCAGATATAACTTGGGTGTACAGCTGCATGCATGGGTTGGCATCAACACATCGGTTCTTTCCTGGCTAATCGAGGTCGCATGCATGATCACTCACGAGTCATTCTGCCAGCCGGTCCCCACTTCAAGGTCCGGACCCCCAGAAAGCTTCACATTCACAGTTGAAAGCGACGTCCTAGTCATCGCTGGTGCGCGGCTTCTTGGCGGCTGCGCGCTTGTCGGCCGCGCCCCTTTCCACGTAGCGTTTCTTGCGCTCCTCTTTGTTGTACTTTGCGCGCCACGCGTCCTCTGCTGCCACATCCTTGGCATGTTTCTGCGCAACGATTGCAAACACTCATCAGTCAAGGGTATGGCGCTCACTTGCCATTTCCGTGGGAGGCCCCTGGCAGCCTGACAGCTCCCCAGCTTTCTACTAGCATTCTGGGACACCGATGCAATCCTGCATTCAAGCACTGCTTTTCCTTCCGCACATAAAAGCTAGACATAACCGAACACTGAGATAAATCATCAGAAATGGAAATGCAGCACTTATGGTATTATCTATCTGACGTGCATTTCTCTTCACCCTCACAACGAGACTCAGAACGCAACAACTCGGACTCATAAAGTCTGTTTCAGAACACATGCGTTGTCTGTTGTGTGGCAGACAGGGGTTCTGCATCCCTGCAAACAACTGGGGCAGGGGGGCCGGCCGCGCACCTCGCGATGGCGCGCCTGTTTGGCGCGTTTCTTCTCGGCCTTCTCATTGCGCAGGGCGTTGAGTTGGTCGATGAGCGCCACAGATATCCGCTCGGCCGGCTCGAGCACGACGGCGCGTTTCTGCTCCAGCGTCTGCCGCCGCCGCGCGCCCGGCACCTTAGGCTTGCTCTTGTACGGCAGCGCCGCCTGCGCCAACAGGAATTACAAGTGAGGATTCCAAGTGCTGGATGGGCGCAGGCCTGCACTGGGCCATTGTGCATTCCTTCGCACAGGACTTGCTGGGACTCCAGGCGCTCAGGAACCAATACGAGCAGTCGCCACCTACGATTGCTCGATTCAGAAAATTGGCACAGGCTCTTTAGTGTCTGCTCGCCAGAATGCCACAACTCTGTCCATACGTCCAATCCATCAAAGAATTGTGATTTGCCTTGCCCCAGTTGAGTTGCCGAGAGACAGAGGGCTTCACCTGCAGCGACTTGGGCACTTTCAGGGGGTTGAAGCGCCGCGGCGGCCGCTCGATGGGGCGGTACAGGCTGTCCTTCTCGCGGGGGGGTCCGACCCCCGCCTCCCGCCGCAGCGCCGCCACCGTCCGCATGCCCACCCAGCCCGGGGGGACCGCCGGGGGATCCGCCCCCGCTGCAGTCAATTCACCAGCCCCCGCACCCACCCCTGTGGTACCAATGCATGATGAAAACCAATACGCTTTTTTGACAGCCTCAAGAGGTAGCCACCAAGTTCAGGGAGTTTTGTTAGTCCGCCAAATCCCCGGGGCCTGCTCTGACCACTGGGGCACCGAGGTATTGAATGAGAGATCCCGCGACCTGGAAGAGCGGTGCTGGAGAGAATGCTAAAGTAACATCTGGCCCAATCGCTGTAGAGCTGCAGACCGAGTGTGAACATGTTCGGGTGGAATTACCCCTTGAATAGTCATCAGAGCATGGGGCAAGTCCAAACATTTGCGAACCATTAAATTAAAGAAAAGATAAATATGCAGGTTGGGGAGGGCAGTGCACCGTTGGCGGTGGCGAGGGTCCCCCCGTCGCTGGCGGAGGACCCCTCACGGTAGTAACCCACGCCGAGGGGACCGGCCTGGAACACGAAGCCCGGCCGCGCGCCGGAGGAAGTTGTGCTTGCGACAAAATCAGCATCATCGCCGATCGTGGATGGCACCGGGAGTGGCGGAGGCGGCGGCAGTGGCAGCGGCTGCGGGCCGGCCGCCTCGGCTTCTTCTCTCGCCGCCTGCTCGGCCTGCCAGCACATGAAGACGTCTCAGCACCGCATGAGAAGGGCTAAACGTTGCATGATAATAACAAACACTGGTAATTGTTGGTCTCCTATATCAGCATTGCAAAAAATGACAACAGTGCAAGCTTTGCTCTCTTGTCTGAAGCTCTGTAAGGTGTGCCGGGCACAACAGTGGAAAAGAACAGCAGGGATGGTTGGTAAGCAATGCCTGCTGCTTGCAAGAATTGCTCGAGCATGAAAGCTTTAAACTTAACATTCGAGTAACTTTCGTTTCTTCTTAACACGGTATTTGACATTGGCGCAGAAGTGCGGCTCCACGGCGGCGTTACCTTGCCGGGCTTGGGAGCGCGGAGGACGGCCGGCGGCGGCGCGAGCAGGTTAGTTACGGGGTTGTAGAAGCGCGGCAGTTCGACGGCGATCCATGCGCGCAGGAACACGATGTCCGATAGCAGCGGCTTGTCCTCGAACGTCGCCCGGAACGAGCCGTCCTTGCCGCCGTGCACCCCGGGCCGCAGCGCCTGCTCATGCGATCGCAAACATGTATCAGCCAGAATAGAAGTACAACATCATAGCTTAAGAAAGATTTGAGATAGCTGGGTTTCCAGGGGTGGCCAGCTACCTCACATCCTCCTTTACACTTGATGCAGTGCGGTATTAGCAGGCAAGGAGGCCCGGTATGCAGCCACTGCCATGTATCTCCTCCAGCCATGTTGTGGCAAGAAAGGGCAGCATGCCAGCGAGCGATACAAGGTAGTGCCCACAGACTAAGTCAGCAGCGTCAGTTTCAAGTAGAACAGAAACCTTTCTGACTGCAGAGGAGAAAGAGTCCTTGATCCAAACATCGTTGCATATGCTAGCACAACAGAAGCTGATGGCACTGAGGTGCATGGCACTGCGGACATTGTAAACACTCCACCGCTTAATATGCAACCGCACGTTTTCTATGGTGCCGCAGGTGCGTAGAAGTTAGACAGCACGTGCTGACTAGGACAGCAGCGGTCCCCGGAAGAACTGAGAGCCTTCAACCAGGGGAGGAAAAACCGTGCTTGATCCGAAGACAAGTCCAGATGCTAGGACAGAAGAGGTTGCTGGCTCTTGCATTGCTGACACTCAAAAGCATGGCGAAGGGGATCAGGGCGTGAAGTGCCGCTGCACCTTTTTGATGGTCCCGCGGATGCCGGAGACGGTGCGCACGGTGGCGCCCTCAAACTTGGCGGCCTCCAGCTGGCTGTTGAACATGCCGGAGACGAATGCGGTGTGGCGCGCGATTTTGAAGGGGGTTCCCACCAGCTTCAGCTTCTTCACGACCGCCGGCGCCGCGTCCAGTCCCAGCACCACGCCCGTCGCGCTGATGCGCCAGCCCTGACATGTGCAGGCTTTCGAATTTGAACTCGACATTTTGGCGGGCTCGATGCAACATGCGCAGATGCTGTTGCGCCAGTCCTAACATGCATAAATCTGGAGTGAGTTGAGGACGGACAGAACAGAGTGCTGATGCCGCAGCCCTGTTATGCACGCATACTTACATCTGAAGCGAGTGCTGACAGGGCACAATAAGTACAGGTGCCTGCATGAGTCACTGCCAATTGCCATCCTTGAAGATAACAAGGAAGCAGCACATTAACACATTGTGCCACCGGTATTATTGTGAAAAGTGACCGTCACATGGCCAAGGCCCCCACCGTGCCTTACCCGATCTCTATGGCTGCAAAGAGGGCACAATGCAGAAATGTGACCTGTACATTGCATGGAATGGAAGTATAGATGGTGTCAACTCCTCACCCGCTGGTTGGCGGCGGTTGACTGGACGGCTAGCACGCCAGTGTTGGGGGGTGCCATGGCGCCATAAATGTTGGCCAGGCAGTGCATGTGCTCCGGCGAGTACTTCAGCATCCTGCATGGAATCGAGAAGCTCATGAGCTCAAGGATGCTGGAGGCATGCAATCATACCCGGCAAACAATGAAGCATCCTGCACCTGAGAGATGAACTGATGACCTTAAGAGTGTGAGAGTCAGCCAACCGGGTGCCTCGCATGCAGCCCTGTTCTTGGCAGCCTTAAGGAGGCAATGCGGGGGTGATATCTCATCCTTACCGTCAGGCAATGCATTGGAGGGCTCTGCATGCCTGCTGCGCAGCGTGGGTCTCGCAGCACTCGCCGCCGCTGCAAGGATGGTCAGGCAGAATTGGCACTGCACATTCCCAGTGTCCAGGAAGTACACTTCACTGCCTCAGGCATGACTTGATCTATATAAGATGAGTACTGGTTAGTCACAGATGAATAATCGGGCTTGACTCACCGGTGGCGGTCGTTTTGGTCTGCGATGGCGTACACTGGCACGGACTGGAATCGGCGCCATCCGATGGAGAACACGAGCGGGTCGCGCGTCTTGAGGAGGCGGCCGAACCAGCGGTGGCGCTTGAGGCGAAGCTGCAGGAAGCCGCGCCCCTCCTCGGCAGCTGCCAGTCCCCCCACCAGCAGCGGCACCGCCGGGTCCCAGTGCCGCACCAGCTCGCAGGGAACGCCTGCGCAGAATATGTCAGCGCCACATCAGCTATGTCAGCACGCAAATCTCAGTCAGCAGCAAGGGGCCATCTGAGTTTACTGAGTTCTGAATCTACTGAGTCCCTGGCAGTAGAACCTGAGTGTGCGACCAGTGAGGGTCTTGTGTGTGAAGTATAGTAATGCTTGCCCCCGACTTGCAAAGACCTGTTTCTGCAGGAGAGAGGCCAACATCTAATATCTAATCTACTGTGATGCCATAGCCAAGACAAGCTCTGCCTGAAAATGGAAGATGTGGCCTGCGCAGGCAGGTCATCCTGACCAGGAAAACTGTCCGGCAATACTTGTCCTGTGCTTATTGAGCAGGAAAAAGGGCATCAGCGCAGAAATTCACACCGGTGAAACGCAGGCGGAGGTACGCCCCCGGTGGGAGGGCCTCTCCTTGACAAAACTAATTAACCATAGCCCTGACGCATGCCCTTTGCAAAATCTAGGCAGGCCCTTAGTTCCCAACCATCTGACAGCCGTAAAGGCCACGGAAAATATTATGAAGGGGAAAGGGTTCAGCGCAAGATTTCGCACCGGTGAATCGCAGGCGGAGGTACGCCCCAGGCCGGTGGCCCTCCATGGCGACACGCTGCTCCGGATCGAGTGCATCCAGCGCCGCGCGAGTTCGCGCGGCCCGCTCGCCCATTTCCTTTTTGGCCGCGTCGTAGAACGTCTCGCCCTCATCTTCCTCTGCGGCCGCCGCAAATTTGGCCTTGTCCGCCTTTTTACTTGGGCCGTCTTTAATTCCTGCCGCGCCGCCGCCTGCAGCGATGGCATGCATGACAAAGTTCAGGTGTATATGCAGTACAGCGCTCCGCGTTTGCTATAAGAATGCTGAAGTCACTTCCAATGGTTTTGTGCATGAGTTGTTTTTGATGTGCCCAGCCAATGCAGCCAATGCTCACTCCGCAATCGTGCAATGTCGTTGCAATTCTGTAGACCTGACCAAGTAAAATTCCTACGGTCCGCACAAACTTTGCCTCGGGAATTTTAAATGAAGAAGAGATCTAGGATCAGAAACGCCAAAGCCACGGCTCCGGTGCATATGACTCCCACGACGCTTGCTGACACTCATATTAAATGTCCTTTATCTTCGACACTCACCGGTGTCGTACTCTTGGTTGAAGCTGGCCTTCTGAGCGATCTTTTGCTCCCGCAACCGTGCCGCCTCTTTCTGCTCAGACTCCACGTCCTGGATTGCTTTCAGCGCCGTGACCGTCGCTGCATCCCCGTCCCGGCCCAGTACCTCGCCTGCACCGGCGCCGCAGATACACTCAGCAGATGGAAGCGATGCGCATGCCTCCCCTTGATTTGTTTTGTGAAATTTAGCATCACAACCCTCATCATCTCCTGTCAGAACACTGATCAGCAGCTGTCAGTGATGCGCATAATATCCGGCAAACACCCAGCATCATCAGCTCATTTGCAAAAGAATAAGCAGTACATGAGCATCACCAGGACCCTTTAAACCACCGTAGCCTCCAATTTGGGGACAATCAAATTATGACCTGGAAGCACACACGTGGGTGAAACTGGTCATTGCAGGGTGGCTCGGGCATGGCCCACCTGTCTCCATGTCAATGACCTCCCCAAACGCCTCGTCCTCATCATCGGCATCAGGGCCCGCCAGGTCCCTTGCCTCCCCTTCCGTCCAATCACCTGGAAATGCACTGAGCGTGTCACGGCGAGAAGCAACATCCTATCGAAGCACTGATGGGTGAGAATGCACACTGCAATGCCTTCAATTCCCAGAACCTCTTTCCAAGTGCCTCGACAACATTAAGAAGGAGAACGCTGCAGAACAAGGGATGAAGCTGACATTTGAACAGACCACATTGTGCATCTGTAAAACGACAAGACCAACAGAAGCCAAAGCAAAAACATTGAAAGCACCCCAGCAAGGTGCATCTGAAACAAGACCACAAAGCCAAGTGAAGAGATGACTCACCGGTGACAAAGCGGTTGCGCAGCTGCTCGGCGGCGCCGTCCTCGGCCCAGCGGCTGACATCCAGTTCCGCCAGAGGCAGGGCCGAGGCGTCCAGCGCATCGTCAGCGTCCAGATCTGGCGCGGCTGAGTCAGAACCCGCCTCGTCAGCATTCCGCAGCCTGAACAGGTCGCCGTCTTCATCATCTCCCTCGCTCTCGCTTTCCGCCCCCCTCCGCCGCCCATTCTGGGTTATAGGAACATAGAGTCTCAGCAGCTGGCATCGCAGATGGCCTGCCTTGCAAGTTGGCTTTCCGCACAAGAGAAAAGAGCTTCTGTAAGTCACAGTAAGCGACTTGAAAGGGAAGCGACTGCGGTGTGCTTTTCATGCTCAAAATGCTGTGAAGAACGCCATAATGAATGCAGAAAAATCTTTTTGCCACCAAGATTTGACTGTTATTGTCCTCTACCAGCTGTCAGCAAGATTGAGGAGGTCACCACAGAGCGCTTTGGTGTTGGAATTAAAAACAGGAAGAACAGTTTCTTAAGACACCAAGACGGCTTCCTGTCAACAAGTCATAAGTTTGCAAGCTCAGCTTCTCAACCTTTGTCATGCGACAACCCCCAGACTCAAGCCGTCGTACACACCTGTGGCAAGCTACTCGAACAGCTGACAGCTTGCAAAAACACATCACCACACCTCACACAAAAGCCACTCAGTCCTCTTGCCACACTAGTACAGTCAACAAACAAAATTCTGCCATGCATTGCTGTGGCCTGTCAAGGAGAAAGTAATGCGGACCTTTTTGGCGGCGTCTGCCAGCGCAGATGTGCCGTAGATGTAGGACTGCAGGTCAGCGGCCCTCCGGCTGAAGAGCGCCGACGCTCGATTCAGCATGTTCTCCTTCCATTTTGCTGCGCCCCCCAAGCCTGCATACATCACCACCCTTTATTGATACACCGCACCCTGTGGAGGTATATGGATGTGAAATGGATGTGCAACTCCCCACGCAGCCACTACAGGCTTTCCCCAGACTCCTTGCCCAACGCTTGCAAAGCCTTGACGTTCAGGAAATCCATAGCATGCCCTGTGATGACGAAGTATGCACAGCTTGCCTGCCTCATCCAACTGACCCTCATGTGAAGACAGCTACAACAGCCATTTATAACAGTGGTGAGCAGCACTGGTAGAGGGCATTTCACGCGGGTGCGCAAAGTAGCACACCTTCTGTGTCCTCTCCGGATGTCGCTGATTCATCGTCACTGTCTGTATGATGACCACGTCTCCGACCACCCCCCAGAACGGGTGCCTCCTCGTAATCACTGCCCCCTGACTCATCCTCTGACCCTGCACCATGCGAGCCTGCTCAATCGTCTCCAATGGAACACCATGCACCACCAATGCACAGCGGTTGGCAAGCAGACTGATCCTGCCATGCCAACCACAGCCGTCATATCTTCTCTATTGGCTTGATGATGCCGCTGATTCATGCAGCACACAATGCGGGAGACTGCCACATCACCAAGTCAACAAACTTTATGGCAGCCGAGAATGGCAAGACAGCTGCCCTGCATACAACTGAGATGTTGCCCCTGAATCTTCAAAGAAGACTTTTCATTTCATCAGCACCAGCTTGGCTTCCTGTTGTACTTGGGGAAGTCCATACCGTGCCATGCATGCGACTATAAAGACATGCACAGCTCCGTCTGCGATTCGTAAAAAGCCTCGAGATGAAGCATCCTCTGGCACCGTCTTCACAAGTAGGGAAGCCATTCGTGCCAATATAAAGACATGCATAGCTCATTCTACCATTCACTACAATGATTGTTATATGTTTCTACACACTTTTCCAATCCATGAGGATCAGGTGCGTCGCAGCAGCGTTTCTATGACTGCCTTCCAACACCCAGCCTACCACTCAATATAGTCTTGAGAAAAAGCACTCGCCTGACACCCCGGGCCCCACGTCCACGTCGAGGCTGCTGAGCGCTCGCCTGCGCGTGCGGCCGCCCACAGTCACAATCTGCTCCCTCGGTAAAGCTGTTTGCCGCCCAGACCCGCCCGGCAGCTCATCTGCCTCCTCATCATCACTGCTGTCTGCATAGCACAAGCGCCGACAATGTCAGGTCGATCTGGAAGCGCATGTCAAGCTAGGGATGCGTGAATCTCCCGCAAATGTATGAAGCGGCAGGCCTGCAGCCTACAGAAGACTCGCACACTACAGAAGCGCCATGGCAATTCATGTGCTGATCATTTTATAGGGATTTAGGATTAGTACTGTAATCACAAAAACCCTGTGTGCTTGGCAGCTCTTCTGCATCTTCAATGTCTGCATTGCCCAAGCACCAGACATCAGTGCTGCAGACATAAACAAACATCCCGCGGGGTAATTTCCTGTAGAGCAGGAGAGGAGGAACATGTGAAGCACCAGACACGTTGTCGCACAAACCCTGATGATGTGTCCAGAAGTGCCCAGATTGAAAGTCCCCACAAAAGACCAAGCAGGACGTTTTCTTGTCTGTGCCTGTTCCATAGCCAGACTTCAGGAATGGATTCCAACATGCAGCTATAAAATGGGCAGTTTTGAGCCCCGTTTGGGACCACGCTCTGCAAATCTATGCTTGCCAGTGCTTCAGAGTGCTTGACAAAGCGCATCCTGAGAACTGTAAATAACCAGGGCACACCTTCTTCCTCTGCAGAGCTGCCTTCATCAGAGCTTCCAGCTTCCTCGCCCTCATCCTCGCTGTCCGACTCATCGGCGCTGATATCGTCGTCCATGTCATCGCCGTCGGCGTCCCCGCCGCGGCCGAACATGCGGATGCGGCTGGCCGCCAGCTTCTGGTCCACTGCCTCGCGGGTTCCCTGCAGGTCCCGCACCATCCGTTCTCCCTCGCCCCCCGGCCCTCCACCCTCGCCTGTGTAACTGACCTGCCACCACAGAAAATACTGATTTAGCGGTGGTTCCTAATTTCAGCGTTATTCTAGTCTCTAAGAATGACACCAGCTTTCAGCCATTGAGCTCTGAAGCTGGAAGACTCTGCCTTTAGCAAGAAAGGTTGATTTCAAGTTCAAATTCTCCATGTGAGTCTACAAACCCTGCCGGTAGCTGTGTTTTAGATTGCAAGAATTTTGAAAAAGCATGCACCTTCCAGTCAGGGATGTCGATGTAGACAGCGTCCTTGTCATAGAGCAGCCCGCCAACATCTGCCATTGGCGCGTACAGGAGGCGTTCCTTCTCATTCAGCCCCCGCTTCTTCACCGTGCTCGGCAGCGGGCAGGGATCCGGCAGCACGCCAATGTCCGCCACCTGTCGCAAGACAGACCTCAGATCATTCCAGCAAGATTGATCCCACAGCGGCTGGTGCACCCGTACGGAGGCAGCACGTCAGTGTCTGCCAACGTGTGCAAGCAACCAAAGATCTCAGCTTGATGCAGCGAAACTATTTGCCGAGCAAGCGGCAGATGCTCTGCTGATACGGGGGCAGAACATATAAAAGGGAGGCCTTGCACACGTGCAGCAGAATGATCCCGTTTGGGCCGCCAAGGTTTAAAGCTCTAACAGGGCCCAGTGAACATAAGTTTCCTGAGAATTGAACCCCTAAAACCAAGTGGCTTGCTATTTGCTGGGTGAGAATATCAAGTCCTGAGCAGCTCATGATGTGGCTGACGTGGCAGAGCTCATCCACCTTTGGCTGAATGTTTCGATTGCGAAAAGCGGACTACGAGGCCTCACCTGGAAGTCACCGACGCCGGCCAGATGCGCGCGCGTGCCGGGCTTGAGGTTGGCGCCGCGCAGGTATCCGTAAACGGTCACCTCCCGGTCGCACTTGGGATCCTCCGCCACGCGGTCCGGCGGTGTTATGTCCTGCGGATGCGCCAATTAGCGCTCACTCATCCGTTACCAATGCCACAGATGCTGAACTCCTGGAGATCCTATACAAGGTCAGCCTCATAAGTATGCAAAGAACACATTGTTCAGCTGGCCATCTGGGAGCAAAAGGCGTTCGTCCATGCCTTGAATGCGTCAGCATTCGCACATCAGTCCCTCCTGTGTGAGGCCAGTAGAGCTTTCCTGAACATATATCTGACCAGCGCACCTTTCCCTCATAATCAGCAGCTGATACATTTACCAAAGGACAAAGGTGATCACTCACCAGATCTGTAAAAAACTGTTGAATTTGGGAGTGCGCACCTCGAAGCGGTCGGTGAGGAGGTAGGGGTGGGCGATGCGCCAGGAGAGCGGCCGGAACTTCATGACGGAGATGAAGCGCGCCAGATTGTGCACCTCCCGCTGCAGGTACTTGCCGTGCCGCATGCCGCTCAGGTAGAACAGCTTGGCGCCTGCGCGACAGGCAACGCAGCGTGAGACAGGCACAAGACACCCCTGACTCATGTCAAAAAATGCTCGTCAAAGCTCCATTGAACAAGCAATCAGCCAACAGGAACAACAAGGGGCCTGCGCGGCATGCAATACCGCCTGAGACCACCATGAGGTCGTGATTGGCGTTAATTGAATCATATGATGGTTGTTGTGTGGGCAAGGATCATGTGAAGCGGTGGGCGTGACTGTAGACAAAGCATACCACCAGAAATGAAGTAGTACAAAGAGCACACACCAAGAACGGGCATATTAGCATAAACACCACAACTAACACAGCAACACCCAATCAGACAGTCAGGCGCAATATCAAGGAGGCACCACTTGTGCGGTGGTCAGACAATCAGTAATATTGCTAAAAGATCACATCAAGGTGAATGGAGCCTTACCCTGGTAGATCTCGGCCCAGAAGCGGTGCTTGAGGACCTTTTTGGTCTTCTTCAGCCGCTTGTTGTCCTTGAAGCCGTCCAGGTGAGTCAGCACTCCCATCACCTTGGGGAAGCCGTGCACCTGCAGCCACAATCACCACCATACCCGTCACAACTCCATTAGACATGCACAGCACAATACTGCCAGTGTCCCCTACACCGAGCATGCTCTCTCTGCTGTAGAGTGCATGCACTCCCTGCTGTCAACCATGAAGTATCTGTGTAATCTCTAAATGCCTGCAAGCACCCAAGAACCAAGCACCCATTCCTTATCTGCCTGAATGGAAGCACTACAAGACAGATGCATGTGCATTTCATGGGGCACCCGCAAGTGCACATGAGACACCACGGCCAATGGACACGGCACAGTCAGCTTCCGGGTCTTGCATTGCGCATGACGTGATGCCTGTAGCAAGAAATGCAGGGCCATCGGTCACTCGCGGTTGTAGTCAAGGGTGCACCTGAAGGATGTTGAGGAACTCGAACGTCTCCATCTCAAAGCCAAACGAGCCGTCCACCAGCAGCAGAACCAGGTCCGCGTACTTGGCAGCATCAATCATGCCGTTCAGGTCCTGCTCACGCAAATTCACACAGACTTTAGCAAGCTGCAACCTCTTACGCAATCTGCAGATCTTCTCAGGCACCTCAGATGGCCGCTGCAGGAGTTGGGACGATCTGAAGCATGTCCTGCTTGGGTGGGATGTGCAACGATCTGATCCCAGATGTGCACCAGCTGACAAGGTGACCACTGGGCTTGCATGACGATAGCCGTACAGCTCAGATGGCCTCTGCGCATTGCATTTCACTCCCAACAAAATGAGAGGGTCAGTGAGGCTCGGTGGGAACAGACCTGGGGGCATTCCAGGAAGGTGAGGCGGCGGGCTTTGCCGGAGACAAGAGTGATGGGGCCCTTGACCTCGGACAGCGACTGGCGAGTGAAGTGTTTTATCAGACACCTGATCACCAGCGACTTGCCAACCTGCGCGCAACACTTGAGCCTCAACTTTTTATTGATGGGCTGAAGGAAGATCAAGCCCTTTTGCTCATACTACTAAGCGCGATGCTTAAATAAATTGACTTGAGAGTGAAAATGACATGCATCCTCAGCATTAATGTAGCCCAACAAATTCAGGCGCTGGTGCAGCAGACCCTTTCTCTTGCTTGCCTCCTGTTCAGACCCTGACAAAAGGATAGACCTTGTCAGCACTCTCTTTCTTGTCTGGGTCTCACTCAGTTGGGCAGAGAACGTGAGTTCACAGCACCGGCGCCTTGATGAGCACAAAAGTGCAAACACATGGAACATGAGAGCACAAAAAGCAGGAGCTCTCTCTGATCGGTTTTTACTTGCCTGCGGGGGTCCTTGGACTAGCACCACAAAGGGCGGCGGCTCTTCTGGCTCCCTCTCCACCACAGGCACTGCACCAGACAATCCACACAGTTTCTTCAGTAAAAAAAGCATCGCAAGAATATTATTTTTAAAAACATGCTCGTCCTGCCAGAGGCAAGGTGCTCCTGCAGACAAGCTGCATGTAAAGGCTGCCACACAGCCCACCCCTTGATGGACTCGACAGATCCAAGGCCTAAGTAACCGTGGGCACGGCGCTCACCATTTATACCGAACCCCACCGGCCGGGGCAAACATAGTGCATGCAGAGTCAACTTCTCTTCGCATTGCCTTCCTAAGCCTCTCTAACCTTGCTGCCATTGAGGCATGTGAGATAAAGGTGTTCGAAAGGGCGAGTGCAGCTCAGACAATGTTGAATGGTGTCCGCAGAGAGGCACGCCCCGCTAGGAATTTGATGGTACTCGTTTGACATCATCGCTGCGCGCCTTCTCTCAAACAGCACCACAACACATGTCCTCTAGGCACCAAACGCAGCTTGTAAATCTATTGTTCACTGTCTCCTACTGAAATTTTGAGGTTCAATCCAGATCATGCAAGCCAGTCGCTTGCCAAAGAAGGACAAGCAGTCAGAATTGGCTTCCGTGAGAGTGAAGCTGTATACTGGCAACAAAGCGGACCATAATTGTCAAAATGTGTGCCGTTCTGAATGAGCGTCCTCTGGAAGCAACGCTGCAGCCACAAAGGGAGATACAGGGGGTGAGTCAGCACCGTGCATGCGCTTCTGCTCCTTGTCGGCTGTGCGCGCGCGTTGCAGCTTGGCCTTGAAGCGCGACTTGTTGGTGAAGGCCTTGGGGTTGCGCTTCATTTCCTCAGTCATCTCCCCTGAATCCCTCTTCTTTTTGTCGGCCACCTTCTTCTTGGCGGCCTTCTTGCCAGACTTCTTCTTCTTGTGCGCTGCAACAGGAAACAATTGTGCTCAAGGTTTCAACCAAGAATTTTTGAGCACACATGCGCTTCTAGGAGCTTCAGTTCTTGGGCTCTTACAAAATTTCATCTTTAGAACCATCAATTCGTGCCATGAAAAATGCGTGTACACCCTGATTAATAATCAGGCTGCCACAGACTAATAGTCGTGCATGAGAGATCATGAGATGTAGAGGTGAGTACTCAGATCTGCAAGCCAGTGGTTTGCTTGCTATTTAGCCTTGAGATGCAACTTCAACATGAGGCTGGTGACATGCAACGTACCTGTCTTGTCCCCCATGGCGGCAGAGTACGAGCCCTCCTCTCAGCACAATTTCGCTGGTGTCCTTTGTCTGTCTTCTTACGAGGGCCGCAAAATTTGTAGTCTAATAGGCAGGTGTACACTCAGCGGACTGCTCCATGTCGCATGGAAACAGCCACTGCTGCTAGAGAGTATGCTCGCCTGAAGCATTCACATGATTATCTGAAAGTTCAGTAATGATATACCTATGCACTAGTGTACTACACGTCCTGCATTGGCCGCTGTACTGGGAGCAGTCACTGCATTTTAAGAAATCTACTAAAATCCGTTATCCGGAGCGTAAATGCTATAAGAATTATACATGTTAAGCCTCCCATAGCATGCACTGACTGTTGCTGCTCAACAACTGGGAGGATCGCGAGCGGGCTTTTTACTAGCCAGTGTTGAATTAAGGTAAGTGATAGAAAAATGTCGCTGATCCCGAGCCATCATGTCTTGTTCTAATCAAAACTGCGTTATATTGTCAATCATCACCTGGGTGGACCTCCGCGAGTCTCGAACAGCAAGGTCTGATGGTCACTTTCCTCCTAACATCTTATGAGCGCCATCCATTTGAGCCTTTGATCAAGAAGACAGATATTAGTCTACACCTCTCATTCTTGCGATCAATTTGGTTGAAGGCTTGTGGACATTTCCTTCGCAACAATCGGAACGGCTCTCCTCTGCAGCCGCTCTCGGAATAGTCACCGATGAGGTGATCTCGGAGGCCGGCCTGCGTGCTTTCAAAGTTGTGAAACGCAAAGAGAGTGCAATGGTGTTGGACATGCAGATGAACCTGAAAGGAAGGATGTCTGCGTTCATTCTCGTTGTATGATGCATTGCCACTTAATACGAGCTTCTAAATAAGTTTCACACGATCGGACAGATCCCACAGAATGTGAATTTTGCTCGCACCACATTAGATCCAATACATATCTTATAGGCGGTGAGAAGAAGCCTGTTTGAATGGGAGAGAAGAGGAAGCTGTTGGCACCAGGGCAGCTTGCAGCACGCCTGAAGCGCGTCTCTGCACCGAACACTGTGCATCGCAATCATCAACAGCCAGTAGATGGCAAAGGGCAACATCTGTCTGCACAGAAGGTCAGCGGCGGGGCAGAAGATGACGTGCAAAAGGACCTGATTGGCGAGGAGAGCGATTTGGAGGCTGCTGATGTTGGAGAGGCGCAGGTGCGACCTGTTTTTTGTGTGTGTTCCTGGTACTTTTGTGTGTAGGTCCGATCTTACCTCTCTGATTGTGAGATCAGCACGCTGCGTCAATGTGCACCTGGTGAACATTGGATCATCATGCATAATTTGCATGCAGGGGGGTCAGGAGGATGGGAGCGCTGCTGCATACAGCACACTGCTGGGGCTCTTGAGGAGCCCAGGCCCTGGCGCAGGACAGCGACATGACAGGAAAAGGAGCAAAAAGGAAACAAGGGCTGCTGCAAAAGACGACTCAAACCAGCGCACCTCAGGTGATTTTGCATCCTCATGACTAGAAAACGCAAGGAGGCATTCCACAGTGACAATGCAGTGCATCGTCATTCTGGCTCTGGAAATTGTGGTGAAGAATGGTGTTGATGGTTTCTAAACATTTGGTGGGTTGGCCTCAACAGGTGGAACAAGCTCGGGCAGGCAACAGGATATTCAACCTGAAGCAGGATCGCCCCAGGAGACAGTCTCAAAGCCAGGGCAGGCCAAGAGCAGCAATGCAGCCAAGACAGCATCAGCCGCCGCTGAAGCGCCAGCAAATGGCAGCGCACAGCGTCCCCCGCCCATTGAATACTTTGCGCAGCATTTTGACAGGTGACATAGTCATTGAGTCTTGAACCACGACTTTAGAGGATATGACTGTCCTTGAAGGGTGCTATTGGCACTGATGGCATCCATGGACGGATCATGATGTGGTTTCTGAGTCACACCTGTACAAAAGGAGGTGATAGCCTGCCTGGAAGATGTGCAGCAGACATTGAATTCATCAGTGACGATTTCCAAAATCCCAGCCATGTGCGCAGTTCAAGCCTGCTACCATCAAAAGCAGGTTGATGCTCGCAGTCACATTGCATGAGACAACTGTATGAATGGTGATCTTGCAAGCTGACATGTTCACGCTCGGAAATGTGCATGGGAGCAGGGAATTGTCTCAGGAGGAAGTAGCGCAGCTGAGGAATGCTGCCCCGGAGTTCGTCACAGCAGAGGGAACGCTGCCGCCCGGTGTGTGGCCCGGCGCCAGCTGTCAGATCACGGGCAGCCCGCTCGAAGAGGTGTCCATTCACCCTTCTCATCAGAAGTTTCTGCGCATTAGGAAAGACACGTGTGCAAGAGCCAGCCCTCTTTGGAAGCTTTGCTTGATACCCCGCAACTTAAATGCACTATGCTGCCCCCAGGTTTGAACAGATGGGCTTTCAGTGCCATTAGCTACTATGTTCAAGTGTCATCTGCTGCTCCGCTCACTCACTCCATGTGGATCATCGCAAAATGCCCAGAAGATAGAATGAGGACGATGACAGGAATACTATATAGGTGTATTTGCAACCCACTGGATCCTAAGGCGAGTCTGACCTCTAGGTGGGGCGTGACATCCTGTTAAAACGATATGCATCAGGTATGCGACCAAAGGCTTGTTCCTGTGTGCAGGCACCGCACACGCTGGCACATGCCGGCGTGCAGCCGCGGCTGGTGACTCGCTGGCGCGAATGCCACGGGGCCAAGTCTGGCGCTGGGCAGGCGCCAAAACTGGACGGCCCCTCAGAAGCCGAGGAGGGGGCTTTTGTCTCGCCGGAGCAGCGCGCCTTTTTTGGCCTCTGCACCAGCTACAAGGATGTCTTCTTCCCCTTGCGCCCATACCCCACCAGGCAAGACTGTACCCTTTGTCACATAGCAGGCGGTGTGTTGTTGCCTTGGCAGTTTTGTTGTGTGTGACAGATCTCCCTTTCCCTCACTAGTCCGCCCTCTACATATATAAAGATGCTCCCAACGGATGCTTTTCAAACCATGGTAGGATAAACTTCATGCCCAGGTTAGATTTTGATACATTCATGTCCCACTTGGGCCTTTCCTCAAGCTTTGCAGACTCAACATTGCATCAACTTGTATATGAGTTTCCTTGAATTCCTGCAATGTAGTGTTCCGATGCAATGCTGTTGAGCTGAGAGTATACGTTCGCCAAATGCAGCCTGCAGCAGAATGACCCAATCATGGATGCGTACCTGTTGCACTGCATCAACCACGTCTCGACGGCGGCGGGGCTCATAAAGAAGAACAACGAGCGGCTGAAAGCGGGGGGCGCCGACGGAGGGGACACCCCCCGAGACCAGGGCTTCACCCGAGCTAAGGTGCGGGCCTCGGCTTCTGACTCCTGCATGCAGCGTCAGTGTGTGCACAGAAATGCGCGAGTTGTCATATTTTACTGACAGCATGACCATCCGACCTCTTGTCCTGGAGGATTTGTTCTTCGATATAAGATAGCTGTTAGGCTCGAGAGTGGCTCCAGAAAGTTTAAGTACTCTAAATTGCGGTTGTTCTGGGATGCACTTTGACATTGGTATCTCTCTGGCTCCTGCGTGCAAGCGACTTGTGTCTGGTAGCATGGCAAAAGTGAATCGTGGATGTACTAGAAGGGGGACATGGGTGAGATGCCATGTCATTAGTAATCAAGTCATGACATGTGCCGGCAGGTGCTGATCCTGCTGCCGCTGCGGAGCACGGCGCTGCGGGTGGTTTCCCGGCTGCTGGACCTGGCGCAGAAGGAGAACCGCGCCGACTCGATCCAGAACAAACAGCGCTTCCTCGAGGATTTCGGCGCGGCCGGGATCGACGACGAGGACGAGGAGGGCGGGGGGATCGAGAAGGTGGGCGCCAAATCTGGCGGTGGCAGAGGGGGGCCCGCCGGGGGGACCCCGGCCGAGCATGCGGCGCTCTTTGGCGGGAACAGCGACGACCACTTCCGGCTTGGGATGAAGGTCACCAGGTGGGCTGCTGCATGAAGCACTTGGAGGCTGTCACCGCAGCTGAATATGGGCATCATATACTATGCTGCTACAGCATCCACGTTAAGTGTGTTCCAGCACGTGTTCATGAGCGATTTTCGTGGGGCAGAGTGTTAGCAGTTCCAGGGTACCGGCACTGTTCAAGCAGTGGTACTTCTATGTACTGTGAAATGCAATTTTCCTTGCTCATGACTTTCAGCCCATGCGTTCAGGGGAGCAATTAAGCTATACGCGGACTTTCTGCAGAGTGATATAATCGTGGCGTCGCCGATCGCTCTCGCCACGAAATTGGCAGAGCCACCGCCGGAGGAGGGCGGAGGCCCCGCGGACTTCCTCTCATCGATAGAGATCGCCGTTGTAGACCGCGCTGATGTGCTGCTCATGCAGAATTGGGCCCACGTGGTCACCGGTGAGTCCTTGCTTCCATCGCAACACTCTCAAGGTGTCAGTCCAATCACATTGCACAATCGACATTCCCCATCCAACCTTCTCAAGCACTTGATAACTGCCTCAGTTCGGTTGTCCAGTTCCATCAGAAAGAGGCACAATATCCAATCTGTGCTATATGACCAAGCTGTATTGACCGACGACCTTTTCCGGCCTGAACTACCCAGTGGGTGCCCTGCAACAGCTGCAATGATACTGCAAAGATTCTTCGTGCGCCTGTGCGCCTGCAGCTTTCAAGGCAATGTGCAACTGTGGTATCCTCATGACCCGTTTGTGTGCATGTGCGTGCAGTGTTCGAGGCGATGAACAAGGTTCCGCAGGCGCAGCACGGCACGGACATAATGCGCGTGCGCGAGAGCTTCCTCAGCGGCAACGGCGGTGCGTATCGGCAGACGCTGCTGATGTCATCGCTGATGTCTGCGGAGATGAACGCGCTGACTAACCGCGCGTGCGCCAACTGGACCGGCCGGGTCAGGCTGAGGGTAGATCACCAGGTGGGCCGCCGCCTCGATTTGCACCGGCAGCTTTGTTTTGTGGTGTCTATCTGCCTTGATTGCTAGCCAGGCTGTGTGCCCTGGTGACAGTTTCACATCGTGACACGGCCCACTGGACAGTCCCGGAGCTATACTGTGCTTGCTTTGCTTTCGTAAGGCATTTGGGAGGGTGAGTAGGTCAAAGTGTGTAAGGTCTGTAACCATCTTCTGGTGTCAGGGCTTAAATATGCCGTGGTACCCCTCTACCCTGGGAATGCAGGGGGCTCTAAATCAACTTGGGTGGTGAGGTAGAGTCGCCTGGGAAATGCAGGGGGTACTACAGACTACAGGGTACCCTGGGAAATGTACATGAGGTGATCAAGTAGTGCTTGATTTGGCGCGCAGGGGGTCCTGGGACAGGTGATCCCCCAGGTGCGCCAGCTGTTTGAGCGGCTGCCGGCGGCATCGGCGGCTGCAGACGCGGATGCGCGCTTTGAGCACTTCCGGGCAAACCTGTGGCCGCGCATGAAGGAGACGGGCGCCAAAGGTGCTGCCTTTGGCTTCCCTCCCACCGACAACTCGAGCCTTGCTGTGTGCCTTATCTGCTAAGCATGCCTATCATTGCCTGGCAACGGCTTATCCTTGACATCGAACCTATATGTCTTCTGAGTATGATATTTTCAGGAGACACTTCCCTGCACAAAAGCTGCCTTAGGCCAGTCAGCATGAAACTCCATTTGCATGTGAAAAGGCCAAGTAATTCTCCCCAACCACAGTTGCGCCAGTCTTGGGCATAGTCTGTTGCCCTTGGCGGACATGTCAGCTCGTCTTTGTCTTGTCATACGTGCGTTTACGCAACTTCCTCACCATGCGTCAATAATTTCACGTTGGATGCAGACTCTTTATTCAGCCGTGTTTTACTTTGCATGCGGGCAGGCCAGCTGATCTTCGTGTCGTCGTACTTCGACTACGTGCGACTGCGCAACTTCCTGAAGGAAGAGGGCGCGGCCTTTGCGGGGCTGTCGGAGTACGCCGCGCCGAAAGCCGCCGCGCGCGGCCGCTCACTATTCGCCGACGGCCGGCTGCCGCTCGCGCTGCTCACCGAGCGCTCCCACTTCTACAACCGCGCGCGCGTCCGCGGTGTCAAGGTGGGCTGCGTATGAAACAGCAAGTTTGCAAAACTTGTATACTTGGACCCGGAGTTTCCTTGATCATGAGAGTGCGCATCACAGAAAAAGCACAGGACCTTCAAATGGGGCTTTCGATGACGGCGCCTCTGGCGCCTTGTCTTGTAGAAGCAGACTTGGTGTATCATCAACAGATGCTTTGCACAAATTTGGTCCCTGTCAATATTTTGAACATTTGGGTCAACGTTTGTGTCAGACAATGTGGCAACGTCTGTTGCAGCACACCTTGCCAGAGTACAAATCAGACTTTTTTGCTGAGGAGACAAAGGAGGTTGCGATTGGCGCAGGACCTGCTGTTCTATCAGCTCCCCCACCACGCGCACTTCTACCCCGAGATGGTCAACCTGCTGCGCGCACGCGATGAGTCAGCGATGACTCACGCCACCGTCACCGCGCTTTTCACCCGCTTCGACGCGCTACGACTGGAGCCGGTCGTCGGCGGCTCGCGCGCGCGCAAGTTGCTCAAGAGCTCCACCGGCACCTTCCTCTTCTGCTGAGAGACGATGTGTGTTAGAGGAAATGTTATGCTGGCATCAAAGTAGAGCTAGCCCAAAAGGAGAAAGGTGTGTTCAAAACGTGCTTCTATGAGGTGGAGTCTTGTACCTAATTGGCAGCGCAAGGGACCAGGTTTGTCAGATTGCGCACCGTTTCAAACAAGCGTTCTCTGGTATCATGACGGCGCCGCTGCTGCAGAATTGGGAGGCTAGCTGTGTCTTGGGGTTTTTATGAGAGAGTGTACAAAGAAATTGGGCAGTCGGCTCGCGCGCTTGCCAGATGCTCAAGAGCTCCAAGGGCACCTTCCTCTTCTGCTGACGGCGTGGTGGCTCCAGAGCTTGGGTGGGAGTCTCACGAAGTTTTGCGCCTTGATGAAATTCACAGAATATAAGGATGAGCTGCCTACTTTGCCTATCATGAGTGGGAGTGCATAGCAGCACTTGACCCCTAGAGTCTGCAGCGATGCCTCTGCAGTCACCTACTCAGGAGTGCAAGGCTGGTTTTGTTGGCGGGTGTGATGGCATATGCATGAGCTGTTGAAAATGAATCATCAACTTGATAGTGGAACTCTGTCAGGCTGACGGAAGGGTATGACGTCCATAAGATGATCTTTTTAAGAATTGCCACGTTGCAAGTGTGATAGCGCGCGAAAATTTTCGTATCAGACTCCTCAGACTCCTTTAAAGTCTGGAAATAAGAGAAGGGAGAGTGGAATTGTAAGTGGCTGGTGCCACGGCTTGCTTAATTCATCCCGTCATTGATCAATGATATTTCGGATGCGCATTTCAAGCTATAGCAATGTAGCTAGCTTGCTTCGTCAGTGCGCCTGCAGACCCTGCAGCCAGCTGGGCTGCAGCGGGGCTGAGTGTGCACATGTGCCTGCATCTGTCAACCGGTGCATGGATCCATTTTCCGGAACAACGTCATGATGGATGAGGAGACTTTTTCATGCACTTCGTAAAGAGCCTTCGAGACACCAGTGCACTCATCTCCACTGTACTGTGATGGACTTGCATGCCTCATCCAGAGCACGTGCTCACGCGGTCCCCTCAACCCGCCACGATTCGGCCGTGCTCCGCCATTGGGCAGCAGGCAGATGAGGCCCAGCCACCTGGGCGAATCGGGGCTGAGGCGAAACCCGCTGCCCCTCCAGGCGCGGCACTCTGTCGACATTGTTCCCAGGGCAATCAGCGAACGCGGGCGTTGTCTGCATCTCCGGTGCACGCAACATATCCAATCCCATCGCTGCAGCGGCATAGCCAAGACCGCCGGGTGCCCAGCTGAGCACAGCGAGATGAGGGATTGACATTGCTACCTTGGATGTCTCCTGTCCCGCAGGAAGTGGTCAGTTTCTCGATCCCGGGCGACTGGCATGTCTAGTAAGCCCGAGCATCGACATACTACCGTCCGCACTGAGGAGGAGCATGAACACGGAAGATCCAGTCAGGTCCGGGCACTCTTTCTTGGCATCGATCTCCCTTCGGAAGCTTCCGTCCAAGTTGCAATCTTTTTCGCCGCTGCATTTTGGAAGCCAGCTTGCTCTTAGCTGTCTTTGTATTCTTATAAAACGTGATCGTGTTTGCCATCAGATCGTTCAAAGGTGTTTTTGGTGTCCCGATACGAAAAGCATTCAACCATATCTTGGTGTATCTTGAGCAGTTCATCGCGCCCAAATCCCGTTTGAGAGCGGTATTTTAGGACAGGGAAATATCTGCACAATCGTAAGCGTCGTCTCCTCGAGTCATTTACAAACACGGGGCTTGTATGAGCGCGATGGAAGTGAAATAGTGCAGAATCTAGATGCACGTGCAAGCGGTATTGGAAGAAGCTGTCTTGCGTCAACCATTGGTGCTCTCTATATGCACTCGCGTGTATGCAGCGTCCTAGGCGTGGAGCAAGGGGTACAATCATCCCAGTGTGTGAGTGCCCAGGGCTTGAAGATTGCCCAATGCCCTGGTTTGAGATTTACGCTTTTGGCCGGATGCATGCGGTGGACAGGAGCCGATGGACCTTTTCGAGGCCTCTCATACTTTTCGGTGGCATTTCTGCCAGAAGGGGGCTGCCCCCACAGCCGAATGCGAACATTTTGGGGCTTTACGGACAGGGCCTGCAAAGTGAACGTTCCATTCCTTGTACTTGAGGCTCTGGCTATGCATCGGGCCCAACGGGCCAGTTTGCGTCACATGACGGGTTGATCACTCTCGTTTCTTCATCAGCTTCCGCATAAGGCTAGCCAGAAGGGAGCCTCCTAGTAGAGTGCTGGGGTCCAATGCTCCCATGTTTGCGTAGACTTGTCTGCAAATATCAATTGTGACGGTAGTGACATATTCCAGTAGGAAAGGGGCCACCATTCACATGCACGAAGTCAAGCAAGATGATTGACTGGAAGCTGCTGTGCTGCAGGCTCAGGAAGCGAAGGGGAAAGGGCGGGGAGCCCCCCGGCAAAGTGAGGGAGAGGGAGGTCCGCAGGCAGGACCTTCCAGCACAGAAGATGGCAGGAGTGAGGCACCGGAAGTTCATCAGTCAGGTGCATTGCTCCACAAGAGCTGTGCCTTCAAGTCTTGAGCTTTGCTGTGGCATATCATGCAACAAACGCCAACTATTTGGAGCGTGCCCGTCATTAGCATAGCACCAAATTTGTTTCCACACTTCTGATTGTGCGCGCATAGCTTGTTCCGCTGCAAATCAATTCCTTGCTGTATCAATTTGAACGCTGGTGCAAATTTGCAGATGGGCATGCAGCAAGGGCACGGTGGGAGCACAGTCAAAACAGCGAGCAGCAGCAGGCAGCAGCAGGAGTCTCAGAGCAGCCACAGCAGCAGTCAAGTCCCGCCGCGGCTGTTGACCACTCAGCAAAGTGGGGCTCAGGAGGGGGGATACCTGTATCCGATTCCGGGGGGTCCGGTGGGGCCCCCCGGCTGCTGCCACCGCCCACCGGACGGCCCCCACTTCCCCCCGCTGAGCTGCTGAGGGCGCAGGTGCGCCTCACCTCCTTTTGTAAAGACTGGCACAAGCTTGTTGAGGATGTGGTCTTACTCGCAGCATGCATTAAGAGTGTATGCAGCAACTGGCATCCTTCACGCCGGATGTGTCACGATTGGAATTGCATGCTGGGCATTTGATTTGCAAACAAGCTCCCCGTCAGGATTCATCGTTCGACAATCGCACTTATCACCCAGAGTGTCTGATTGTCAAAACGACCTGGCTGGTTGAGAGCAGAGTGCTATGCAGCTTGCGTTTGCGACGGCGGCCGCTTCAGAGGTGGGCCGCGCCGGGACTTTGTCGACGTCGTACCCGTCACTCGAGGCGCTGGCCGCGGCCGGAGGCGCGCTTGAAGGCGTCGGCACCAGCGGCGGGGGTGAGGTGAGTGCCCGAGCCGATGACTCATTTCTTAGTGGCGTTAGTCACCCACTAGGAACGCGATTGTTGCCATCACTGCAATGCCATGCTGCGTACAGACGTACAAAGGGGTTGAGTTGCGGTGTTGCATGCAGCAAGGATCCCAGTTTGTGGTTCTAGCTGGAGTCATTCTCAGGTTGTAAGGCTGTCTTTGCCAGCTGCCCTTGACAGGATAAGCTTTTGCTTTAGGCTTCTGTAAAAAATAAAAACAGTGTGAAACCTGGTCTTACAGCCTGAGAAGCCCGTGATTGTTGTCACAGAGTTCACAGGGGTACGGTATGGGGCGGAGAAAGTGTGTGTTGGGGGTTTTTCGGGGTTGTTGAGGGGTTGTGACTGGAACAGCAGGGGGTGGATACCGAGGAGGGCGACGCCGTCAGCCACAGGAAACGCAAGGGGCAAGGCTACGACGCAGCCGAAGAGCTCAGTGAAACCGAGGGTGACTCTCATGTCATGTCCTCCCATTGCTATGAAGAATTTTGTTCGCCTGGCTGTTTTCAATGGCCTCAAAAAGAGATCGCATACTTGCGCTGCACAAGTCCAGACACTATGAATGATTCCCGCTTCCCTGCTGCTAATGCTGTGCTGTGCCAGGCTTGGAGAAGCACCCTGATAGCACTTTCTGAGACACTGCAGGGCCTTGCTACTCCTCTCGCATGCCTGGTCTTTAAAAAAAAATCTTTTGCTGACCTCGGATCTGATGCAAATTGAGCCCATTTTCTGCCATGCAGGCGAGGGTGGCAGCGGGGATTCACGGCGGGACCACGGCGGCCGGGGCCATAAGAAGCCGCGCCTTGTTTGGACAGCTGAGCTGCACGCCCGCTTCATGAATGCTGTCACCCACCTGGTGCGCCTGTGTTCAAGTCTTCCCTCACGCGCACAGTTTTTTTGCGTGCTTTTTCTTTGTTTTGTACTGAAGTAAGCTGATTTCTGGTGCTGAAAGCCAGATGCAATGCCCAGCAAGTGACCAACAATGGATGCCCTTGTGTTGCTATTGGATGCAGAGGATAGGACATGGGCCCTCTGAAAATTCTGGGCCCTCTTTGCTGACAGGGATACAGATGAATGCTTGCAAACACAGTACTCCTTCACGCCATGACTTCAGGCTATCTGGTCAGAATTTGAGTGAGTGCATTGCTGTGTGATGGGCAGGGGGTGAAGCATGCGGTGCCAAAGACGATCCTGCAGCTGATGAATGTGGAGGGAATGACGCGTGAGAACGTGGCGAGCCACCTGCAGAAATACCGCCTGTACCTGAAGAGGCTCGCCGGATACCCTTCCGCCGCTCGGCTCCCCCTCGACACCCTGCAGCAAGTCCAACAGGCGTGCCCCTCTCCCCTTGCCATTACTCGTAATTTGCTAATGGCAAAGAACATCACTACAGAGATGCTGCTGTTGCGCGTTCAAGCGTTTAATTTCCGGATTGTATTTTGGAGTTTTCTGAGAGCCAAAGCAGTGCATGCGCTGCTGTTGCGGTCAGCTTGTCTGCTGTTTTCTGGAAGGATGGACATGCACATGGTGCACACTTTGTTGCTTACTTTTGCCCAACACCAGTGAATGGCGGTCATCCTGATCATAGATTGTGCAAATATGCAGGCCATCCAGCAACAGGGCCACCCGCCGCTGTTCCAGCACAACATGGCCGCCATACCTCCCGGCGCAGGTGAAGCTTCCAGCACTCTTAAATCTATTTCTATGCTTTCTATACTATAACCATTTCTATACTTCAGCAATTTTTAATAGTATTCAGGCTGCAGAAGGAGACGTAATTCTGCAAGTATTCAGCTGTGTCAGTCAGCATGCGTGGACAATCCATGTTCTTGACTATTTGCCTTTGGCTGGTGCTGCAGGCATGGGGTTCCCTGGATTCATGCCACCGCCGCCGGGGGCCGCAGCGGGAGGACCGCAGCTGCAGTGGGGGCCTGCCGCAGGGCCCCCCGCTGGCGAGGTGGGACCGCTTGCCGAGAGCAGCGCTCCCATGGCCGGCAACCCCTGGCTCTCGCTCCAACAAGGCAAGACTACTATCCCAAATCTCACATTACTACTGACCAAAGAAATTGGACACTCCTAATCCATACAAGAATGACTCATTGCACACTCCTTGAATGCTTCATCGTAGAGCGTCCCAATTTGCAGCTTGAGATGTTGCCAAAATCAATCTGGGACCTCTAATTGCGTGCCTACGGCGTCTAGCAGGACAAGGGTGTCAGCTCTGGTGACACCAAGTGTACCAGCTGACGCCTTTGGCACACCCTGGGCGACAATATAGTCGCAATCTGATATCAATATCAATGATCGCTCCTAGAGTTTGGAGACACTGCAGCTCGTTTCATGCGCTGCGGCTGTGCATGTATGGTGACGCAAAGCTGAAGCAACCATACGCCGAATTGATCAGATTAGGAAAGGCAAGACACGTTCTGTGCTCTGGCTCAGTGGGTGCATACGGCGGCGCGATGGCGTATCCGCAGATGGGCAGCTTTGGGCAGCCGCCGGGCACCATCCCAGGACGGGAGGGGCCCCCCGGGCTGCCGTACGGCTGGGTGTGGGGGCTCGCGCCCCCCGGCGGTGGTGGCATGGTTCCCCCGCCGGGCCACCCCTCGCAGCTGCCACCCGGGGAATTCACCCCATCCGCAACACCGCCTGGTTAGCCCCGTTCTGGTCATCACAGTGCCTTATGATTGAAACTATAATGCTACTGTGTGCTTGACAACAAAGAGCTGACAGAAATGCGTTTGAAAAATTGATTTGCGAATGTGCTGGCCAGAATCTGGGCCGTCGGGCGAGCGCGGGGAGGCGCTGTCAGGGGCGAACCCCACGGGGGGGGGACCACACGCAGCTACGGAGGGGGGGCCATCAGAGAGGGGGAACCCCGGAGCTGCCCAGCCGCCCAAGACCGTACCCGACCCGCCAACCTGATTTCTTTTTCATCACCGCTCTGCTTTGCAGCGGGAGCCAAATTTAGTCGCACCTAGCCTCCATGCGAGGAGGGGCTTAAGAGAATCTGCCAGGGTAATTTTGTGATCAGCCAGTTTGTGGTAGAGGTTGCCCCCCTCTCTCAGGGGGCACAGGGGAGTTGGCTGCGTGCTCCAGCCAACCTCGTGCACTTTCTGCTGCATGCCCCGGTTTTACACCTCTGCCAGAGGGTTGTCACTAGGGGAAATAAGCCACGGGCACAGGAAAACCCAACCCCTCAACCCTATAGCTTAGCGTCCTGCAGGAAAAACTTGTAGCTACCAGATCAGTGGCTGCCTGCAAAAAATTGAAGGCAGGCTTGTTATCACAGCGTGTGCAGGGATAACCAAGGCCTCTCTTGGGACTGGTTGGTAAGAGCGTCTCTGTTGCTGGCAGGCATGTTGTTGCAGCGCGTTGGGGTTGTCCTGGAAAGCTTTGCGGGAATTGGGACGCTCTGTCGAATAGACATGTGGGTTAGAACAGAACAGATGAGGATGAGTCACGCAGTGTGGGCCTGTTTTGGGCGCTCACCCACGGGGCGGCAAGTATCCCTTAGTAAGAGTCTGGCTTGAATTCGCTCGTGCATCTTTACTAGTAGTGCATCTGCTGCATGCACTGTCCTAGATTCCCAAACAAGGCACAGTGGCCCTCAGTGGTCTTCTAGGCACAGGATAATTGGGGCTGGAAAGGGGACAGAATTACTGCAGGTGAGGAAAATTTTGAGGCTTTTCCCAAACGCCGGCCACGTTAGGCTGTGCGTGAGGGCTCGAAAAACATCAGACACACAAAGAAAGACATATCTTCAGCTGTACTACTGCTTTCAGCTGTACAATAAACCGCGTCCCTGGCCCAGCCCCGCATCTGTGTGCAGTCTGTTTTTCGCACCCCCCGCTTTCTTAGCTGCATGCTGTCGCCCTGAAGTGAGGATACGCGGCCTTGCATGATTTCGGTGACTTAGGCGCATTCGATGCCGCATATTTCCTTTTGCAAGGTCAGGCTATCATGCTTTCAATAGTGCCAGAGTTGGTGGTCGATGCATGCAGAGTGCCTATTTGGTGCATCCTCAAACTTTTGAGGCCCCAGGAATGAACTTGAATCGATCCGGTTTCAGCGGCAAATGTTTGCTCGCCAGCTGTATAGGACCCCCGCTGTAGAACTGAGCTGAAGGAGCACCGAAAGGGCCAATGAAGAAATATATTGTGTGCAAATGCGAGAGTGGAATGAGAAGATATTCTTATGGGCTGCGGCTGCGGATGCGGCCGAGCGCTTGGGTATTTGAGATTTGCTTAGAGCTGCAGTCTGAGAGGAAGATCATGGTGGCTGTCGACAATTGGATTGGAGTTGTGTCTATGTCATGAGCATCATTGTAGTGTAGTGGTGTGTTGGTCTGTGAGGGTCTGCTGTATATTTGCAAAGGCATGGGTGCAATGACTGCCGCTGAGAGCAATAACAGTATTGCATGGTTGAAAGGTGCAGTGTGCTTCCAGTTGTGGGGCTCCCAGCTGTGCTTGGTGCTTTGTTATGAAATTGTCATCTGAGAGCACCAAGAAAGGAGACTTAATGTCTGTTGAAACTGATACGTCATACCAGGATCTGGTTGCTGGATCCGGATTACCTGGGCATCATGTAAACCTGGGCATCATGTAAACTGCTTTGAAGGACTTGCAAGGTGCACCCCGGGAAAGCCGACAATTGGCGTGCATGCATGAGCATCACTGATCATCCAGCCCGAAGACTTACATGTGCTTGCATAAGGCATGCACTTATTTGGGACTGTCGCACTTTGGTCTGAAAAGTCTGTTGAGTTGAAATTCCAAGGCTCTTTTTGTCTCCCCCATTGCTGATGTCAGCAAACATGCAATAGAGGACATTCCCTGTTCCCTTGGATTTTGCATTGCACAGTGTGCAGTTTGTTTCAATACATATCATTGTTCTCGTCTGGTTCTGGTCCGTGAGTATGCAGATTGATGATTCACATGCGGGCCCAACTGCTGATGGAGTAGACCATGACAGTGGTGATGCTGCTTGCCAACGAGATGGAAGTGGAACATGTGGGCCCAATAATCCCAATGGAGGTTCTTTAGATGAAGAGGCTGAAGCTCTGGGGAGGTGAGTATTATCCAACGACTTCTCTGCTGTTGCATTGGCTACTGCATCTGATCTAGATGGCGATGCCTAAGAAGTCAGTATCTCGCAAAACTCGCGCAGCAACCGTTCAAAAGCCACCACAAGATAATTATCTTGGTTTTATAGATATGCTCAGCTCCTGAATATGTTTGCTCTTTTTCCCAGGATCCTTCATGCACTTCTGGAATATCGAGCTGATGCAGTATGGGAGATCAGGCGGTGGGAGCTCAATTTTGAACGCCTGTCTGCTCAACACAAGTGCGAGGCTTGCAATTTTCTGCTCTGCATTGCTAATCACTTGCCTTTTCCAGCAGTTTTGTGAAACATCCGTGCTTGCAATCCACGACCTTGTACAATTGCTTGCTGTATCCGTGATGCTGCAAAGCTCTTTTTATTCATGTTTTTGTACTCCTGCTCAGGCAGCTGCTGGCAAACCAGCCAGCAAAGTATGATGAGGCCCGCAGCTGCGTGGATGCAAATGACCGCTTCTTCAGGTCCATGATCAGGTGAATGCATGCCATTAGCATTGCAATTCGCCACACCCGCCACAACAGTTTGCCAAGACAATGCAGTATCACTAGCAGCTTGCAGACCCAGTCACACGCTGCAACAGTCAAGCTGCCTGCGCATGAATTCATGCAAGCATGTGACTGACTGCCCTTGGCAGCTTCTTGTGGAGGCCTCGTGCTGTCTCGCCCTGCCAGAATCACATAATTCTGATCCTATGTGGGCACTCCCCTGTATCACCTGATGTGAAAGTGCAATCCTCTTGGTCTTTGACAGAATCTATTCACGTCTGAGTAGGTGCATTGTGGAGGAAGCGTCGGATGGAGGCTGGCCAATCTGCAGAGCGCTGGGCTTCGCACAGCAAAGGCTGGCCGACAGAAAGCGGGTGTTGCCCGCCGACGCCGAGAAGTGCAGGTCAGCATCCTGGACATTGATCCTTCATATCTTTCTATAGGACGGAACATTAACCTGCGGAAAAAGTTGCACATCCTTAAGAGCCTCATGCTTTCCCATTTGCGAGCCTTACATGTTCCTCCTCTTAGACGATCTGTGACTCCTTCTGGACCTTTTTATCATGGTCAGAGAAAGAGAGGTGTCGTCAGAGGCTGAATTAAGAGATTGGGACGATGGCAGGGCACGACACTTAGTGATGTGTGCTCTTGACAATAAATAATCAAACAATCACGAGATCCCATTAGTAAAATTCACAGCTGCACGCATGCGCAGGTATGTGCTGAAGAATCTGGTGCGCGACTGGGGGTTGGAGGGGGCGGCCGAGCGAGCGCAGTCCTACGGCCGCGTCGTGGCAGAGCTGCGCAGCCGCTACCAGGTGAGCGCACATGCCGGCACATGCGGGCACATGCCGCACGTCTGTCCCTGTGAATGCCAAGCATCCTGCATTGTGCGCCTTTGATCGCCTGGGGTGATGCAGTAGCAGTGCATCGATTCGGTCGAAGAGGACTGTCCGTCATGCCATGAAAGGAATGAAAGCTTTTCACTTGCAGGATGCTGTAGGGCTCTCAAGGTGGCAGAGAAAGTTTGTAGTAAGTGTCTGTGGACACATGTGAATCCCATGTTTCAGTGTTCTCTCAGCACAACGAGTCTTAGATGTCCACGCGCTTGGGTCTGGCAAGCCCAAGGAGGGGTAGAAGTTTGGCAGCCTGTAGTCTGGAGGCGCACCTTGCCTCTTGACAGAAAAAGAGTGGGCAACAATGACACTTACCCCAGCCAAATGCATTGGCACATCAGGCACAAGTGCGCTGTGTGTGGGTTGTGGCAGTCCAGCATGGTTAAGTTCAACTGATCTAGCTTAGAGTTTTAGGGGGAATGCAATGGCAACTTCAGGGTTTATACATTACATGACCCTTTCAGAATATTATCTGCATGTGCTTGAACTTTAGTAGCAATGCTGCAACACATAAACAATCACGCAATCCGTTAGTCATCCATCATCATGAACTTTAACGTGGGGGGCGTGTGGCAGTAGGATAGGCTGGCGGAGGAGGGAACATCGCCACGCGTACTGGTGCCGGGCGCTGGGCTGGGCCGGCTGTGCCTGGACATTGCCAAAGCAGGCTTTCACACCCAGGCAGGCCACCCTGCCGATCCACCCAATTTTAAAATCATCTTCATCACTATCCCTACGAGGCGCATGCACTGCCTTCTATGTCTTGCAGTCACTCTCAGCTTAGTAATCAGAGGCAGCACATGCAGCCAGAGCTAACACTGATCACAGCAGCTTATGATTGCTTTGAGAGCACATATCGTAGATGGCTGGCCGGTTAAGGCAACCTTTCATATCCACCTAGATTGTTCTGGCTGCAAATAATATGCTGGCCATCAACCGTCAGCAAGTCTGCATGACCTAAATAGAACCCATACTGTTCATGCGAGATTGATACACTAGCCGACCATGGTCACTATTTCAACGACACTGACTCAGTGACATCAGCAAAGCGCTGGGTGACATCGGCGGTGATGACGCGTGCGCAGGGCAACGAGTTCTCGTACTTCATGCTGCTGACGTCATCGTTCATGCTTAACCACTGCGAGCGGCCGCAGCAGTGGACCATATTCCCCTGGGCGCTCGCCAGCTGCAACCAGCCCTCCGACGCCGCGCAGCTTAGGCCGGTGAGCCACTAATGCTGACTAAATCTTCAGTCAACAGCATATCATTGGGAAGACACCTAAACTCACAGAGCATGCATGAGCCCTGCCTTGTCAGCCAGTCAGGCACTCATTTCATGCTCCTGCACCTGAGCCGGAGATTTCCTATCTATTCTGCGCTATGCATGTAAGTGGGAGGTTCCGATCCAGACAGAAACATGGCGACTGGGAACGCCCCGATTAGACACGAGCATGCACAACCGCTGCATTGTCCACCCTCAATTGAGATCTTAGCACAAACGGATTGACTACATCTCAAGCTGGGATGCCGGCACAGTCGGAGTCTTTGCGCGGTGTGATTGGAAGTTTCACTCGAGCTTGGCAACACAGTAGGGCCTCTGTGCATGGCAATTTTATGAAAACCCCGGGCTGACCTCAATGCGCGCACCCTTGGGGCAGGCCAGCATCCCGGACGAGCTTCCGGCAGACGCGGCCGCGGCGGCTCCGCTGCAGCTCTCTATGGCGGCCGGGGATTTTGTGGAAGTGTACGGGAGCCCAGAGCAGGAGGGGCAGTTCGACTGCGTTGCCACGTGCTTCTTCATCGACACTGCGCACAATATCATCCGCTACTTGGAAGTCCTGCGGCACTGCCTCAAGGTGAGTGTGCGCGCCAAACTGCAACCAGGCACTTTAGCAAATGATCAACTAATAGTCTTGTAGTACCCCTTCAAGCGAGTGAATCCTGGGAAACTTTAAAGATGTAACTCAATGTTTGGGGTCCTCTTGGGGCCTGAGAAACTTTAGATGGAGACCAATCTGAGTGACAGAACGCAGAGCACCCTACTGTGCGTGGCAATCTGCTTTCGCCCTCGGCAATTTTGTCAAGGCCATTTGCACATCAGCGAGACGGCGGCATCACAACAAAATTTAGCTGCCTGCTGCAGGCAAAGACAGTTTCAGAGGCTGTACTGCACTGTCTGCTGATGCACAAAGAGCCACCTGTGCCAACCTTTCCACAGTACACTGCTCAACAGCTTCTGCCGTGCTTAGCCTCAACCCCTTCAACAGCAAGATATACAAGCCATGACATGCAGAAGACGTGTCCTTTTCAAAGCTTTCACAGCATTCCGCTCTGCTGCAGGATGGCGGGCTATGGGTAAATCTGGGTCCGTTGCAGTACCACTGGGCAGAGGCGCACACCTACTTGGAGCCCGGCATGGCCGACTCAATCGAGATCCCCCTGGAAGATGTGGAGCGAATTGCCGGTGAACTGGGATTCCGAATGCTGCGCCGCGAGATTGTTGTCGCCGGGTTCAACACCAACCTCAGGTGCGGGGCTGACTGGACATGTTTCAGAGGTGCATCGCCGCAAGTAAAAGCGAAAATTAGGCAGACCAGGGGCGGCGACTTGTGCCGTTGATTAACAGGCATGGCGCGATTGTAAGTTTCATGTGCCGGTGCATTTGTTTTCCCACTGGAAGGCAAGCCGGTCAGGCATGTTAGATTACTTTGAACTTGCTATTAAATGGAACAGGGCAATGTCAGCCTGCTTCATGTTCTAGGGGGTTCACAGCAGTCTGACATGCCTGGCTGCAACCGACATTGTCCAGGATCCTCAAACACCTTCCAACGCTACCAGCTGTGCATACAAAGCACTTCTATCAGAGATCTAGATCTGGAGTGTCCTGCGCAGGAGCATGCAGGTGTCCACGTACCGCTGTGCCTTCTGGACAATGCGGCTGGAAAAAGGCTGATCATGCCTTGTTTTTGGCTTTTCCCAAACTTGGTTTGAAAATAACACAGGTCACCTTCTGAGCTGTACATACGATGTCTGCAGAAAGTGGGTATGCGTGAGTGGTGCTCAGGTGATGGAAGGACAAGGCGTTGCATTTTTAATGGACCGCCTTTCAGAGATGCGGATCCCATAAGCAAGATCTCAACATTACAATTTGCAGGCAAAATGATCAAATGCGCTCAAGCAAAGGACACATTCAGGCACATGGGATGCATTGCAATCACGGGCAGATGCTCTATACTTCGCTATTGTTTTTAAGGCATCAGTATGTACATAGTGCCAGGGGCATAATCATCTATGTGAGCAAACAGATGCTCGAAATCAATTTCTGCTGGGCACTTCATCTGTTCACAAGCACCGAGCACATAGACCAAATGCACAAACCCCAGAAAAAGGGTGAGCGAACAGAGCTAATCCAGATTTGAACGATTTGCAAAAACACGCATATTGCCGGTAATGCGGCGGCGACCAATGCATGTGCAGATATCCTAATTAGGTTGCATTGTCTCGCAGCAATGCCTCACAAAGGCCACGGGTGTGATTTCCATTTAGTGCGTAATCATTCAAAATTCTCAGCAAATCCGAAGATCATATACATTGACTTCTTGGGCAACACAGGAAACCTCAAAATTCTCTCAAGCACTTCAAAGGCGCTGCCCTCAAGCACACTCAGCCACACTTTACTTCTGCAGACATTCATGAGATCATTTCACTGAATCTGCTCAATGCTGTTTGAGCCAGAGCTGGGAGCCTGTGATGCTGTTTTGCGCAGACATCATTGAGGTCATGTCATTGAAGCTGCTTGCTGCTGATTCAGCCTGCGCTGGGAGCCTGGGAGGCCGTTTTGCGCAGGGCAGCAGCAGCGTTGAAGGAGGTGATATAACTGAGCACACGGCCGCAGGGCAGCATCAGCACTTGCCCGGGTGTCACGCCCGTGCTGCTCAGCCCGTTGATTGCCTGCCACGTCACACATGGTCATCAATAGCAGGAGATGCACTGTTCATCTGCATCCGCAAGCAGAAGTTTCTGGCTTGAAATGGAGAGAACATGCCCTCACAAAGTCCCAGGAGTGCTTATAGAATCCATGGACCTGCTGTCACATTGAGGCATGGCAGGTCAAGCACCTTGAAGCTAAATTAGGACACCGCAAGAATGACAATCACCCATCCTCAGCAGTGTGTTCATGATATGATACCGCAAATATTGCGGCCAGGATTGCCAGGGAAGTCTCAGATCTGCTACAGCTGCATCTTCATGCATGCATGGTTGGTGAAGCCAATTATGGATGCAAGGAGCCCTCACCTCAGCTCAAGAGTGCATGCATCTTCATGCAAGCAATATTGGTGAAGATACGGTACTCGCAACTCATGCGCGACCATAAATTGTTTTTCCACTGCGTTTGGAATGCTGGCAGCATATACGGGCCTGCCCAGATGAACTTGGACTTCACCACAAAAGAACAGCAAAAGGAAAACCAAATCAAACACTCACCCGGATGATGGCAGGACCATTCTTGGGCTGCCCAAACTTGGCTGCTATGCTGTCGAGAGTGTCCCCCTGCAAGACAGTGTACGTGTCGCAGCAGGGGGGCGCAGAGTGCGCAGCTTCCATCATCTTCCGGCCGGCCAGCGCCTTGGATGCAGCGACGCCCGCCGCGAAGCTGGCAGGCAACGCCGTCGGAGACGCGGCCACCGGCTGCGGCCTGGGCGCCAGCTGTGCACCCGCCAGCAGCATTTAGTAAGCAATCAGAAGATAAGGCAGACACGAGGACAGAGCAAAGCGCCTTGGTCAGAACTCAGCAAGACGAGAGTTTAGGCATGAGGACAGAGACTTACGGCTTGTGCGCCAGATGTGTGAAACAACAGCCCTTACATACAGAAGAGCTCTGCCAATGGTCTTGCACGATCCGATTTGTATGACCCCTCTCTGTCTAAGAACTGTCAGTGAACCCATCTGCAGAAAAGCTGAAGAAAAGAGAATGCAGACATGAAGCTAGAGGTGAGCCCCAGTACAGGGAGAATCTCCCACGGGGGAAAGGCTCGGCCCACAGATGCAACAAGTGCGCATTGACAATGAAAGGACGGCCAAGAGATGTTCTTGTACACGTTGATACTGCCTTCCTTTCTTAATTCCTAGAGTGTACAGCCATTTGTTGGGATGGACTGCGCAGTGAGCTGCGCACTCCTCTATATGCACTGCAAGCTGGCTCAATACAATATCATGCCAGACGTGCCCAAATCCAGGGTTTTCATTGGACGGTCTGAGATCAAGGGAGAGCAAAGTCCGTCTGTGCCAGCACAGGCGCCCACCACTGCAGAGTTCTGGAGGGTGGTCACATCGGTGCCAGGTGGCAGCGCGCTCAGGAGCCGGCCGCCGGTCAGAGCGGCGTTGAGTGCTTTGGTCGGGTCGGCCAGGGCCGTTCCCTGAACCTGGTTGAAGGATGAGTCTGCTGCTGCCACGTTGCCGTCCTGCAGATCGTCCAGACTGGCAGAATCCACCTGCGCGATTACTCATATTAGTGTGCAGTCTTGACGCATGTGAGGCGGTGGGTGAAGTGACATCTGGAACTTGGCAAGGGGCTGCGTGTCACACGCAGCGTGTGCAGGCTTGCTACAACATGCAGCCCTCTTGAAGGCGCAGTGCTAAGAGAAGGCACTTCATGCAGCGCACCACGTTTATCTCAGGAACTGAAGTACTCGGAAAAGTGCATTCACGGATTACCAAGTGCTGCCAGCGATTCTTTTCTTTTGCATGGCTGTGAAAGACCAGACCTTGTGGATTACAGCGTGGAAAGACCAGCCTGACGTTAGCTCTCTGATTCGGCTTGCTTGCCGGGATTGTGTACATTCCTTTAGAAGCGCAGGGGATAAGGATCAGACAGATGTGACCCCAGGCAATGAGTCACGCAGACACCACTCAGAATACCCTTTGTTTTTATTAAGGAATTGGCCAGTAATGCCCTTTTGGCTATTTATTCAGCCCCGCAGGGACAATGATTAGCCAGAAAACGACTAATTTGGCTAATCGCCAACATTCCCAATACCTCACTACATCCCCTAAGGAAGGTGGCACAATGGTCAGACCGACCATTTTATCACAGGCGAGTCATGGCTGCCCAAGGCAGCCCCGATAATTCTGAAAGAGCCACGAAATATTCCTAAATATCTCCAAATAGCCTCAATTGGCTGAATGTAGCCCCTGAGAGAGAGAGAAACATTACATCATGCCAGCCAACAAGGCTGATTAGATGTTCACTGTATCTAGATCAGTGTTTACGCGTCCTAATGAGAGTCTGATAAATTGAGCCACCTGTACAAGATCATCTTGCCACATGAACTGACGCATAGTGGTAATACTGGGCCTGATCAGGACACTCACGCTACCCACCTGTGCAGTTGAGAGAGCGATGGCACCAAGTTCGCCAATCTCTGCGAGTTCAGTCCCTTCCGGCAAATCACCCACTTCCGGCAGAATCTGATCTGGAGCGCCTTCTTGCACATGCAGCGCGTAGCCGAATGCCGCCGTACCGAGCGCCACCTGCGATTTTCCACATTTGATTTCGAATCTTTATTTTCAATGTAAATTCAAGTCTGCATGTTTTCAATTTGAATTCAAGTCTGCATGGTTAAGACTTAGATTCAAATCTGTAGTCCGCCCAGTGCCCTGTGGTGCTGACAATGTGCCTCCAGGTGACGAGGCCTGCCCAAAATCAAATTCGAAAAGCAGACACCGGATGGTGAGAGCTCATGTCAACAGGAAACCACGGATCGATGCACATGAGAGACTCAATTATGTCTTGGTTGCCATTCATTGTTCACATGTGGACCACGTCTGATTGAAATGCTGCTCATGACTGGCAAGATGGGAATTGGATGCGCTGAGGCATGCATGAAGAGTCATGGCCAGTTACATCTAGTGACTCACCACAGGGACGAGAGGCGCGACAACTGATGCAAAGTCTTCCCAAAAGCTATCTGCATGCAGCAATAGTGCCTCAGTATATGTGCTATTTGGCTGAACAGGACATTGTGAAACATAGCCGTGCCAATTAGCATGGCATGTACGGGAAGGGCCCATTCTGACAACACTACATGCTGTTCCTGCCAGAGGCAGGGTGCGTCTGCAGACAAACTGAAGATACAACCTGCCACAAAACCTTCCCCTTGGCGAACTCGCTAGATTCAAGCAAGACCCAATTAAACGTGGGCACGGTGCTCAGTATTTATACCGCCCCCCGCCAGCCGGGGCCAATACATTCCTCAAGACATGCGCTTTCTGGCCGAACAGGACAGGGTGAAACAGGGCTGTGGCGCTTAGCATGGCGTCTACACATTCATGGGAAGAGCTCTTTCTGACAACCCCGCATGCTCTTCCTGCCAGAGGCAAGGTGCGTCTGCAGACAAGCTGCAGTTATGGGCTGCCACATAATCCGCCCCTTGATGGACTTGCCGGAGTCAAGCCAGAGCCAATCAACGGCGGGCACATGGTCTGTATTTGAACCAACTATATTTCCATCCGGGGCAAATGTTCTGACACTCTACTCTTCTTACACAAAAATATATTGGATAAGCAGTTCAAAGGGGACTCTTCATTCCAGAGGGGAGCTCCTGCGCTGTCAACGTGAGCTGTATGGGTTGCAGGGAGTGTCACCGGACGCACGGCGGTTGCTGTTGGGTTGCCTGCCATAATGGGCGCATCTGCACAGTTTTCAGAAGTGTTCAAAAATACCCATGAGCTTCTCAGCACCGGATTTGAGTATGCAGCTGATCAGCCAGACCTCCCCACTTCCTTCACAAGGATGTGGTGGCGTGGAAAGCAATGTGCATGAATTTAAGTGCTTGCATGCTTTGTTTCGCATGCGCACATGCGGCTCACGATGATGTTAACGGCAGGATAGGCACATGCAAGCTGTACACTTGAGGCATTCTTGAATGATGCATTGCTTCTTGTCCTAAAGAGAGTGGAAGGTGGCCCCTTGGACTCACTGAGAAGGGTGCCTCCGTGTGCCGGGATGAGGCAGGCTGCAGACGGCCCCGTCAGAGCAGCGCTGATGGCATTTGCAGTCGCCGGTGCCTGGGCCTTCAGCTGTTGCGCTGCTGTGGCAAGACTTGGAGCAGGAGCCCCTGCAACGAGGCTCGTATCAAATGGCACGGTTTCCTGTCTCGCTCCCGATGGTCACTGATGCGTGTTGCTTGCACAAGTAAGGCATAGACAGCGGCAAGGGAACAATCAGTGGGTATGGATTGAGTTTCGCTCGAGAGTTTGCAGCGGTGATCTGACCGTTCTGGCAGACGGCAGGGCTCGCAAGCAGGGCGATGAACGCAGCAACCGTGCACGCCCGCATGTTGCACATGAGATCGATCACACAAATCGTGGAAACCGACCTTGCCGTGCTTTCTTGCCCGTTTAGAGTCCTTGTTATCAGCTGTGCTCAATGTCGACTCGGCAGATATGGAAATCATAAAACCTTGGACTTTTTCACGTGCCGGGATATTCCTCCCTCCAGACATGCAGAGTGCATGCTGTCATTAGATTTTGATACCATGACGCCCATCTTCTGCTCACAGCAAGCAAGCAGCTGCTCACTTTTGCTGCATTCACCTGCTGCTGAAGACTACATTTGCACATGTGGGATAGACAATGTAAGTGCGTGTAGGAAAGGCTTTCAGAAACCAATGTGATCAAAACCAAAGCTCCTCTTGTGGTGCAATTTGGATCATGATGGTCCGTCCTGCTCATTGGCATAAGTTTGCATGGGGCATCTCATTTGGCTTGCAAAAGGGAACTGATTTTGACTGGTCAGAGAGTCACCGCCCGGCATATTTGCAGGCAAGGACCAAAACATGCAGGGTGTAAAGATGCCAATGAAAATGCCTTGAAGCTGTTACACAGATACAAGACCAGACTTTACACAGAGTCCAGCATACCAATTTCCCAGTGCAGATAATGCTCAACCCAGTTTCCTCCCCCCCCTGAAGGACATTTCCAGTACAAGTGGTGTGCAATCCAGAGAGCTGTACTGATCAGAATTTCATGAAGTCAAATTCATGGTGCATGACTCCATTCATTACCAGCACTGTCACATTTAATGGGCTGATTTTGTGAGACCATCTGGCACCACATATGTGCAGAGACAACTTCATGTTCAGGTCGCAAAAGCAGTGCAGGGACCATAAAATCCTCAAACACGATTTGGCCAGGTCCTTTCCAGTGCAAGACCTCATGCCAATTTTCAACTCCTTTTCGAAAACAGGTCACAGTCCAATCTTCCTGCTGCAGAGCATCTCCAGCAGAGCTAGTACCAAACAATCCTGACCCTCCACTGCAATTCAGAACAGAATACAATGAAGGCAACGCCTGTCAGTGGCACAAGTGCTAAGTCAACCTGGCAGCAACTGGGCGTCTATCGCATGAAACACTGCCTGTCATGTACAAATTCCTGCAAGCAAACCTGCTAAGCACCCATCTAGTAATGCAAGCTTCAGCTTTGCAAATTCCTGGCGTATCAACTACGCTACCAAAAGAGGCTCCCAAGATACAGTCTTCCTTGCAAGCAGTGAGACAGCAAGCACCGAAACAATAGCCAGACTGCAGCAGAGTTGATCGGGTGTACAAGACCTTGCCTCTCCTCTCTGCTCTCTCCCAGCTGAGAAGAGAGTTTGCAACATGGCGCAATGCAGGCTCGATTCTCAGAGCAGCACTGCAGCTCTGCCCAGCATGGAGGCCTTACCACCCTCTCCGGCAGCAATTCTCATCACTACTGCATGCAGAGTAAGTGCCACTCGCACGCATGCCAGTGACAGCTGCGGCAATGACTAACCCGCAGTCACCTCGCATCAAGAGGGAGAGGAGGAGAGAGTCCCTTCTGCTGGATTGTCTGTGCATGTTCTGCAGCACTGATGAACTCCCTCGACTTTGCCACACCTTGCTCCCATGTGCTCGCAGGTGCTCCCATTGTTGCTGCACGCAGAGTAAGTGCCACTCGCACGCATGCCAGTGATACTCATGCCGATGACTTACCCGTAGTCACCTCACATGGGCATTGGCGCCATGTCTGGCGCGGCGGCCGGCGCGGCAGCGTCCTCCTCAGGCGCTGCGAATGTGGCAATGAACGCCAGGATGCTGAAGAAGGCCCCTGCATGCAGAAGTAAACCACCGTCTGCTCAGCAATGGTTCCAAAGACTTGGGGGCCAAAGGAGGGCCCCTGTGCTGACTCTGTTCACTTGGATCTACAGTGAAAAAACCAGTCCGAATATGGGTTTCTCACAGCACGCAATTGAGCCCACTTTCCTGCTGCAGCCCGCTGACGTCCTCGTTGCATCTTGATTGCAGGGGTCTCCGGATACGCGCACAGCTACATATGGAATTGATGTGAAGCTCAATATCACCAACACCCTCCTCACCCCAGTAACAGGCTCCTCTCGTCAAGCTATTTGGCCCTTGCTGCCAGAACAGCAGGTGGGTACAAGGAGTCTTGAAATCCCCGGGAAGAAGGGTGTCAGGGGTGAGCGCACCGAGCAGCACGACAATATAGGCAGCACGATCTGCACGGCCCACTCGTAGGCGGAGAAAGCCCCAGAAAGCTAACACTATTTATGATAACCCTACATCATATATACATCACAAACCCTCCTTGAAACCCTACACCAGGGGTGAGCGCACCGAGCAGCACGACCAGGATAGGCAGCACAATCTGGACGGCCCATTCGTAGGCAGAGAACGCCCCAGCACGGCCGCGGTAGGTGAATGGGTCCCCCACGCCCTCGTGTGCACAGACAACGCCGTTGCTCTCCGCCTTGCCATAGCCCGACTTCTCCACGTCCATCGCGCTCTCTGCGATACAAGTATGTTTTTGTTAGTAATTAGGGGCTACTATCCCAAACGCTAAGGATCTTTAATATGAAACCCTGAAGATCTTTCTTGCCTGGATCTCCCCATCCATTGTGCACTCTGCAGCGGCATCATGTGAAATACAAACTCAAATTCAGATTCTACCTATTCTGTTCCTGTTGTTCCTGTTGTTCAGGGCTGGAAGTGGTGTCTTTTGGTGCCTGCACTGGAGAATTGCAGGGGCCAAAGCAGGCCCTGAGTGCATCAAGGCAAAGTGACCAAACAGTTGTGTTTTGTGTTGGGCCTACCAATGGATGCCCTTTATCAGCGTCACTCAGCTGCCTAGCTGCGGCAACCCAAGCAGACTTGGCAGGAACGTAGGGGGAGACATGGATAGACCAAAGACCGTGCAGATATCAGAAATTGCTTCAAGCCTTTGCTGGAACCCTCCGGTACCCTTTGACCCAAAACGCTACTGTGGCCGTGAAATCATGCGACCAGCTTGCGCTCCACCATTTGAAATCAAATTCAAATGCAAGGTGGCAGCTCGGTGACTCACCGACAATGGCGCCTTCTGGAGCCTTCTTTCCGTGGTGCGATGTTTCTGCGTCTGGCATGCGGCCGTTCAGGCTTGAGTCCCAGCCGCGGCCCTCCTTGATAGCAATCTGGCAGTGCGCCCTGTGCAGCCACCAGAACATGGTAAATAGACCTTTGGCACATGCTCATTGAAGTTCTAGCATCGGGACGCATTTCCGGCAAACAAAGACAGGCGCTAATCAAGTCGGCAGTGGCTGACATGTTCGGCTGGGAGCGGTTATGAACAGCACACACTCAGGGCATCTTGTAAAGCAATAGCACGACATCATGACTTAATTTCACTATCATAATTCGTTTAGAACGAATACTAGTATACGTCTGGACTGTCCAAAATTGAACCTGTCTGTTAGGGTGTTGCTTTCATGCCTTGCAGCATTCAAGATTGATATGGAGCGCACCAGCCGCAGTAAAGCATGAGGTGGTTGACGATGGGGATGAGGTAGCAGGAGAGGAGCACTCCAGAGGCGCCCGTGACAACCACGATATTGGCTGACTGGCCCGGGGCGGCCAGTGCGATGCCGAGACAGATGGCCAGGATTGTGAAGATGATGATGAACCGGCGCATCGGCCCGTAACCCCACTGCTTGCCCGGGAACCAGCCCTGGAAAAACCAACCAGGAACGCCGTCAGCCTGCTGTTGCAACTTTGAATTCAATTTAATGAAATCCGGGCCAGTGAAACGTGGACATTAACGCGGAACCACCAATGTTGTTATGACTACTAATACACGCTGTTCCTGAGAGGAGGCACGGTGCGCGTGCAGAGGAGCTGCAGGTAATGGCTGCCAAAATTCTACCCCTTGTTGGACTCCCGACTGCATTTCCCAGAAGACAGGTGCACTACCCACCCCCTGGATTGTGGCGAGAATGCTTGGGAACAGCACATGCAAAGTCTGGAAGACTCATACTTTGGTGCAGTTGAGTGATGTGCAATTTCGTGAGAACAAGCAAGAAAAGAATAGAAAGGACTTTGCACAAGGTCGATGTACGTTTCAAATGTCCAGGATATCATTCAGGCACATTTGTTGGTGGCTGGAGCACGATAACAAGGCACATGGCTTTATTGGAGTCTAGATTTAAAATCGTTGCTGCAAACGTTATTTCTGCAAGGCTCAACGGAGATCTGGAAATGAAGCGCACCCTGAACACGTGGGCAACGGGGTAGACGAGGGGCGGGTTAGTCAGCGCCAGGTACACTGCATCACACATGCCACGTCACAACCTTGTCAGAGCTGAACACCCGGCATGGCAGCAAGTACTGCTGTAACCCCTCCAATCCTTGAACACAAAAAGGAAACAAGCACGTGCAGGAGTCAGATTGCAGATGGCTCAGGGGAAACATGGACGCCATGTCTGCCCTCACCGGCAAGTAACACTGCAGTCTCAATAGAATAGTCTCCTCACCTCCAAGCAGGATGTTGAGAATGCCCTGGTAGTGTGCGGGGCCCCACTCGTTGACCAACAGGTTCCCATCAGTCGCCAGACCCCACCGCGCAGCGCCAAAGAAGCCCATCACAAAGTAGATGATGAAGCAGATCACTGCACGCGCACAGTTGTTGTTGTTGTTGATAAATTTGTTCTTTTAATGGACAGTTGTTGTCAACAAGCAGTGTCTGAGCATCAGGTGCCACCAGTAAATAGTCGCAGTTGTGCTCACAGTTTCTGAGTAATCGGGTACCCCATTTCTGAGCTAGATGAGCTGTCTTGCAAGCACCGCCAGTCACAGCAGATCAGCCGAATCTCACATCGAATGATGAAAGCCGCCACACAAAGCAACGAGAACTCTTTTTGCTAACACACAAAATGTTGACAGTGATGCGCCTTAATTGTTGGTGAGTTCCAGTACTAATGTGTTAAGCTGTAACTATTTGCTCATCATAGTTGTCATTAATAGCCATAAAGCTGCCAAGATGACCTCGACCCGACACTGGGACACGCCCGCAAAATGGGGGGTTTTAGGATTTTTTCAGGGTGACCTTACTGCCATGTACAAAACCCTAAGCCGCTCTTCCAAAAGGCAGATGAAGGAAAGTTAGGAGCGCACCGCCTACAACGAGGCGCATGGACCAGGAGAGGACGCGGTAGCCGGCTTTGCCCGGCGGCATCTCACGCAGCATGGGCATCGCGATGGGCTGGATGTAGAAAGCAAACGCGATCGTGCTCACCGTCGCAGCGAACGAATCTGCGCCACATCAGCAGGCCACGTCAGCCTTGGGTGACATCAGTGCCAAGTCAGCATGCCATGTCAGCTTTGGATGACATCAGCGCCGCATCAGCACGCCATGTCAGCATTGGGTGACATCGGCACCAGGTCAGCTTCTAGGGTGGAATGCCGCCTCGGCTTCAGAGCCCAAGCAGCTCTTCCAGTGACAAATTGTTGCAAATGAGACACTGCTTCCCAGATAAAAACATCCTAGGATCCTGCTCCCTGCATTTCTTGCAGTATGCCGGACTTATCATGCAGTGCAGGTGACACGCAGTCTTCAGAAGAAATCAGCCTGTATTCTTCTTTCTCAATTTCTGATTACCAAGCACAGCACAAATTGATCCGGCGCTGGCATTAAACAATGATATCGAGTACGGTAATGGTATTGAGTGATGATATTGAAAAACTCTCACAAGAGGGGTAGGGAGAGGCGCACAGATGTCAGTGAAGCCCACGACCGAGAACTCTCCATTGCCGATGGCGGGAAGGCCGGCCTTGAAGGATTCCACCACCATCGTGAACAGCAGCATCAGCACAAACAGGAACCCAGCTATGGATAGGTACTCCAGCTGTAAACACACACAAGAATTCATGTTAGTATTACAATTCTGCTCATCAGCTTTTCGGCATACCCCCAGGATTGTCGTGATTACATCCTCCTCACTGCATGCCAACCATCAAGTATTACCCGTGCCTCTGAGCTTTCTAAATCCAGGAATTTAGCGCCCATGGCAGGTCTTAGACACTCTCAGCAACAGCAGCAGACAATGCACAGCAGTTCAAAACACAGCCAGCAGAGAAGTCAAACCCATTGCACCATGCCCCAGTTCATGGCTGCCATAATCTCACACCTTGCCGGACTCACCAAGGCCTATCAATCGTGGGCACGGTGATCAGTATGTGGTACCGCTTCCTTTACAATCCTCTTAATGTTCAGGGGGCTCCGCTGCAGGAAATGACTCACCTGAGTCATGAGTTCCACCATGCAGGCAGGGAAGATGAAGATTGTGGTGAACACCATGAGAACCGAGCCCTGCCGATAGTTCAGCCATTCCGGCACCGAGTCACTGTAGAGCTCTGCCGCGCTCAGGAAGATCTGGCCGCACTGCACGATGCCCCCGATGATGCTCCCCAGAAACAGGATCACAATGCAGATCTCCACGAAGAGCTGCACGCACATATAGGGGTGGGACTTAGCAAGCGGTTGCATCGGTAGGATGATGCGCTTGCATCGTAAGATGGCTGAGACGTGCAAAAGGATCCTTCTAATGGCAACGGAGCCACAGAAAAACGTGTGCATTGCACTTGTCTGAGCAAATTCTCACTCGCATGCAATCTGCATGGATGTGGCTGGTAGTGCCTTTGCTACAGCTGCCACACCACCGGGCAGAACAAAAGGAATTGTAAGCACACGTTGCTTTGGGGTGAGACCTAGCCACAAGGATCTGGTATTTTTATGAATGATGCAGTACATGTTGGCATCCTTGGATAGTCCTTGTCTTATGGTCAGACAAAACGGGCTTCAGCATGCCAGGTAATCTCACCATTCTGGCAGTCAGTATTTTTGACAGCAATCCTGATTGACTGCTTGCTGGGTAAACCAACTATGCATCTAGGATCAGCAAAGTGGCCACTGCTTGTATCTGGCCAGTCCAAGAATGGGTAGGACATGCGGCAGCCCTGACCTGCAGCTTGCCTGCAGGCGCACCTTGCCTCCCGAGCAGCATGCTATAAAACAATAAAAACAATCAAAAAGGGAAGTAGCGCCCACCTTGTACCAGATGCCTCCAACAGCCAGCGACAGGGTCTCATAGTCGTGCATGCCAGTGGCGGTGGCCTGAGACATGAGCAGCTCGACTGTGTAGATGGTCGCAGCCGCCACCACGATCATGGCAATGAGGGCCGCGATAATACCCGTGGACTCAAAAGCCAGGGGGATGGGGAACAGGGCGCTGCGCAGAAACAGAGACAGGCCATATTAATAGCAGCACCGGATGATTTGGGTGGGTAGATCTGGTAAACCTGATGTTTCCCTGAATGCAGTGCCGCGCAGCAATGCTGCCCTCTATTGACCCAGGGGTTCCAATTGGATCGTGTAGTTTCAAGACTGGCCATTGTTCATATGCTGTGTGCTTTGCAGGTGTACACATTGTCAGGCATGATCTCGAAATGATGCCCCGTAACTTCAAAAGAACGTCACGAAAGGATTATGCTTGGTTTCGATAAGGAGCAAAGCAGATATGCAAGGGGTCCAGGGACGAGGAAGACATGGTGTTGACGGGGGCTCAAGGGACCCTTACCTGCCCATGACGCCTAGCGTGAGAACCGGCACCTGCAAATGGTGCAGTGGATCTTACAAACTGCATGGTAATTGATCGATCAAGACTTGACACCGAAGCATCCAGATAGGGCCGAACCCATTGTTGAACAGCGAGAGTGTTCGGATCGACAGAGACAGTGCACGCTTGATCGGGGCGCACAGTAGCAAGGAACATCCGCCTGTCCGTTTTAGCCCTCCACATGAGGCCAAAGCTCGTGAAGAATCCCATTGCTAGAGACGTATACGTCTAGTCGAGAGTTAGGGTCGGAATTCTTGCGCTCGCTTCGACCCTGTACACGCGCTGCTCAACAGATCTGAGCCATCGATGGCGGAGCGCTGTATTCTGTATGTTCTTGTGAGGCAGTGCGTGCGCAGCAAAAGTGATCGATCTAGGGCTTGGGTCTGACGACGCACATGGCCTGACGTGGGCCTTACTCATATTCATAATCTCGCTGATGTGTCAAATCCATATCTTTCAGGCACTCCAGTCTCGATTGTAAAGCGAACTTTGAGGTGTGAAACGATCAAAATCTTTGAGAATTTGTTGCAAAGGTTGTCTAGATGAGGTCAGTGAGACGCATCACATTGATCGCTGCCTTCGAACCAAAGTGTGCCTCATCGAAATGTATTCCTGCAAATCAACAGCGCAGAAAGCTTGAGATATAATTTTGAGCAAAAAATACCGAAGTTCGTCGATCTGTAGTATTTTCTTCGCCATCACAGTATACAGATGGCAAGCTTCTCTTTCCAGCAACACAGCTGCTTGCAAGCTCCTGAGTCGAGGAGAAGGTGTCTCGCGTTCACGAGGTGTCCACCTCAGTACAGCCACACTTACGTGAGAATGCGCAGACGCAAAGGATTAAGAGTGGTAACCTGCGGTACTCCTCTCCTTGCTTTCAAGCTGCAGCAGATTTGCAAGTGATTGAAGCAACTGGAACGCAGCTGACTCTCTGGATACTCAAATCCGTATTGACATATGCAGGAAGCTCTACTGGATCAAGCCCCTGCATGGACGCTGGACCAGATTGCAGGGCTCGCCTTTGGGGTGAGCAGATGCACATCCTGCCTCAGCAAGAAATGCAGATTCTTCATCTCATCTTTCGGTCACCTGCTGGATGAGGACTTACTATGCTATTTTGTTTGCCAGGGCATCTTGCTAGCCAGTGTTCTGCTTGGGTCAAAAATAGACCAGTTTATTGCTCGGAGCCAACGGCGAGACTTGGGGCTATGTGAACAGTGTGGAGGCTTGAATGACCCAAAAACATGCCAAGAAAACCGGTGTCCAGCCCAAACTGCTATCCTGGAACGCGATAATTAGAGCAGTCTTGAATGGAAAATCAAATTTAGTCAAAATGTGCCGAGCTGATCAGTACAAAAATTTAAAGGAGCCAGGTGATGGGGACACTGGCAGGGTCCGATGTGGTATGGCCTTGGTTGAAATGGGACAAATGCATAACCTGTGCATCACTCAATGCTGTGGGCTTTTGAGTTGCGAGCTAGAAGCCGCTAAATGATGCCACTGACTTCACTTGGCTGTCTTGCAAGCATTTGCAGATCTATTGACACATGCTTGAAGCATGCTTGTGCAAGGTGAATTCAAACTTGGCAATTTCCACTGGTGTTTAGTTCCCAAGATGGCAGATCATCAAGCAACAGCGATGGTGACATCCTGCGAATTACACCACACAAGAGTACGCACAAGGATGCTATAGTCATGTTGCATTTCCCACACAGCGCAGTAAAAATGTACCAATGAATTGCCGAGGCCCTGCAGGCCCTCTCCATGGCCACACCGTCATACAAGGTCTTACAGGTCAGCTGCTATCCTAGGCTACTCAATTGCAAGCTAGTAATTCAGTGGTGGCAAGGTCTCTCACGCTTGTCTCATTTCTTCGCCGCACTTGCAGCTGCCAGCAGTGCTTGCAAAGTTGCGGATATGACTTGGACTGTGCACCATGCTTAGTCACAGCACATTACTTTCACCCTAAATGCTTAGACAGCTTCGTCCCACTATGCTCTAAGCTTTCCGCTCCGACTGCTGGAACATGAATCCAGTTGCGTACTACGTAGTAACACTACGCTCTACTTCTTCCGCTCTGGCAGCAGGCCGCTGCCTTCCAGCAAGTTGCGCGCACCCTCGGACATCGCTGGATGCAGGTCTGGCACTTCTGGCCGCGATTGGTGTGCGCCCTCACCGCCGTGAGCGGCCGGCGCCGATTGTTTGGGGATAGGTGTCCTGGGCTCCCAGCCCCCCTTGGCCCCTGGCAGCAGGCCAGACCCCTCCAGCAGATCCTTGGTGCCTGATCATTGGCAGATAATTACTAAAATTCTGCATGTGTCGGTGGGTAGACACTCAGTAGTGCTGAGTCAGCACCGTGCCCACATTAGAATTAGCCTTGCTTGACCCCGACAAGAGAAAGGACTCCAGGGCCAGCAGGTGTTAAATGGAACTGGCTGCAGACAATACTTCTCTCCAAAAGATTTCTGGCACGAATAGCATGGTACAATCGGGAAAGAAATCAGTGTTTGAGCAGCCAAGGGAACCCCTTACACATATAACAGAGTACTTCAGCACAAGAACAGCAAAGTCGAGGCAAGATTCCAGTGTGATTCAGGAAGTTGAATGCGTGCCTGTTGACATCAGTGGGTCTCCCAAGTCCTTCTTGTCCTTGGCTCCTGCTGCGCTGCTGTCCCCTGTACAGCGAGAGATGGTCAGTGCCTGGTCTGGGGGAAAATGGGAGAAAATTGCTGTCCATTAGGTTCTGGACGAGACAAATTTGCTCGACATTCATCAATACAGTGTTCTTCGATATGTGCTTCACATGGACACCTCTAAGTACTAGGGACATGGCATCTGCTAGGGGTAGCATGGGGTACAGACCCGTACCTGACTTCTTGGCGTTTGCCCTGTCCAGCATACTAGCGAGAGAGTAGTTCTGCCCCCCTGCTGAGCCTCCAAGCACCGGTCCCGTGCCACCGAACAGGCCCATCTGATTCTCGCCCTGCACACGGAAAAGCGTGCCTGACGTTTGGAAACGGCAGCTTCTGGACAAGATATAGACGTACTTCCTGCAGTAATTTCCATCAGACCCCAGGTATGAGGTCTGGAATGCATGTGCAGTGAAAGGATCGTGACTCGACTAGTGCAGATGTTGCAAGCCGGATTCCTATGGAACCGAACTCATTTGCATGATCTATATTTTCTGAGAGTAAATGCCGTGTCTGACCTAGTCTTGCACTGCGCATTTGGTCTCACCTGCTGCGTCCTGGTTTCTTTCGCGTGATCACTCATATTTCCGTAACGAAAGGGTTGGTCAGTGGTCCTCTGGGAAAACCTTGCTTGACGTTTGTATGGTGCCTTGTTGTCTGAAGTCTAACAAGGGAGCCAATTGAACCCAACCGATTTGAGAAATGGAAGTGCTGATCACAGCTTCCTCGCTGGTTCCTGATAGGGTCGTAAGGTGCCACCTGCTATTTATAGAACCCTATGGCTTGATTCCAAAAAATCCCCGAGCAGATTTTGGTCCTTCTCAATGCTTCCCTGAGTGCATCGCACAAACTTCACTTGCCAATATGGTGGCCAGGTTTCGCAGCCACCTTGCAACTGCAGCTGCCTGGATTTTTGCTGTAACATGTCTCTGCAAGTGGCACTGCCTGGCAGGCTTTGCAGCAAATCCTTGAAGATTGACACAGTTCATGACAGCCAATTGCAGAACTTCATGATGGAAATTCCATTGCGACTCGACCTGCTTTGGAAGGCAAAGGTCACCGTCATCCGAGAGCATACAAATTTGAATATAATTCGTATTGCAGCAGATACAACTACCGCCAGCACTGCTTTCACTGCTTTGGCACTGCATTGGCAATTGGGTTCAAGCGTGCGGCTCAGCACAGACGGAAGGACTCACTCTCCAGTGGCGTCGACGTCAATCATGGTAGATCAAACAAATACAGTTTGACACTTGGTTCCTTGAAGGAACCTCCGTCAACAGCGCACAAGCACTGGACAGTGCAACGCACTCCAACACTGTCCCTGATCCAGTCTGCGATCTGTTAGGCACTCTCTCTCGCTCACTTCACGCACTGCTCTGAGGTGCTGACTGGCTTGCTGCATCATCGGGTCCACTCTTGCGGCCCGGTTGATGATTCTGTCGCTGCCTTTCAGACACAAGCGCCCACATCTGCCTCCTGAACTCAGGGTCGATCTTGCTCTCCTTTGCCAGCGCCTTTACAGTCAGTGGATCCCTGCAGCAGACCAGGAGCAAATCAGGCTAGTACTCAACTTCTTGGCAAGCATGCGGTTGTTGCACAATTGAATATTGGTGATCGAGGTAAGCCACTTTGTCCAAACAACAGAACAAGGGCTGTCCAAGTGAGTTTGAACTGACATAACCATGGAATTCCCTGTATCAGCAAGGATGCTACAGATCTGTATCTGTGTAAGAGCCCAAGCATGCAGTCGCATGGGCAAACAAGGGGCACAGGCAAGCCCAGACATAAAATCCATTCAGTGAGCTTCTCGGCGAGTGCTTCCCAGATTATTCTGAAATATCTCCTATGAGGTTGAGCATGAATAACGCACTTCTCTGACTTCTCTTCTTCCTCTTCGCGCTCGTCCTCCCTCTTGGAATAGATGAGCCGCAGCTCTGGAGCACTCTGGCCAAAGCTCTGCCAGAGGTGTTGTGCTCTGTCCTTGAATTTTTTCCTGGTGGTCTTCTGCGTGTGCTCGCCGTCCCAGTACAAGGAGGTCACCTGCAAGGTTGCAGACAGCACTGTGAGCCTAGTATGACCAAATGACCAGAGAACCGAAAGATAAGACCAGTACATTGCAGAGGGGCGAGATAACCTTCTGCAACAAATAATTATATGCTTGTCTGATCAAAATGGATGTGAAAATGGAGAGCTCACGTTTCTGCGAATAGCCTTCTGTGCCAGCAGCCTGGCTACCTCTTCACACGCACGCTCGTCGTTTTTCGGAGCATACTTTCCCAGTATACGTTGAAATGTGCTATTGTTTGTGCATGCGGATACCACGCAACTGTTGTCTATCTTGGAGACGATGCTAGCATGGATGTGCTTGCCAGAGAAGAATAATTTAAGATGGTAGGGCCGCACTAACTTTGCATGCATTTCCCTGATCAACCTTCTGGGAGCCAAGCTGTCAAGACTCTGATGCTTTGTGAGGAGATCGGCGGTGAAGTGGATGCTGGGAGAGGTGGCCAAGATAGGCAACAGTAGGAAACATCAACAGGACAGTTTGGTGCAGACCAGAGAAGCTAAATGCGTTTGGAAAGACTCTATTTCCAATGTTGAATATATCTTTTGCGGACTGATCAAGTTATTCTTCATTTACGGTGTACGCCTGAGTGCAGATCATCAAGCATCCTCATAAATTTTAGCTGTGTTCCTTGCCCCTTTGAGAGGTGCCAAGCAAAGTTGCAAACCCGATCGGACATACGTATCAGTGAGATCCAAAATGCGCAAAGGACAGGAGGCAGACAGCCTCGAAGACCTGCTACGTTTGCAGGTATGAGTTTCCAAATATAGTGACTCTTACTTTTAAAACCATAAGAAGTGATTTCTCCAGTAACAAGGTGTAACATTGTAATACATACCGATCAGCTGCATTTTTAATATGACCGGTAGCGCGTCTATCCAAGCTTCTGTAAGGTGATGGCATTTCATACAGCTGAGCTACAGTGCTCATCATCGTTCCTCATTTACCCGTTTTCTAAGCTGTCTATTCCATCTAGGAACAATTCAAGAAGCAAAAAGGGTCTCCAGCAGCGAAGGTGACGCTTGTCGGAGGTGCACGTTCACAAGCAAACCCCATCTCTGGCGAGGCAGCGGAGGAAGGCACGGCTCCTGCCGGAGCTGAGACCTCACCTGCAGGTGTGCAACGGGCCACAGAAGTCTTAGGATGAAGATGCACACAAAGAAAGATAAATTTGTGAGCTCTGAACCGCCACTGAGCGCCTAGGCAGGTTCATCATCTTACCACCCTTGAGCAAGGGGATCGTTTTGCAGGAACCGTGGAGGACCCTCATCAAGAGCCCACAGGAAACAGCAGCGACTGGGTGATAGTGGGAGAGGTATCAGAGCGGGTGGTTGAGGCAACCTCTATGCCCATGCCATCCCAACCTGCAGCTGGAGGTGGCTTTCCAGTTGCACAGCACCGAAGGCAGTCAAGGGTGTGTGCCAGCTTCAACCTGACACAACATCATTAAAATCTCAGCCAACCCTTCCATAGTGCTCACGGGTGTTTGGTTCTTTTGGGACATGCATCGAGACCTTGTTGATCCATGTGCCTTCTGTGAATGCTGCAGTTTGCGCTGAGCCGGATGGCCTCTTCAGCAGCAGCATCAACGGCAGCTCCTCCCTTGGAAGGAGGTGCCAAGCAGGCAGATGGTGCCTCAGCAGCCCCCACTGGCGGCAGGACCTTGCAGGATGAGATCGATGCAGAGAACCGCGCTGCTCTCCGGGATATGTCACCGAAAGAGGTAAGTGGATGGAGCTCGGTACTTTAAGTGGCCCTGATAGAGGCAGTGCTACCAGAGAGCCAAACATCGTAGCAAACAGAACAGCATAGATGCTGCTTGATTGAAGAGGTGTGCCTACATGAACAATTGTGCAACGCATCCTGCAGGTGGAGGCCGCAAGAAGGGAGCTCCTAGAGCAGCTGGGGCCAGAAAGGGCCGCAAAGCTTCGCCAAAGGGCGGCTCAGAAGGAGGAACAAGCTGCGCAGAAACGGGCAGCTTCACAGCAGCAGCAGGAGCAGCAGCGCGGAGCTACAGATAAGACATTGCCAAGCGCAGAAGCTGCAAAGCCAAAAGGGACACAACAGGGGACCTGGAATGCGCCCAATCAGGCACATGATGCACCCCCTCACCCAACCGGTATGTCATCCATATTTGGTTACTACTGCTTCATTTGCGCTGTAATTTCTCCTGCCGTTGAATGGCAGACATGTCATTTGGGCTCTTCCAGCTTTGCTTGCATCTTCTTTGAGCCCTGGCATGCCTGTCATGTTTGGGCTACAAATGGATTCATGGGGCTGGTGCCTGCAGGAGACATTTGCAGCAAGAGGACAGTGTCACGTGTCCGCTTCGTTTTCAGCAGTGCTGGTGTGCTGGAGCCCTTTGAGTGGAGCAGCACTGTTGAAGAGGAGGCTGGGCCAGATTCTGTGGTGGAGCGAGACATACTGCGGTGGGATATCGGCCTCTACTGTGTGTTTGCCTAGTCAGGGTCGAGAAGAGTGATGGCATAAAACCCCTTTGCAACTTTGTGATGAGATCAATCACATGGCAACCACGATTCCTTCTTTCTTTGGGCTGGAGGAGCTCTCATTCCACTTGCTCGTGTGCATAAGACACTTTGACCACTCACCACCATAATGTGTTCCCAAAATGAAAAGTGTGCAGGTGCTTTACATGACAAGTGATGCTTGTGCTTTATCCTTGAGCCAAGAGGTAATTTTCTTTCTTAACAGCTTGCATGCATGCATGCTGCAGGCAGGACGAGGGGTCGGTGGGCCAGGGGTACACAGTGCGGGAGATGTGCCAGCTGGCGCGCAGCAGCATGCCAGCTCAGCGCACCGCGGCCTGCCGCCACCTGTCCGCCCTGCTGGCACGCTCCCGGCCCAGCGCCGCCAGCTCCTACCAGAGCCTGTTCGGCGGCGGCAAACGGCCCAGTCCCCTCTGTGTGCCAGGCTCTGAACAGGTGCTTTCGTTTGTTCTGCTCCCCAGACCACCTCGTCATGTTGCGAACCAAAACCTTTACATTCCCTTTACATTCCCCTTTATATGTTAAGAATAGATGACATTTAGCTCTGCATGTCAGGCTGTGAACAGGTACCTTTCTTTATTGTGTGCTCCTGGCCACCTCATCACGTTTTAAACCAAGATGCCAGGCTCTGAATAGGTACTTTTGTATTTTCTGCTTCCCAGGCCACCACTTGATGTGGCCAAGCAAGACCTCTACAATCCCTTCGGCTTGACAAAGATTCAGCCCTTGAAATCATTTATCAACAAAATGTAAGTATCCCTGTCTGGTCTAGCGATCTTCAGACAAGTGTGCAATAATTTAACAATGAAGCATTCATTTCCAACTGCGTAGGAGTCTGCACTGGACTGGCAGGATGTGTGGGAGCATGCACTGGTGGACTGCCAAGTGGTGGTGGTGCTGCGCCTTGCACTGGACGACAGCAGCATGTCAGTCATGAGCGCTGCAGCAGAAGCTCTCGCCCAACTAGTCGGCCCCAAGCACATCGACCCAGCCCAGGCCTGCCCAACTCCCTCAGGTGCCCTCTGTTCTCTGTCGCCTTCAAGTGTGAGGGCTGGCGAGATGTTACCCTTGACGAGATCATGTTCTCGGATATGGAATTCTTGACATCAAGGACCAAAGGGGGTATACCAAGCGGGGATAAGCTGTCACCAAATACGTCGGTGCACCTCAGTGTTGACATGCGTCCATTGTGTGTCATAGGCTTTATTGCTTGCATGCCTGCTTGACAGCATCCAGTGACTCTGACGGTAGTTGCACTGCCGATCCACCCTTGCTGCATGTGCCTAAGCAGGCTATCACATGTTCAGACATAGATCAAATGAACTAAACCTGCTATCTCATGACATTGCATCAGGGCTTGCTGCTGTGCCGCCGCGGTTTCTGGAGCGCCCGCATGTGCTGGGAGCATGGACGGCCCAGCCACTGGAAACCCCAGAACCTCCAATGCCTGAGAATGCCATGGACATCGACGGGGCCGAGCAGCCAATGGATGAGCGCCAAGTGGCGGCCAAGGACCCGCTCTGCGGCCTGCTACAGATGCAGGTAGAGGAAACTTTTGCCATACTGGCTGTCTGCGAAATGACTTATTGTTTTGGCTGGTGTCCACTCTGAGGCTGCAGATGCAGGTCCAAGAATGTTACCATGCCACCGCAATGTTCTGCAGGAATAATGCTCCAATTTGGTTGATGTCCAGTGTCAGGCTGCCAGAGAGCTGCTCATTTTCTGCAAGCAACCTTATCGCTGTTTCTCTTGACTATCTGATTCTTACTTGTTCCTGGCATGTGCCTATAATTCGCAAATATCAACAAGCATTGTATACCACTTGGGCTTCCACATCAGAGAGGAAGAAGTATAGATTGGAGATGTCGCCCCCTTCTGACAAAAGGGCTTATCCTATGAACAGGTACTTGCACGAGCCAGCTATTTGCTGAAGCTGGCGGGGCCCGGCATGGCAGGCTCTCTTCTGGCAATCCTGCATGCAGCCGCGCTTGGCGGCACCGACATGGCCCGCGCAATCTGTAATACCCCCGGGCTGGTACGCATCATTCACCCTTTGGCCCACCACATATAATTGCCTGCATGACCCCAACCCTCCATAGAAGACTGTCCTTTTTCTACATTGCATTCCCGCTCAAAAGCCACTTCTTTTCCTGTCCCACGCTATCCAACATCTTCTGCCATATGCTGTTGATCCTTGATAAAAATGCTCATGAGCCACCAACACCAGCAATTCGGGTCTGACAGCCCGCGTCTGACCTCGTATTGCAGATAAAGGCAGTACTGCTGGTCCTTCAACCCGCCCTTCCAGCAGCGGCAGTTGAATCACCGGGGGCAGCGCGAAATGGCCTGCAGCCGAGCGTGCTGGCCGCCATCGGTGCGCTGGGTGTGCTGCGCGCGCTGTGTCAGGCTGGCGCTGATGTGGCACGCGACCTGCTCGCCCAAGGTCAGCCGCCCGCCTTTCGACATCTACACCTTTCAGTTCAATCATTGCAGAGTATATCAATTCGATGTGCATGCTTGCATGTCTCAAATGCTCACTTCCTCAGGACTTTGCGTCTGAGTGAAGGCAAGCAAACTCCTTGCCTCTCTGCAAGTTTATTTTTGCGGGCATTGGGGCTTTTTTATGATAGTCTCTTCAGGCCGCTCATTCATGGCCTGCATTTTGTGATCAACGGTGGTGGCAGCCAAAACAAAAAGG